CTTCTCATCCCGCTCCGCCTCCAGCTGCTTGTTGAGTGCTTCGATCAGCTTGTCCTTGTCCTGGCAGGCGGCCTTCACGTTCTTGAACTCGGCTTCCAAAGTCTTCTTCAGCTCCAGTTTCATTCTGCAAAGGAAAACGGGATTACGGCTTCGGATCAAGAACTCTTTGCGCCCTGAATACAGACTTTAATACACTGATCTCGCTGGTCTTGTGCTTCAAGTTGCTGTTGTCACGATTCAGCTCGTCGATGCGCTGCTGCATCGAGATGATCTTGTTCTCAAGTCCCATGTACTTGTTCTCCATGTGCGAGATGGTCTTGGCCTCGGCCTTTAACCGCTTGAACTGACGGCGGGCCAAAAACCTACGAATCGCCGCCTGGCAAATGATGATGTTGCGCCGCCGCTTTTGGTAAGCTCGTCGCGCCAAGGCACCGCGCACGAATCGCTGGATCTGAACCGCCCGATAGTGATCGCGCATTGCATGGAACTTGCTTCGGGCCATCATGCCGCGAGCATAGGTCTGAATGCCGGCAATTGAGTGGCGCAGGCGCAAGAAACGACGACGGCATAGCCAACCTCGAGCATACTTCGACAGGATCAAGCCCGCCCGAGCCTCACGCATCTTCTGGACACGCTGGCGGGCAAGAAAGCCTCGCGCATGCCGCTGGATACCACCGATCACCAGTTGGAGACGCAGGAACCGACGCCGGTAGATGAACCGACGCACCACCGACTGCACAATTGTGATGTACTTCTTGCGCAGATTGGCCCGCACCTGCTCCAGGAAGGCCACCTGGCCGGCGCGGAAGAAGATCTGAGTGTTTCCGAAGCGGTACTTATCCTCATCCGGGATCCACTTCATCACAATGTTGCGGCACGACGTCTTCATGTCGTTCTTGTCGAGCTTAGAACGATAGACCAGCAGCTGGTAGCGCATGTAGAAGTCAGGATAGAGCCATCTCGAAGGGAATCCCGCGGCGGAGATGCGCACTGTTTCCAGCACACCGCAGGCTCTTAGCTGCTGTATGATTTTGGCCGTCTCCCACTTAAAGGCAACCTTATCATCGTTGGGCTGCGCGAAGTAGTCAAATTGTTAAGATTGTTTATGATTATATATCTCAGTGTACATCATCACCTTTATGCAGCGCACATAGTGCGGTGTTGTGGCATGTAACGTGGATATCAGCGAGGCCAAACTCTCCTGAAACTGCGATCCCACTGTTTTTCTATGCTGCTTGGAGGGTACAACCTTATAATAAGTGAAATTGGGGATTAGTAGAGCGACTACAAGAAGTGGACCAACACATAGTAAATTTTAGATTTTAACTAACAGCTTTTGTTAAAATTTAATTTTAAATACATTTGTTGTTCAAAAAAATATTTTACGTACTTTACTTTCATTTAATTGTTGAGTTAAAAAAAATAAATTATGATGAACAAAATCATAAAAACATAAAAAAAATTGTCTTTGAAAAATTACAACCTAAAATCTGACACCTGACACCTTTTCTGGTTAATAAATCAATTCTCAAAATGAAACATCTTATCTATTACTTTAAATTTTTGGGTGATAATGTTGTTAAACAGAGGTTTCAAATATGGGTGACTGATTAAAATTAAACTAATGTATGTCTTTGGGTTAGTCATTTCTTTGGTAAAATTAAATAGGTTGGTAACTAACTCTTCGACGCGTGTCTTTCCCTTGCTGTGGGGCATTCCGAGGGACGTTGGCGGTGAGCAAACGACAAGCGTATGAAAAATACAAATAGCAGTAAAGACAACGATTACAAATGGACAAAGTGTACAAGCGGTTTGATTCACAAGCTCCAAGCTGCACTCGGGTAACCACAAACCTGTTTGCGGCCAGCACTGATAACAACACGGCCGCCCAATGTGGACGATTTGGCGGTATCCACGTTCAAGGTGTCAATCTCCTCGAGGGTCATCACCTGCTTGACCAGGGACATATTAGACTCGCTCAGCACTTGGGTCAACTCCTTGGAGACAGTGTCACGATTCTTTTCCAAGAATCCGTTCACGTCATACTCGACTGTGTCCGAGAAATGTTTAATGAAGAAGCCTAGCAAATGAATTGATTTAAAACCGTTATCAATTTACTAATATTTTGGGCAAATATCACTGATTTACTTACTTGTGGTACCAAAACGAGGCTTTTCGAAATGCGGAAATTTACTGCATTTTCCTATGAGTTTCCCAGCCCAGCTTTCGTCGGAACCCTTGGGCATCTGTGGATTCACACAAATAAGGAAATAATTAAAAAAATAAGTCAAACCTATCTTACCCTACACTCCTCGTCGAGCAGGTCCAGCACTCCCAGTCGAGATTCAATCAGATCAATGCACGGCTGATTGTCGTAGAAGTCAATCATCGTCCAGGTGATGCCCTCCTTGAGGTACTCCTCCTGCTCCAGCTTAAAGACATGCTGGTTGAATTGCTGCTGGAGCTTCTCGTTCGCATAGTTAATGCAAAACTGTTCGAACGAGTTCACCTCGAACGTTTCGAAGCCGTAGATATCGAGGACGCCAATGAAGCTGCACTGCTTGCTACCGTTGTTGAGGCTTTTGTTCAGCACACCCACGATGTACTGGAACAGCTTGGCGTAGATGTGCTTGGCGAGGGCGTCTCGCGCCGCCTGCGCCGCCTCAATGCTGTTCGGTATCAGCACATATTCATTGACCGACTCTATCTTACGCATCAAAAGCCACCGACGCAGATCCTCGGCGCTCACCCGCAGCAGATCGCCGGTGATCTGCAGGTGGATGTCGTTGTGCTGATGAATGGATAAATTGTTTTAATTGGAGATGAAAATCGGTATTGAAATGTAGGGCTTACGAATATCTCGCAGGAATCAGTGTCTTCCTCCTCGCTTCCTTCGTTAAACTTTTTAGACACCTGGATGTTGCCCAAATGGAGTATACCGGCCAGAATCTTTACAATGTCCGCTATCTGCTGAATGGAGAAGCCTAGCACGGTCATGGCCTGCACGGTTTCGTTGAACTGGTCCGCATCCGAGACCCGTTCAATATCCGGTGCGCCGCCCATGTTGAGGAACTCAAACTTGTCCTGGTGATCTGTTCAAAAGAACTTATATGATTACTAACTAGTCTAAAATAGAAAAGGATTCTTGGACTCACCCAGCACCAACTCCGGATACTTGGCACGCGCCGCGCACAACTGGTAGAATATGTGATAGTTGCGCTCGCCTTGCGCCTGGTACACCACCCGGGACTTCTCGAGCAGGTAGGTGTGCATGGTGGCCCCCTGCAGGTACATCACGCCCATCTGGTTGCGGAACAGCAGCTTGGTGAACTTGCCAAACCGGGAGCTGTTGTCATTTCGGGTCGTCTTGGCATTGCCAAAGGCCTCCATGATCGGTGAAGATGCCAGCACCTTGCGCTCGACTTGTGTCTCCGACTCGGAACCTCCGACGGCGGCGAAGTACCTCATGGCGTACTTGGCGGACACAGTCTTGCCCGCGCCCGACTCCCCACTGACGATGATGCTCAGGTTGCAGTTCTCCCGCTCCAGTTTCGTGTAAGCCTCCTCCGCCAGGGCAAAAATGTGCGGCTCCAGATCGCCCATGGCATGTCCCCGGTACGCCCGGATGATGCTCGGCCCGTAAAGCGGCATCTCCGCGTACGGGTTGATGGCCACCAGGATGATGCCGCAGTAGGTGTAGATAATCTGGCGCTCGCAGAAGCGGACGCGCAGATTGTACAACACCCCCGGCTCATGCAGGTAGGACAATGTGGTCAGGTCGTTCTGTCCCACCAGAATGGCCGGATTGCGCAGCGGAGGCAAGTCGCTGCCATCGGCCTTCAGTTTGACCTCCTTGAGGCTTCCCGACTCGGTGCAGATCTTCAGGAATCCGGCGCCCTTGCGGTAGCTCTCCTCCAGCGTGGCGCTCTCCCACACTTGCTCCGCATGGGGCACCCAGATCTTGGCGCCCTGCAGAAAAAACGTTTGTGATTAATTGGAGTCATGACCTGCAGTCAAACCCAATTCCCGCCAGAGACCCAGTGCGGTGTCTTATCACCCAAGCTTATCGCACAACCCATTTCTGTGCCGATAAGGCGCTTCTGTGATTCACTGCCAAACATTTTCGGGGGCTGCGATGCAGTCATCAATGGCTAATCACCTGCCATGGGAACAAATCAGGGCCAAGAACTGGAAAATGGCACTCACACACACACACACATTGACCAAGGGGAAATCACGTTATGGGTGCAATTTTATATTGGCACCATTTGCAGACGACACCGACACCGCCGCAATCTGCCACGATGCACTTGTGGGGCATCAATATATTATACTGTGTAATACCTGCGCATATAGCATCTCCTCGCTCGACATAGTTCCACTTGCTCCTCGTCCACCACTGCCTCTTCCTCTGCCTCTGCCCGCTTCTTCTCCTTCTCCTTCTCTTCTTCCTACTCCGCGTGAATACGAGAGTGAGTTGTGCTCATAAATCCCGTTAGCTTTATTCCCTTTTATGTTTTGGTTGTTTTGGTGTTCTTTCCAGGCCCTGGCAGCCTATTTAAATGACCATTTTCGCTGTCTTTTTGTGTGGTTTACTTTAAATTTTCAATCCAAAGTGGTTAAAATAAGTTATGGATATTTACAAAATTTTCGAATTCATTGGTAATTTTAGGACCACTACTCCAAAGTGTGAGAAAAACAAACAAACTTCCGTCTCTGTCACCGACTGACTGACTGATGTATTGTTGTTGCCAAAAGGGCAGGGTTGCCAAAGGGCGCGCAGTTGAAGCCAAGTAAAATATATGGGATCTATTTGCAATAAATGAAGTTGAAGTATCTTTACACAACTCGAAAAAGTTCTATATAGTCGCTGGAAAAGTATATTTACTCTGGATAAGCCCCCAAAAAAACTCCTTAACATTTGGCGCGCAAGGCCCTGCAGCGTGTTTTGCAACACTGCTTACTCACCGAACTACCTTTTCCAGCACTTGAGCTGGCATTTTCCCGCGTATTTTTACTTGAGCTGCGACACCAGCGAGGCATCGTCCGAATTTTGGTCACAACAGTTCTAGTTTTCCTGCAGGACAGATTAAATAAATATACAGTTGTACGGATATGTCAAGCCCCGCTCGTTCGCCCAGTGTCGGAGCTGCCACGCCAAAACAGGGAGCCCGCACGCCTACGAGAGGTAAATATTTGAGTGTGCATATGTGACATTGTTTGGAAACCAAGCGTCTTTTTGCTTGCAGGCGTTGTTACGCACGATGTGGAGACTCCCATGCGCATGGGGCCAGGTAGGGCCGGAGTTCGGCCCTCGGACAACATCAGTTTGCCGCCCACATCACCGGGAAACATAAGTTTGCCGGCCACCAGTCCGGCCCGAGGACTGGGAGCCAACATGAGTGAGATCGATTTAAGTTCGCCGCTCAACTACGGCACGCCCAGTTCGATGGGCTCTATTCGCACCCCGCGTTCCGGAATTAGAGGCACTCCGCTGCGGGCACGTCCTGACATCCGGACGGACAAGCGCATCCGCCAGGTGGCCATTGGCGGTGGCTCAGGGGTAAGTGGAAGCCAGCAGCAAAACTAGAACTTTAGCTAATTTGCCCTTTGTATGCAGCTGGAGCCCATTCCTGAGAAGGGTTCTGAGACCACCGATCCTGTCTCTGAGTCCTCGCAAGCACCACAACTCGTTGTCTGGGGCACAAATGTCGTTGTCAGCCAGTGCAAGTCCAAGTTCAAGTCGTTCATAATGCGATTCATTGACCCCGGTGCCGAGCAGGACGAGATCTCCGAGAACATCGATGTGAATCAGCCGTTGTATCTGCAGAAACTGGAGGAGATACACACTTTGGAAGAGCCGTACCTAAATCTCAACTGTGCCCATCTGAAGACCTTTGATCAGGACTTGTATCGCCAGTTGATCTGCTATCCGCAGGAGGTTATTCCTGGTTTTGACATGGCCATAAACGAGATGTTTTTTGAACGATATCCGGCCGCCCTGCTGGAGCACCAGATCCAAGTGCGTCCCTTTAACGCAGACAAGACGCGCAACATGCGCTCCTTGAATCCCGAGGACATGGACCAGCTAATCAGCATCAGCGGCATGGTCATCCGTTCTTCGAACGTTATTCCCGAGATGCGCGAGGCCTTCTTCAGTTGCAACATCTGCTCCTTCAGCACTACTGTCGAGGTGGACCGCGGTCGCATCAACCAGCCCACGCTGTGCACCAACTGCAATACGAACCACTGTTTCCGCCTGATCCACAACCGATCCGAGTTCACGGACAAGCAACTCGTCAAGCTTCAGGAGTCACCGGACGACATGGCAGCCGGGCAGACCCCTCACAATGTGCTGCTGTATGCCCACAACGATCTGGTGGACAAGGTGCAGCCAGGAGACCGTGTTACCGTCACGGGAATCTACCGGGCCACCCCTCTAAAGAGCGGGGGTCTCGGGTCTTCAGTGAAGAGCGTGTACAAGACCCACGTCGATGTGGTGCACTTCCGCAAAGTGGACAACAAGCGGCTTTACGAGGAGGAGGAGGGGTAAGCTTTGTTGGCTAATATTGATCAGAAAAGCATTTCCTCACAACAAATACCTTTCAGCAAGGATCACATCTTCCCGCCAGAACGTGTTGAGCTGTTGCAGTTGCTGGCCAAGAAGCCAGACATCTATGACCGCCTGGCCAGGGCCATTGCACCATCAATCTACGAGAACGACGACATCAAGAAGGGCATCTTGCTGCAGCTTTTTGGCGGCACAAAGAAGAAGCACGCAACTCTCGGCCGTCAGAACTTTAGATCGGAGATTCACCTGCTTCTGTGCGGTGATCCGGGTACTTCCAAGTCCCAGATGCTACAGTACGTCTTCAATCTGGTGCCAAGATCACAGTACACATCTGGTCGCGGTTCTTCGGCAGTTGGTTTGACCGCCTATGTGACCAAAGATCCGGAGACACGCCAGCTGGTCCTGCAAACGTAAGTATTAAAGCGTGATTTCACATTAGAACTGTGTTTCACATGGTTTTTTATTTTCAGAGGTGCTCTGGTTTTGGCCGATAATGGTGTTTGTTGCATTGACGAGTTCGACAAGATGAACGACTCGACCCGTAGCGTGCTCCACGAGGTGATGGAGCAGCAGACGCTGAGTATTGCCAAGGCGGGCATCATCTGTCAGCTAAACGCAAGGACCTCCATCCTCGCAGCCGCCAATCCCGCCGAGTCGCAGTGGAACAAGCGCAAGAACATTATTGATAATGTGCAGCTTCCGCACACCCTGCTCTCCCGTTTCGATTTGATCTTTTTGGTCCTGGATCCACAAGATGAGATCTTTGACAAGCGTTTGGCGAGCCATTTGGTCTCTCTCTACTATGTGACCCGGCACGAGGAGGAGGACACCATGTTTGTAAGTACAATTGTGAGCTATTTTATTAATGAAGTTTGCAATTAAACGATTATTTTTAAATCTATTTTTCAGGACATGAGCGTTCTGCGCGACTACATCGCTTATGCCCGCGAGCATCTCTCGCCCACGCTGTCGGATGAGGCGCAGCAGCGACTGATCCAGGCATATGTGGATATGCGCAAGGTGGGTGCCGGACGTGGCCAGATCTCAGCCTACCCGCGCCAGCTGGAGAGTCTTATTCGTCTGTCGGAGGCGCACGCCAAGGTGCGGCTTAGCAACGAGGTGGAACTGCTGGACGTGGAGGAGGCTTGGCGACTCCATCGTGAGGCTCTTAAGCAGTCGGCCACTGATCCGTTGTCCGGAAAGATCGACGTAGGTATCCTCACCACCGGACTATCCACAGCAGCCCGCAAAAAACGTGCTGATCTAGTGGCGGCCATCAAGGAGAACCTCAAGAAAAAGGGCAAGGTTCTAACAGTTCCCTACCAGAAATTGTTTAACGACATTAAAGAGGGTTCACAAATTGTGAGTATATACATATTGGTTTATCCGTCAGAGTACAATACCATAATTAATTAACTATTCTAGATGATTACAAGAGAGCAGTTTGAGGATGCTCTGAAGGAGGTTCAGGATGAAGGCGCTATTGTTGTCATGGGCAAAAACACTATTCGTATTTGTTAATTTTATGTTTATCTCATTCGGAACCATCAACTCATTCATTCCTATTCTTAAGAGCAACTAAAAAATGTTTTTCAATAAAAAATTTCTAACTACGTTGTCCTGTTTGCGTAAACATTTTTTCAACTAGAAAAATATTGGTATTTAAATAGGTATGCAATATTCTTTAAGATTTAGTTTAAGCTCAGCTGGATGTTGATAACGCTTCCATGGCATTTACCAATATGGACGACAAGGAAGAGGAGCTGATGGTAGATTGTAGAAGCAGCCACATATTGTTGTGCTGCGATCAGAACATTTTCAGGCAAAATAGATTTTAATTTCGAAAGAAATCAAAAATTGCGCCAACCTTGCATATAAAAGCCAGCTGTTGTAGTGGTGGCACAAACGATATATTGTTAAATATCGGTATAATTCCTGTGTAAATAAATGCGCATTAGGGTAAATGCGTTTTAATGCGCCAAAGGAATCCGGGTATTTGACTGTTTCTAAACCGTTTGCTGAAAGCTAGACTTGAAAATCCTCATTTTTTATATACGGTCAAGATTGAAATCTGCGCATATCGGACGTTACAATACAATTTGTTACAAATACATTCTGCTGTCAAATGAACGATTGGAAAGAATGCATATGTATTCGCACTTCAATAAAATTCACGAAAACCATAATATACCGATGACATTCGCGAACACGCTAATATACCGATAAGTTATGAGCTAGTTTACTCATCCCTATCTATGTGATGTTGCCAGACCGGCCCAATTACCGTTGGCTCTCGTTTTAAGATTACGGTTAATAAGTAAACTATATTGATCGATATCTCGTTATATGTTATAGCGTCTGCACACAGCCGCTCAAAATAGTTGTAGCGAAGAAGTTGATGTGACCCATTCACACAGGCACCCGCTGATGAAAAAAAAAAGCTGATCGGCCTACTAGAAGTAATCAAACCTAAAAAGAAGAAAGAGAGAACTCAAAATTCAATTTTCCCGCCAACAAAATGGATATTAAAGCAAAACTATTGATCAGACGAACAAAACTCCACGATTCAACAGCTTGAGAATACCCTTGGCCTAGCGAATACCCCAATTGTAGTGCCATTTTTAGTGGATTTGCGCTAGAGTATTGCAGATTTTTTGGCGCTCTGACCGCTGCCACACTGTGTGTACGGAAAATGATGGAGTTCGGGAAATCGTCGGAGCACTCCCAGCACAGCGCCTCCGAGGCGTCGGCGGACTCCGGCAGCCTGGCCAACAGCGACCTGGCCGTCACGCCCACCAAGCGGCATCGCCGCAAGTCGCCGGCCACCAGCTCGGACAACACCAGCACCAGCGTCCAGCCGCCCATGTCGCCGTCCTCGTCGGTGGTGGACACCACCTTTGAACCCACCATCGACATGATGGTCAACGACTTCGACGACGAGGCCACGCTCAACGAGGAGGAGGCCCTGGCCGACATGGAGGCGCACAGCGCCGAGGACGAGATAGCCACGCTGCGCGAGGAGAGCGAGATGCCCATCGAGGAGCTGCTGGCCAAGTACGGCGGATCGGCAGCTTCCCCGGCAGTCAGCAGCTCCAACCGCTCCGGCAGTAGCTCACGACGTGCCCGTCGAGCCACCAAGCGCCAGTACCAGGAATTGGACACGGAGGCGGCCCATGCGTCCACCTCCACTTCGAGCAGCGCCTCGCAAGTGGAAAAGCCCAACGAAAGCTTGGAGCAGGAGGAGCGGAAGGAGGTGCCGGACAAGCAGACATCTCTCCCGGAAACAGGAGAAGCTTCATCCATGGACACAGAAGATGCATCACCGTCTGAAGGCCCCAAGAAGCAGCATCGCTCCCACTTGCTCAACCTTTATCCGGATGAGTCCTTCTCCGATCTGGCACCCCCCTGCGGTGAAGAGACTGAAAGATGTAGGTATTAAGCCAATCCGTAACAGAAACTGAACCTAACGATCCCATTATGTAACCCTTTTATAGTCACTCCACTGCAGACGCTCTTCGATGAAGTGGAGGCCGAGGAGGAGGAGGAAAGCGAGTCCGAGTTGGACGACGCCCGAAAGATTATAATGGTGGGCCGCGACTTTCAGGCGGAGATTCCCGAGGGCCTCTCGCAATATGGCGACATATTACCCTACGAGAACGAGGATCAGTTGATCTGGGAGCCCAGCCAAGTCAGCGAGCGAGAGGTGGAGGAGTACTTGGCCAAGATCCAGGAGACGCGAACCATAGTCCCACCAGAAAGCGGGGCAGAAAGTGCGGCAGACGAGGAAGCTGAAGCTATAGGTGCTTCTGCCGAACCACCGGCTACCACTCCCGCTCCTGAGACGCCTCCCAAGGCACTGCCTGCGACCGGTGCCGCCGCCGACCAGGAGCTGGTGGTGAAGGACAACGAACAGGCGCTTCACTTGCTCGTCCAGTGTGGCTACGACTTCAAGGAGGCGCTGCGCCGCAAGCGTATGAATGTCCTGCCCCTCAGCGACACCATGAGCAGCTGGTCCGAGGACGAGTGCCTGAAGTTCGAGGAGGGCATCCAGAGGTTCGGCAAGGACTTCTATCAGATACGGCAGAACCAGGTAAAGGATCGTCCTTCGCCCGCCGATCGCCCCTAGCGAGTAATCTGTGGGCTCGTTGGGCTCTTTCAGGTGCGCACCAGAACCATGCGTGAGCTGGTCCATTTCTACTACCTGTGGAAGAAGAGCGAGCGCCGGGATCAGAGCTTTGCTCTGAACGATACCATCGATCACATGGACGTCTTTATCAATGAGGCGGGCGCAGGAAACGGGAGTGGTAATGGAAATGGTGCTGGGACTGGGGCAGCCAACAGCAACGGCAGCTGCTCCCCGCACAGCAGCAACGGTCACAGCAACGGGGACATGTCCGCCCTGGAGAAAGATGCCGTTGCAAGTCCACGAAAGCCCGCCTCGAAGAGTTATTCCATTATGACTGGGAGTCAGACGGCAGGAAATGTGCCTGGAGGAAGTCGCAAGCGGGGCGCATCTACATCCGCCCCAGCGCCCCTGGAAGACGAGGACAACAACGTCGAGGAGGAGTCCAACCTGGCCACTGCGTAAACGGCAACTCCATCATCACCGAGCGCAGGCGCTTTCGATCAGGCTGGGCCAGGCGAAGTATTAGCAGGGCGCCTTCATTACCATTACCACTCACTATAAATATGCATACTGTACGTGTAGTATAAACCATATGACTAAACATATATATTCCAGATTCTTAAATCGAAATCTCTCATACCCCGTAAAGAATTTCTCTATTGTTAAGTATGCGATTCCGAAACCAAGTACTTATCGCTTATATATACAATATATTTTCGCTCAATCCTTGAGTTTCGTTGAATGTCAATAAATGTAATAAGTATATCTTTGAAGTTAACTTGCCATCGATCAAATGTTCTCGCGATTTGGGATAATGGTTTGAAATTTAATAATTGAAATATTTTGACCTGTAAACATTTTTGAAATTGGATATAGCACATCAGCTTTCAGGATTTTGTAAGTTCCGTTACCAGCTTATCTGCACGACGGTCTGGAATTCATTTTGAAAACAAACTAAATGACTAATTCACATAAGCATTCCGGATAGTTCGATTTAGAAAGAAGATATATAGCATGTATATACAACTATTTAAAACTTAAATCTTTCTAGAAATATATTTTGATTACGCCCAAAAAATATCCGTATTAGTTTCTGATTCAAATGAATATATATTTTTCAACTCCTTATATAATTAAAAAAAAAGCAGATTAAATTATAAAGATTTTCATTATATTTTTTGGTGCACAGAAAATGACACCTTGGCCAACCAAACATTTTTGTGGGATATCAAAATGATCAAAAAATAAATTTTATTAAGCAAATTGTACATTTTGAAATATTAGATTAGGAATTAAAATTTCTAATTAGAAACCTTAAAAAAGTATAACTGGGATTCGGAAACAAAACTTTTTAATGAGAAAACAATCTTGGCGTTTTAGCTGCACATACAAAAAATAAGTTCCTCGCAACAAGCTTGTTTGTGTCGAAGTTTCCGTACTTTTTTATTACCCACAGAATATTAAAAATGTAACTTTTTGAAAAACACGGTCTATTTAAATTTTATCAAAGAACCGCATGATATTATATAAAACAACAATATATAATCAACAGTTTCTTTCGAAAGGAAAAATACATATTTCTGAAAGAAATTCGTGTTTGGATAAAATCTATAATACAATTTAAACTATTAAACTATTGAATATATTTACAAGCCCGGTTCAAGGAGTTTACTACACGTATTTATCAAAGGCAGATGCAATGTACAAGCTAAGTATTCCTTTTAAGTTAACCGGAATGAAAACAAAGAACCGGTCCGTACATTAGTATGTATGCCTGTATCTTTTTCCCTAGTTTTCTTCGCAAGACGTTCTTGAAAATGGCCAATTACGGTGTTGGATTCCCACTTATTGGTCGGTTGTCCGTCCACGTATATGTACATACATCTGTGTTTGTGAGAATACGAATGTGTGGAATTGCGGCGAGGATCAAATGTCAAGCTGAAACCTAACCGCAAAGCTTCAGATCTGATAAATAACCCCGGTCGCCAATTGTCGTGTCTGCCTCACTTGCATTTTCGCAGTCTCAAGAAGAGGAGACTCAACCCAAAACGTGCAAAGTATGTATATGTACATATATTTTTACTACATAGAAATGTACATACAGACAACGGATACAGTCTTCGGTTCCAGGCTCACGATCGTTCCAGCTGGAGCTTTTGTTCCCACACACCCTCGTATAGGTGTATGTATGTATGTATGAATGTACTGGCTCCACTGGCGTGGCGTGAATTTTGTACGTTCACTCCAGCTCCATTTCCAACCAACCAGCCAGCCGACCGTAGTAAAATCCAGTTTTGATAAAAATAAACAAAGTACGCTACACCGCGCTCTATACGCTACTCTATGAATTTCCAGCCTTTGCGGCAGGTTCACCTGCAAAAAGGATCTATTTTAGGGGCTAAGCGGGGTGGGGCAGTAAAATCTCTGGAAAAATGTTTAGCCCGAGAGAGAGTGACATGTCCGCTCAAGTCGCTGAATGGACGGCTGGAATGCTTTAACCTCTTTCTGTTGCAGAGCATATTGGATTCGTTACGGCGGGCCCACAACGGCGAAGTTAACAACCGTAAAAAGCGCAAATACGACACAGCGAGTTGCGGCCAGCGGAAGCTTAACATCCGGATAATATTGCCAGGCGGTTCAGTTGTTGTTCTGCTGCCTCGCCTGCTTCTTCTTCTTCTTCTTCGTAGTCTTCGGTTCGTGGCAAAGCCTGTTGCTCAAGCCTCTCTCCTTCTCCTTCCCGTCTCCTCTGCCGCTGCCGCCTCCGTCCGCTCTTTCCACGATTCTCTCTCGGCACCGCCAAAAGGCACGTAAACTGGTTGTTGCTGTGCTGGTTGGGCCGTACACTTCGTAGTGCCCGTATTTTTCGTATTTTCAGTGCTGGCTGAGCGCTTGAGCTGCGCGATTCGCTTGCCGGGAAAATCGGAACTGGAACTGCCCATCGGGATTGGCTATTGGCAACTCGGATCTGGACATGGAGCTGGCCTACAATGCGTCATCGTCGGCGGCCCCCGTCGCCTCCGCATCGGCCTCCTTCGCCTTCACCAACACCGCAAAGCTGCCCATCGAAACGGTGAAGCGCCTGATTGCCGCCGTCTCCCGCCGACCCATGTTGTGGCTGCGCAACAATGCCAATGGCCAGAAGCGCAGCGACATCACGCCCGTCTGGTTCGAGGTGGGTCAGGATGTGAATCTGCCAGGTAACTATTTGTCGATCTTCTGTATGGGTATGGTCCCCTCTAAAACAGTCCCCCTCTGCAGCCGACATCTGCCGCATCAAGTGGGGCCACCTGAGGGACAACTTTCGCAAGGTGTACATCCGCAATAACCTGTCCAATGAGACGCCCTCGTCGTGGCGCTTCTACAACGACATGAGGTTCATGGAGCCCGCCGTTCATGAGAATATCATGCGGCAGACGCGAAGCAGCAGCAAAAAACACCCACCCGGACACTGGACAGAGAATAACAATGTTTTGGAACCGGGAAAGTACGACGCAATGCCCATCGTGGCCACGGAGCCCATTTGCGAGATCAGTGATAGCTACGATTCGGAGCTGCATCAACCCAGCTTTTCGGACATAAGTTCGTTCTTCGAGGATCGCGACTGCCACCCGCCGGACAGCAAGCGGTTCAAGCTGGAGCCGCATCAGGCGGAGGAGGAGGAGGATGACGATGACTTCGATGAAGATGCCGCCTCGGAGAACCTGGATGAAGAACGGAGCAAGCGGGTAGAGGCCTCAAACCCCGGCGTGTACACCATTGAAGTGCTGGACGATGATGAGGAATTGGAGCAGGCGGTTACCAAGGCCAAGAGTACCAATACCAGCCACAGCTCTAGCCTAAAGAGCGAGCCGGAGGCCAAGGTGTTCTCCAATTCGCAGTCCCCCACTTCCGATTTGCCCTTCAAGTACATCAGCACGGATGCAGCAACCAACACGGATCCAACTGGAGGCGATCTTCAAGATGAGGCGGATCGCATGTTTCTGCTCAGCCTGATGCCCTTCCTGCAGAGATTGGACAACCGTCGTCGACTGCGGGTGCGCCAAAAGCTGCAGAACGTGCTCATCGAGGAGCTGGAGTTCGGCTGAGGATCCTAACAGGATACGGATTCCAGGGGGAATGTGGGAAATGTACTTTATAAGCTTAGCTTACAGTATTATAAGAACGTGACTGACTAACTCTGTGGATCTGCCTACATACGTAGCATGTAATCAGTATTCCGGCCTGCCTTCCTTTATATAAACACACTTTCATACATACCATATTATAGTATACCTACATATGTACGTTTCAAATAGACGACCACGCCAGCGTACTAACTTGTCTCTTTCTGAGGATAGCCGCTTGGTTTTACCTGTATCTGCGTTCCGGTGCACCTGCGCCTTTTACCTGCGCACCCCCGCTCTCCGCCCACGGTTTCGAGTTCCCAATTATCCACGGCCACGGCTCTTGCAATCGCATTTTTCAAGCCACGGGCGGCTCGAAATTTTTGTCAGTGCAAAACAAGTTCCTTAAGGGTGGTGTATGTGGCCAAAACAACAACAAGCAGTCGCAGTACAGCAACAACAACAAATCTATCCGCATTTTCGCGCCACATGCGCCGTTAATGTAACGCACTCTTGCTCGCTCTCTTCCGCTCACGGTCTCTCCCGGTCGCTCAGTGGGTTCCGGATGGTCGAAGTTTGAAAGTGCAATGGCGACTGCGAAATACTCTAATAGGAAATAGCACTTTAGTTGATATCGAACGATATCGTTATTTTGAAGCGGATCTATGTACACTAGAGCTGTCCGTATTGAGGAAAAAATGAATTCTAAAGTCTGCGCTTTAGCTTTGGTGATTATCATTGGGCGTATTTAGCAGAATCAGAATCAGTCACTAATCAGTGATCAAGTTTGTTCTGCTGAAAGCGTATGATACATTACGCAATAATCAATTATTTTTTGCTTGTTTTGTGTACATTCTTATTTTTCTGTTTATTCTTATCGATATTTATACCATCGATATAGGCTAGCAGATATGTATCATGTATCACGAAAAGGTAGCGTACTATTTTTACGCTCCTTTTTTGCTGATCACGATGGAAGAATTTTTGCATACGCGTTTAGATGAACTATCGTAAGAAATCCATCAGTGATCAGTAATCTTGTTGTCCTGCTGAATAAGCCCACTCATTCGTACTGTTGTCTTACATACATACATAATTTGTTTTAACTGACATCACATGTCGCATGAGTAATTTTTTGAAAACTTGAGACTTTTACTCAACGCGTATATTCATCATAATTTTCGAAGGTAAATACTTTTGCTGGAAATAATGCTACAGTTTGTTTTATGATCGAAATTCTTGGACAAAGTTAAAATCGAATAAAAGTGGGCATATACTTAAATATTATACGTAACCAACAAGGATGTTGTAAAATGTATTTATATATTTGCTTCGCTTATTGGGAATAATCACATTAAGTAAAAATGCTATGAAGTCCATGCCAAGTTCCCAATCAGTTATACCCACTTTTCCATTAGGTAGGTAAAATAAATTTTTAAAAAATGAAATCATTTTCGAAATTAAATCCATGAATAAATATTGTGGGTTTTTATTTTTTAAACAACAACTTTCTGAACCATCATTAAAGATATAAATAATATAAAAAAAAGATTTTGCAGTGTGACCAGATCGACAACCCTCAGAGAAGAATTTCCCCCAGTCGGCTATGCCTGATACGACAAACAGGGGCGCAAATAAAAAAAACAACAAACGCTCGGTCGAGAGAGCGGGACAGAGAATAAGAGGAAGAGGCCGAGGCGAGCGCATGAACGTGAGTTTTGCAGTTTGATGGTTAAATGCGTGCGTGAAGGTTGGAGTGAAGATTTCGAGCCGATTTTGATCCTAGTGCTCGCAATAAGTGGGTCAGAACTGGAACCGTTCGATTAAGCCAAGCAAAACAAAAGTGCATCTAACACACGCCCGCCAAAGTAATTTGTGGAACTAGCAGAGGCACAATAAGAACAATTGCTCATGGCTTTTTTATGTTTCTCGTTCGTTTTGCAGGAGGAAAAGTGCACGAGGGTGGTACCTAGAGTAACAGTGATTCGTCCGAAAAGCCTGGACAATGTAACCATTTTGAGAAGACTTCGTTAGCTTTTACATCGATCAAACACTCACATGATAAACGAATAAGAACGGACGAGAAAATCAAATTGCAGCAGTGTGACGACTATGGGACACCCTGAAACTGCATAGAGTGTATGATTTTGACAAGTGAGTAGCTAAACTGGTAAACTTGATAAAGAAAGCCCAAAGAGGCATTTATTGAGGTTACTAAATAAATAAACTGGGGTGCTGGGGTAAGAATATGCCGTTTTGTGAGTTAACTACATATTTTCTGGGGAACCTATACACCCTTGGTACCGTGCACCAAAACGGACGCCATTATCCTATTAGCCGTTATGCTCGTCAGACGATTCGATTGTTTGAGGTTAGTAACAGTACATTTAACCAAACTTCTGCAACGACCCTCTGTGTTAAATGCAGTTCTTTGCGGCATAAGTGAAAATAAATAGAAGATAAAATGTGCATGTGAGCCTCCCATGCATGCGTATGTGTATGTGCCCCTGCGAAGGAGAGATAGAGAGCGAAAGCAATAAGAGAGAGCGGGCGAAAGAGAGAGCGACATTTTTGGAGCGCGCGCGCACATCAAAATCAAAAAACTAACTGTGAGATACATTTGGGTTTATTTTTTTTTATATTTTGTTTAGGCTACATAGATGATGAGCGGCAAAGCAACAGAGAGAGACAGAGAGAGAATGAGAGATTTTATGTTGTGTTTTCAGTTTCGGTTTCGGATGTATCTTCTTCAGTCGGAATAAGGAATACACGAATGTCGGAGCGAACGGATTACGCATATAAGAACTCTCTGGAAAAAGAATATCGCCTCGCGAAAATTCGCTGAAAAGGCAAAACCAATTCAAATCCAAACCGAATCCGCATCAAATCAAAAATCGAATCAATTAGCGAAAAGCGGTAAAAATCGGGCGGAGCAACAACAAAAGCGAAGCGGCTTGCATGCGGCTGCTAAAAAAGGTGTGTACGCGAAGGAGATGCAAATAGAGAGCGAAAGAGGGAGGGAAAAAACAGTGCAACTATCAACACAAAATGATAAATAGACTTTAATGCAAATATTGATTTTTTCGGTTCCCAAGATTCCCAAAAGATTCCTCTCAACGTTTTTCCATTTTTGGAAAATATACATACACAAATATACACGATTTGCGGCGCAGAAACCACCTACATACGGACATGTAGAGAAACTTGTGTAAATACAACCCTCGTCCTCATCCCCCGACGTTTTTGCGTCGTATCCTCGCCGCACGTACACAGATGTACGGTTGGGCGTCCGTGTGTTTGTGAAAGGACTTTAACTTCTTGGTCGTGTTTTTTTCACGTCCTACGACTCGGAGACAGACCCGTTTCAATGGAAAACGTTCAAGGGTGACAAGGGTAGTTTTGCCTCTGCCCCTCCTCCTCTTCGTCCTTATCCTGCTCTGCTTCTTTTTATCCTTGTTTTTGTTGTTGCTGTCTACACGGTTCGAAAATATCCTAGAATTGCATTACTTTCCTAGGGCGTTGCATTGTTTCGCCGAAAATGGGGATCAAAGCAGAGTTAGTGTATTGATTTCATTTCAATTCTTAGGATGAAAACCTTAGCAACTCAACCCAATCGCAACCCTTTTGCTTAATCTTCCTAAACCTCAAACAGCACTATTGTGTACATTTTCTCACTGTTAGTATCCTGGAAATGTATGTATGTTATTCACAGGCTTTTGCCTTATTTATGAAGGGACATAATTTAAATCAGTTACCATTTTATTTAAAATTTAAAATAATTAGTACACGCAAACAAATAGTTTAGTTTTTTGAAATGAAAGCATGAGGATCACTTTGATTCGAATTCCTTCCTAAACTAAATTTATAAACTATCGACAAACATTTAAACACATTACAAGTTTTCTGCCAGTCACTCTAAATTCAAAAGAATTACCTTTTCTCCCTAGAACTAGTTTTGTATTAAAGTAAACCAACAAAATCTTTAATTGTAATCATTTTGCAATAAAACTCGTTATAAAAGAGATATTAATTCATAAAGCACTAAACTACATCTTAGACATAAAACATAATTTCACCAGATACATAAACCAGCTTAGTGTTAGTCAGTTGACTTCATTCTTTTACCTTTGCGGAAACAACAGAAGTCCAACACCCAATTCACTCATAAGAATAAACCCTTTTTCACCCAAACCCCCAAGCTAACTGGATTTCCTTGGGCCCACCCTTGAAGTTATGCTATAAATTAACTCGAATCACCAGAAATCAAAATTACGGAAAAACCCGTTCTGTCGACAGGTTTTCCTCGAAGTGTAGAAGAAGCCACTCCGAAATCCTGCTCCTGCGAGGGGATGAAAGTCGCTCGTTTGATTGGGCGTACGTTGCTTGTCTTGAAGATGGCAACCAGTTCCGTCTGTTGTTTCGTGACGTTTTCGTTTTAGATTTTCCACCGCCCCCTCCTCCCCCTACTCCCTGCCGGAAAAGTCGCTTGCGCAGTGCAGGCGAAGTGAGGTGGTTGGTGGCGAAACAGGAAAATGGTGTAACTACGCGTTAAGGTTGAGCAGTGAGGTGGGGCACCGCTATAGGGTGGGTTCTAATCCCTGCCTGTTTGTTTTCCCCCGTTTTTGGGGGTAATTTCCCGACTCTAGTATCTGGGTTACACAAAGTATCTAAGGAGTACAGCCAGTTCGCCGAATTGCGCGCGAAAAACCATCGCCATTTTGGCCCATAAATGCGTGGCAAATGCTGAAATTCCGGGATTCCAAATAATTAGACAATGGCTTGAATGCAGCCGAGCATCTTGCAGATACAAAGATACAAAGATACACACACAAATCTGACCTGCTGCTGCTCGCGCCACACAGCTGCCATTCTCGGGTTGCATTGCATTTCCCGGATTCGGGACGGGCCTGCTTAAAGGATCAGGGGTAGGGGATCGTAGATCAAGGTTCGGGCATAAGAAGCAGGCAGGCGGTCGGGGAATTTTCCCGCTACCTAAGATGCCTTGATGCCCAGATGCAGCTGCAATTGCCTGTCTAGGACTACTTAATGAAGCACCTTTTCCCTAGCCAATTTAGTTAGCTGCTACCCTTCGGCAACTGACGACGTCCCGCGCGTTCCAAACGCATTTTAGAAAAAAAAAAAACACTAAAACGCACTCCTTGACAAGCCTTCGTGTCTTTGAGATTTCCTATAACGCTTCTGAATTTTCCACGCAAATCTTTTTAGCGGAAAAGCGCCTCTCCATTGACTGCCGCCTTGTGCTATAGAAACGTGATCTCACCACTCTTATGATGGAACTCTTGTCAAACAATTCGGTTCCGCAACAAATGGCCAGCAGCAATGCGCCGAGCGCCAACGGCGTGGCCTCTTCGACGGCCAACGGAAGTGGCGGCGGCAGTGTGAGCAGCAATGCCAGCAACTCCTCCGAGCGGCTGCTGGCGGGCATCCTCGAGAGCTTTCCCGCCTGGGACCTCAACGTGGGACTGCTGCCCAATGTGGGTCAGAGGTGAGTTCGAAACGGGACTGAAAACCAAGCGGAAGATAAAGATTCAATGGCATTTAATCACTCTTTTAGCTCACCACCACGGACAGACTTCTTCATAAACAACTTCCTGGGCGGCCTGGATACGCATGGCGACTTCAGCATCGGACCCATAGGCAGCGGCGCACGCAGCAATCCCAAGATGTCGCCGGAGTCGTCCAACAACTCGAGCATCAGCTGCGGCTGGTGCGAGGTGAGCGCCTCGATACGCTGCCTGGAGTGCAATGAGTTCATGTGCAACGACTGCCTGAGGGAGCACCGCAACAGTCCGCTGTCCTCCAACCACTCAATAGTGTCCCTGCCCACGCCCATCGGAGCCTCGCCCACGGGGGGCAGCTCCGTCAACGCACAGACGCCGCCCAGCGGCAACTTCATCTGCGACATTCACAACGAGATGCTGCGCTACGTGTGCGACTACTGCCGGAAACTGGTGTGCCAGTGCTGCACGCTGCACGAGCACAAGGAGCACAGCTACGCCTCCATCCAGAGCTTCATGGTGGGCTCCAAGGAGAAGCTGGAGGGCGCCATCGAGAGCAGCCAGGTGGGCACGCGCTGCATTAAGAGCAGCATTGACAAGGCGCTGGCCTTCATCCGGCTGATTGAGCGCAACTGCAGCGAGCTGAGCGACAATATCCGCAAGGCATTCCGTCAGTTTATCATTGCCATCGAGGACCGCGAGCGTTTCCTCCTCGATTTTGTGGAGAAGCTCCGCCAGCGTCGCCTGGCCATCTTGCATGACCAGATGGCGGGCCTGAAGTCGGCCCTCGCTGGACTCTCCGAAACCTCCGACATGCTCAGCAAGGTGGCGGACAATGCCTGCAACATGGACCAGATCGAGATTGCCATGAAGCTGACCAATGGTCAGCGCCAGATGGAACAATTCGCGGGAATCTACAAGGACCTGCAGCCCAAGCAGGAGGTCTTTGCCTTCGCCCCCCCAGACTACAGCCTGCTGCAGGACATCCGCAACCAGGGCGGCGTAGTCCTGGTGGACGACAAGAATATGCCCATAGTGTCCAGCAGCAACGGCATCGTGCCGAGTGTCTCCAGTGTGAGTGCCGTGGCCGCCGCCTCCGTAGGAGTCGGCGTCGGTGTGGGAGGCGTCGGCGGAGGAGTTGGAGCCGTCGGAGTGTCCAACGGTATGGACATGGCCTTCGGCTTGAATATGGCCAGTAATCCGCTGAACGTGGCCTCCTCGAGTGTCCGTCGTCCCCTGCTGCGAGACAACAGCTTTCGGATTCCATCGCCAATCATGCAACCGCGTGGAGGAAGTGCCTGCGGCATGTCAAGTGGCATGTCCAGTGCGGCGCTGGACTGGGAGCTCAACGGACTGCGCAGCTCGCCTGGACTACACTTTAGTGCGCCGCGAACCACACAGGCCATTCCGGGATGCATGGATCTGGTCAAGGTGCGCAACTCCAATGCTCTCTCGCTGTCCTTCGCCACCGAGGGCCATGAAGACGGCCAGGTGAGCCGGCCGTGGGGCCTGTGCGTGGACAAAATGGGCCACGTGCTCGTCTCGGACCGCCGCAACAATCGCGTCCAGGTCTTCAATCCCGACGGCTCCCTGAAGTTCAAGTTTGGCCGCAAGGGCGTGGGCAACGGAGAGTTCGACCTGCCCGCAGGAATCTGTGTGGACGTGGACAACCGCATTATTGTGGTGGACAAGGACAACCATCGTGTGCAGATCTTCACCGCTAGCGGCGTCTTCTTGCTCAAATTTGGCAGCTACGGAAAGGAGTACGGCCAGTTCCAATATCCGTGGGACGTGGCCGTGAACTCGCGCCGCCAGATTGTGGTCACCGACTCGCGCAACCATCGCATCCAGCAGTTCGACTCCGAGGGTCGCTTCATCCGCCAGATAGTGTTCGACAACCATGGGCAAACCAAAGGAATCGCCTCGCCACGAGGCGTTTGCTACACGCCCACTGGCAACATTATAGTGTCTGACTTTGACAACCACTGCCTCTACCTGATTGATCCAGACATCAACGATGTAAATATGATTGTGTTCTTACTCTTACACTTGGCATGTCGTAAATGCTAATAATTTTGGGGATTTATTGCAGATTCTCTCCGTGAAGGGACACGAGGGCTCGGGCTTCCATGAGTTCAATCGGCCCTCGGGCCTGTGCTGTGACGATGAGGGCCGCATCATAGTGGCCGATTCCAAGAATCAACGCATCCTGGTCTTCAACCAAAACCTGGACTTTATGTGGGATGTAAGTATGAGAACGTTAGAACTTTGAGAACTTTATTAACAAAGTGTCCTCTTTACGTATACAGATCGAGGTGCGACCCTCCATCAATCCTCTAATGCCGCCCACGCTGGACGAGAAGGATCGCACATGCGATGTGGCCATAATGCCAGACGGTCGCATCGTTTTCCTCATTGAACTGTCGCCAGACTCCAAGGAAGGGTCTAACCCTTACAAGCGGTTTGTGCACGTATTCTAAATTAGGCAACAAGTGCTGATCATTTTTAGAGCATTTACAAGAGCTAAACTAGCTGAACGTTAGCGTAGAGATCCGAAAGACAGAACGATTAAGAACAGGTACCGAAACCGAATCCGAAATAGTAAGGGAAAATCAGAATTGAGTGCATGGAAATAGCGAAAATTTTTAGCTTAAGTGCTACAACGATTACCTCGATAATGCTTAAGAGTTATGGTTACGATTTGGTAATTTACAATACAATACGAATTACAAATATGTATGTATCTATGGATATCTATATCTATACGAATATGCATATGTTTAGCGAATATACAAGCCCAACCAACCAACTAGAACTAAAACTAAAACTAAAACGAAATCGAAAACTAAAGCGGAAGGCAGTTGAGTAGGATATAGGATATAGGAGATATATATATTGACGTAGGATCCGAGAGCATTCAGTAGAGTTACCGAACCTAGTAAAAGATAAAGCGAAGAGGGAAACTCAACCATTTACTAGATGAAAATATTATTACCTGTTAGTTAGACTGAAAGGCAGTTTGCTAGCTGATAGAACGAGTAGGAATGAAGGTGGGGATTGCGTTTTTTATGGGGTTGCTTAGCGGAAAGGGGAAAACTACTTTCGACAAGAGTTACTAAACATGATTTGCAGAGACACTGTGGAATGGTATTAATGTTTGTATTATATTCTTAATTCGTTTGTTTAGTTCTGTTTTACGTTTACTTTAAAATAACTTTTTTTGGGACATATTTTTAATAATTTTTGTTTATAATTGAGACTGAGCAAGTGAGTACACGAACTTTGTAGAAAGAAGCAAAGCAAAACAAAACAAAACAAAACAAAGAAACAAACAAAAATCAGAAAATATTGATGAAACCCGCTGACTTTTGGTTGAACTTTTAACAAAGACTGATTAACTAAACCGCAATTTCGGAGCCAACTAAGGAACCATATATGGTCAGGCCAAAAAAGTGAAAAAATCCAACACACTAAAATTGCAATGACATTGATAACGTAAAGTAACTTAACATAGCATAACATAAAACACATACTTTCACACATATAGCAATACAGAAATCATATAGATCCGATCATCCAGTCACTTATCATCATGGGCATAGCTTAATCCGAGTTTAACTGACATTCATCGACATTTACCCATCCATTCATACCCATTATGCATCACAGGGCTTCGTTTGTGTCGGTACTTTATAATTAATTGTGAAAGGACTTACCCACAGGATACACTGCAGGTTGAAAGGAGAGGTTAGCTAAAAACGAGTAGAGGAGGGTTGGGGGGAGTTTAACGAACAATACCTAAAAAAAACTAAAAACAAAATAACGAAAAAATTATCATAATTTTTGACTCAATGTGTTCATTAGCATTTAGTAGACTTAGCGGGCGTGGCATAGTGAAACGTATGGAAAATCCAGAGCAATATATGGGCGTATTGAATACACATTTAGGTGACATGTTCCTCGCAAAAGAAACAAACAAATAAAACAAAAACAAAACGATGAAACTTAATGAAATCATGGGCAACGCATGAATTAGCTGAATTATCTGTCTAGAGAGTGGAACGATTTTTAGTAGCAATTGTATACAAACATATAGAGAGCCGACTAGGACCGATTCTAGGCTCAGGACCAGGCGTAAATTGTAAAATGTATTAGCAAACTTAGTTACTTAGTTTACGTTATGTTCTTCCTGTTTTGAGACGTTCTATTCTTTGTACTTGTGTTCAAACCCGACTTCAATGGATCGACAGAGAGAGAGATGATACATAGCTAACACTCCTTCCACGAATAAAGCAACATTGCATAAAATGCGCAAAACAAACAAACAAAAACCCTAAATCTAAAATCACTAACACTAGCGTTAAAAAAAGATGCAAAAATGCTGACGGCTCTACGAGAGCGGTGGCAACAAAAAACATATACAATATTTATATACACGTAATATACACCAGGAGCAGAGGGCAACCCCCCACATAGAGCTATATAGAGTAGATATCGTAATTATTTTACACCTTAGTTTAGCCAAACCCCCGAAATCCCGGGGAACTACACGATCGCCATAACATACTCGTAACCTCATTTTATCCAATCGTAACACCTTGAAGCGCCGTTCATTTCTTGTGATCCAGATCGAATCATTCAAAAACACTCGCACACAAAGCGCACGCAGAGCATCCCCACAAATATCGCATGTATATATCATATATATCGCATCGTATCGGGACTAGCGACATCTGAGAGAATGCCATATTTTATATTTGTGTGAGATTTACTAAACCAATACTAAAGAACTAATACTTATATCATTACAAATGAGCGCCGTTTTCTAAAAGCCACAGTTTAGAAATTGTGTAAAAAATAAAAACAAAATGATAACAAAAAAAAAAAAAAAAAAAAACATTATCTACAAGCAAAAACCAATAAAGAGGACAATTATTGAGATTTAAGCGAATACCGAATGCCATAATTCAAAATAAAAAGCATTTAAACGTATATATCTATAGAATACTAAAGTATGTTAAACACAAAAAATTACTACAAGTCATGAGAATACTGAACAATTTGCCAAAGGCTTAAGAATCAAAATGAGAAAGCAAAACCAATAACTTACATAACTACACACTACACTCAAACACACACATTCAAACAGATAGTTAATTAAACCTTTTACAAAATACATACCAAAAATACTTAATTAAATGCAAGCAGGTATTTTTTCAAATAAACCGAATATTCCAAAAACACGTTGCCCAAAATACACCTACGATTAATTCTAAAGCAAAAAATGCTCATATACACGTAGCTACTAAAATAAATAAAAAAAAAAACACTAAACGAATCCAAAACATAAATCAGGTATTCAAATTTTTTTCGTATTACGTACTTAGCAGTTAAGGAAAAATGCGAAACGGCAAACTTAATGACTAAAATCATCCTGAGCATGATTTTCAAAGATAAGAAAGCGAACATTGCAAGCCCACATACATATTTACTAAGCAACTTTTTTATAACAAATCGATTGACGATGCTAAAACAAAACGGATTGAACTCTTATATCAAAATACAATTTTGAGTAAAACTTTTAATGACAAAGGCAAAAGCAATTCTCGGCAAGTACGGAGAAATGATTTCATTACCTATAAATCTTGATCTTTAAAATTATGCATACATAATTATATTTTGTCGCGGTCATTTAGAAATTAAGTTTGTAACAAAACCCCCCAGAATTGTAACTAAATTTGAAAATATTTCTCATTTGGAAATTATAAACATAAACATACGCATACATACATACACGTACTAACATATGTAATAATTATGGAGCAATTGAGTACAAAACGAGTACAAATTTAAATTTTAAGCCAGATCAGAGGACACAGACACACACACAGCTTAAGTTACAACATAGATCGATCAGACGAAAGTGCAGCATAAGAAATATTGATAGGCCAGCTACTGGTTTCGCATAGCAAATACTGCATATATTCATAGAGGATCAGGATCACGATCGCGATCACGATCACAATCACGATCAGGATCAGGAACAGGATCGAATGGAGGATTCATCGAAATAGCCAGCATACTAACCACTCTTATAAGCATAGTCGCATACATACATAGTTACTTAAACATAGACTAACCCCCCATATACTATATATCTAGGGCAAACGATTACCAAAATTACCAAAAATCCCTCCTTATTACCCTCTTAATCTTCAAATATGATTTGCTTCGCGTTACTAAGGGGAGATCACTTTTGGCATATGCAAAATTTTCTCATACATTCTCACCCACTCAGCATAGAGCGTACATACATATGTAGAGGCGTGCGGGTACTAGGTACACCCACCTTTAAGCAGCTATTTAAGTCATATGGCGATAAATCTAAAGAAAATCTACCAAAATCAAGCGACAAATTCAATAACGAGTTGCAGTTAAAAATTGTAATTGTCTAATAGTGAAAAGCGAGAAAATCGGAAACAAACGTAGTCCACGTAGTACTACTGCAGCGTGGACTGCCATTTTTCTATATACATGCGTACACATACATATTTATATACCCAAATATATATATACATACATAGATGTGGACTTGGCGAGACAAGAGTAAGAGTATATTTTATACGATAAACAAATTTTATAACATATTTAATAATAAATTATACACTACTAATTGTGGACATTGTTGGCTTTTATATATCTGTTGGGGTTCCAGTTCTGGTCGTTAACTACTTTTGGGTTCCATCAGTTAAGCCTAAAGGTAGGCTCTTCTATCTATCGGACTTTGCTTGAGCCGAGAAATGTTTAAAAGCTCAGCTAATAATAACGATTATTACCAAGCTAATATGTATTTTTATGAAAACTTGTTTGATGGCTTACGACTTTGATCTATAATTGCATTCAAATTAAATTTAATAAAAGTTGTTTCTGATTAATACATTTTTATGGCCTTGCTATTCAGTTTTTATAGCAGTACCCTTAGTGAAAAGAGTTCTTTGAGACTTATATTTTAAAAGACCTTTAGATGCAAGAGTAAATAACGTTTTCGTTTATAAATAGTTCAATTTTTGACGTTTAAAAATAAGAACTGCAGTAGACTTTCGAAAACAAAAGCCTCAAAATCTTTAACTTACGGTAGGTAGATTTATTTGATAAAATATAGACATTACTTCACCAGTAAGCTTAAACTAAGTAGTCTGCTAGCACTTTTGCTATATATTATTTAATTTATCCAGTAGATGGCTTAATGCAGTAATGGGTGTTCAGTTCTTTAATTGTACATATTTAGCATCTTTATTTGTCTCGTTAAATGGGTACATGTACACCCGGAACCTGGGTCAAGGCTATTTATATATGTATCTCCGTCTCCATAGAGCCACATGCGACGCAAAAGACGTTCGGGTATTGTCAAAAAAGTGCCGAGAGACCATTAGAATAACAAAAGGAATCGCTAAGTACTCGGGGCATAATGAGACTTTTATGAAGCCACGTTAAAGCGAACTCCAAAATGGTGCGATATTATTTTAAATCGCATCTGTTGCGTGACTTTAAAATTGCTGTAGCTTTGTGTGGAAATACCACCATTCGAAATCACTTTTACAATTGTTTGCTGGTCGTAAAGTTGAGCAAAACCGAGCCAAAGTCCAGATCCATAAGCCGCTAATTTTAGCAACGAGAACGGGTAATTAAGGTAATAGAATTCAGATTGATGGGGCGCCAGATTATATCAATTTGCGAGTTTACTGGACTAGCGTAGCCCCCACGCGAAGTGTTTATTTGATTTGATCTCCAGCCAAAGACGTCTGACACTGAGGGCTTGTCCGGCTTTCATGGCCAGGGTTCGGTGCGAAGCGATGCGATGCTATGTAATGTGATGATTAGTAAAACTTAAATAGAAATAAATATAGTTTTCAATAACCGGTTATTTATTCTCCTACAATTCACTGGTTGATGTGTCCCCCAATAACAAATACGGCCAAAGCAAACAGTTTATTATTTACGGGACGAGACGATCTTTAGCCTGGCTCGGACTATTCATATTTGGGGAGGGCATCGCAATATTGTCTAAGTCAAATACTTAGACAGCCCTTAAAGTGAATATAAGATATAACTAAACACATTGTTTGATATACAAAATATTACAAAATTATAAATTGTTAAATCGTGTGCTTTTTGGTTTCGTATCTCGAATATTTTAATAACCTTTTTAGTTTGCCAATAAAAAAGTTTTAAAACACAAGGATATATTTCCTTTTGGTTCTGTAGCTTAAACTCTGTTTAATATAAATAATTTTTTAAAACACTAATATGTTAATTGTGACACATTATTTCAAAACCAGATCAAATAATTTTGTTAAGCAACTATCAAAAATGTGGGCTTGATTTAATGAATGATATCATTTTTTTGTAAGTCTAGTTTCTTAATTGGCAGTTGGTGGTTCCAGTTTGTGCCACTCTTTTGAAATGCGACAAGTAATTTTGAATGCAAGTTCGAGCTACAGAAGCTGGACTGTATTTCCACGCATTTTCATTAGCCAACCGGCCGGCGGCTGCCATCAATCACCATTATCTATGCCATTATCTGGGCACAGAATGTGTGACCCGACGAGATCAATGGAGAAGACCCCCAATCAAAAAATTTGAATCCAAATTCGAAATTCGAAAAGCAGTGTGTAAACAAAACCGAAAGAAAACTGAAACTGAAACTGAGTTTGCGTTTGAGGCTGGAAAAGCGACGGAGTGGCGGGTGCGGCTAGCTTTGAGTTATAAGCCAGGTTTAGACGTGTTTCGAGCGCGGTGGCGTCAGGTGAATCCGAGAGTCCATTCGAAGCCGAGTGTCCAGTGCGTGTTCAATACGCTTTTGAATTTTATTTTTTTAGCTCTGTTTTCGAGTTGCGGGCGACGCATACAAATTAGACCAGCGAAGAGTGTAATTAAAGCGGCCCGATTCGATGTAAGCCGAACGCTGGTCGAGTGCATCGGTCCGGGTTTCAGCTACCTGATACCTCAGGTGGTCAGCGGCCAATTGGTCAGCATTTCGCTGTGGTCGGCCGCTCAAATCAGTTGCCTTTCGGCCGCTATCGTGCGCAGATTTGTTTAGGTCCAAGCGGTTCAAACCCAACCCCAAGTACCGGGGAGCGGTTATTTAATCTAAGCGATTAGCCAACGCGCGTTGACAATTAATCCCGAGCCAGATGCTGCCATGAAAGTGAAACTGGAGACAAAACTGAAACCGAATCTGTAGCTGGAAATAAAACAAACATGCAATCAAAGCCGTTACATGTTTAATGCTGAATATGTTGTCATACATAAACGTGATCCACGAGCCGTCCAAAATAAAACTCACTGTGCTAATCAATTCACATTAAATCATCGAGTGTTGGGCAACTGCCATATTTGCATGGCGCGCAGTGTGCGGCGGCGGTTGAACTTGAAACTGATTATGGAGTGCTAGTGCACTTGGATGCCAACTGAACTTGTGCACACACAATTAAAGCTAATCAGCTTTTTTAATATCTTCAAACATCTGAAATATATTATTTGTTTAGTTTCCCCTTACAATTACATTTAAAACTTACAATTACATAAAAAAAACTTAAACAAAAATAGTTCGGAATGCATTTCACCTGCATTAATATTCCCTATTGCTAATATAATTAGTTTGACATATAGAAAATTCAATTAGAAATGTTAGAATGTTAGAACTAGGTTTAAATGTCAAATTCAAAACTTGTTTAAACCAAAAATCGAAATTGTAAAGTGTACTTCGTTATACGTTGTAAAGAGTATATTCCAAATTAAACCCAAATACCCTAAAACGCATAATAGGCATAATCCATTTTAGGAGTGTAATTCGAAAACATATAAAAAAAAAATGTTTTTTTTTTACTTTTTGCAGACGCAAAATATTTATAACGACTTTTTAGTCATTTAACCAATACATGTTGAATACTATCACCAAATATTATGCTAAAAAATTGCATTCTCCAAGAATTTTGGTTCTGTGAAAAACCAAAGCATTTAACTTACCAAGCAATAATAATACTTAATTTATAGGCTAACTAGGATTATTTGGTGCACCTGGTGACTTAATTGACTTTCCCACGAGGACAACTTGACAGCTTGGCATGTGACATTATATAAAAGTGTTTTGCTGATTTCGTTATTAGCTATTTAATGACTAATTTACAATATTTTATGCCATTACAGTTGACACTTTGCACCTTATTTGCATGGGAACTATACCAGATTTTAGGCTATTAAAAGTGTCCTTCAAAAACTATTTATTGCACAGAAACCATATTATTCCCAGAATACAATCATGTTTGACAATTCGATAAAACCACATCCGGAGACCAATGGAGTTTCACATATCGGTAAGCCAACAAAAGTGTTATTTTTTAACATTACCACCGAACTTTATTGATTTCCCATTAAAACTACAGGAGATCGAGCGATAAGTACTGTCATTAATATTGGTAAGTCTAAAGGGTTAAATTTCAGTTTGTGCAAACAAAAATTTAAGCAATAGAGACTATATGGGGGGCGACCGAAAAAATTAATATTCCTGTTTGCGATTCGGTTAAAATTTGTATGTAAGTGCAATAGAACCGATTTACAACCGATCTGTTTGTAACTGCTTCAGAGTTTAAATGAAAAGTACAACATTTTAAACTTATTTAAGTTTAAAACAATAAAAAAAGCAAGAAGGAACGCTAAAGTCGAGTGCCCCGACAAGTAGAAATCCTTTACTCAACTAACCAAATATAAAATAAATATGACCCCAGTGAACAATCAAGTTAAACGAAATATTATTATTTTAGGCCCCTACGATATACCCTTTTACACTATGAGTAACGGAAGTTCTACCTTGGGGGCTGTTATAAGGGGGGAGGGGATCTCGGAATATAATTGCGAATTCATTTTACATAATTAATTTTTGAGTTATTACAAAAATTATTAAAAATCGAACACAAATTCAAATTGTCGTTATCGATCAAAATCCCGAGACTGCTTAATATATTCTGCCTTCCGAGGACAATGAACCCTTTGATGTAATTGGGGTGTCAAAAATAGGGAAAATCGTGATGACGTAATATATAGACAGCCCCTTTGTTGCCGTTAAAAGACCTTTTGTTATAATCGTTGTTTGTATTAAACTCCCAAAAAGCTAAAAAATTTGAAAAAAAAATTCATAAGACCTTGAAAAATAAAGTTACCACATTGATATATTTGGGCTTTCTGACAAACTTAATATATTATAAAAACATTTAAAACATCTGTCCCATTTTTTCCCATCATGATGACTACAAACTCTTGTTCATCGCAATCATTGTAATAAGCTAATTGTTTTGTTGGAGTCATCGTTACTAAGCACTATTATCGGCAAAAAATTTGTGCAATAAACAAACATAAAATGTATTCCGTTTAAAGTCGGCGTTCTGTTCCAATACCGTTGTAGATAATGGTAGATTAGCGCTTTCAATGTTCTAAACTTGTATTATCCGAGTCCAAAACACACTGATTCGTTATCGGACCGACACGCTTGACTTTCCCCCAACCGAAATCCGGCGTCCATATCAGTTTGTACATAGCGTAGGTATAAATGTGTATGTATGCTTTATATATTCTGAGTAAAATACATGCACTTTAACGCTGATAATGAATGTCAGCGCCCCTAGTCGAGTATATTTTCGGCTTGTGAAGTAATAATCCATTCAGTGTCGTCCGGCATTTGCGTTGGAAAGGTGCGTTGTGTTCTCAGAGTGATACAAAAAACATAAAAAACAAGTGTTATTTTAGTATACCAGCTGTTTTCTGGTGAAAGACTGGATATGCTAATTTGTTAGAATAATTTAAAACCGCCAATTAATTTTCAACCAGTTGCATTCGTTGCTTGAATAAATGTTAACTGTAGAACGGATTAAATCAGCTGTCGGTGAAAACTGGTTTAGGTTTCTAGTAGTTTAAGTTTACCGCCAAGGCATTCATAACAATCTGATCTAATATAAACCAACACTGGCTGGGTGCAGCCGCGACTCAAACCATGCCTAAATACCATTGTTCTAATAGTTCTTACTAAAAACTAAAGTTAAATAATCAAGCATTTAAGTGGATACGCATTTTAGTTTTCATTTCATTGCTCATTTTTTTTTTAACATAAAATTTCATTTTGCATCGAATTCTCCAAATGCATAAACAAGTACTTGTTTGCTACTCACTCTTAAATAGAGCTAAGTTTTTAAATAATCTTACAAGATTCTGATTGGTATATTTTTGAGCGCCCTCTGGTGTTTTTTAGAGCAACATGCGAACGGTAGTGCGGTCACACTAGCTGTTAGTTTCGCATCCAGATCCGATCCAAAATCTTGAAATATAATATACAAGTTTTTGTTGTCGCGGTGAACGGTTGGCGAAGCGCGTGAACTGCATGCGCCTTATTTTTGCCTTTTGATAGTACAAAAAGTACATATAATTTTAACAACAAACAGAAGACGAACGAAAAGAAAAATACGTAGATGCGAACGAAAGTGAAAGAGTGTCAGTGTTGTTTACGTTTGCCAGTGCCTCCCTCTTACGCCCCCTCTCTCCATCTATCTCTCGCCCTCTCCCGGTTTCTCCTACATCGCAGAACCAGAAACTGAAAGTCCAGTTGGGATCTTCACCTCACAACCAGAAAAGCAAAGACAGCAAGCAGAGCAGCTCCAATCCGAATCCGACAGAATGGCCAATTTCGACGATGTGAGTGTCCAATTAGGCAATTTATTGCAAGCGAGAGAAAAAGATGTGTAACGATTATTAACACACACACTAGAAAGCACACAGACATACGCCTTGCACGTAACGAACATTAAGCGCCTTATTTTAGTTTGATTTTATTTTTATTTGAATTTTTTGTTTTCGCCGTTTCGTCGTTATCCTCTCGTATGTATGCATGTCGCTACTGCGTTTGTGAAAAACCAACTGCCTCCTACGAAAAAAACAACTGCCGCACTGGAAACACCAATTGCGATGGCCAACAACAACAATAACTACAACCAGACGTTGCAACGCGCCCGACTCGCCTTTTCCAGTGGAAAGACGAGGAACGTCAGCTTTCGGTGAGTATTTTTGGGTACTTTTTGTTAGTTTTTGCAGGGGCTCCTAAGTTTTGGGCTTTTGCTTAAGTTGGAAGTGCCGCTTGAGTGGAGATTGTGTCATGTATTATAATAGTTACAGTAGCTACTGGTATGAGAGGACCTAGGAACGGTGAACGTCATCTTAGTGGAGAGATTAACCTCCTGAAAATGTTTTGATTTTTATTTACTTTGTATTAGTCTCAAATTGGTTTGACTATTAAATTATTCAAATATTTATAATTTTTTTATTTATGAGTTGTTGGAATATTTTATTTTATTGGATTTTGTTATGTTTAATTTGTATATTCAGTTTACTTGATTTTTATGAAAAATATCTATCCAATTTAAGTAATGTAATTGTACGAAAAGTAGTTAAAATACAATATTTCAATATTTTCGTTGTATCTGACTATATGTATGATTGCTTAAAACTTTATATTATTTTGCATATACAAATATATCTGTGAAGTAATTGCTCTTCTTACAATAAGTAATTTAATGAGGTTAATAGTGTTTATCACAGTTGTATTTGTAACATTTTTAATGCTTTGTATACAAAATTTGTAATGTTAGTCATGAGTTTAAGCTACAGGTGTGTATGTGTAAAAAAAAAACATTTTTGACATTAAATAACAGTCATATGTAGTTAGGGTTTTCTTAATCCGCTTGCCATTGTACCAGCGACTACTATAATTAAAAGTTTTATTGCTGCTGGGCAGCCACCGAAATCCAATATTGGCCTGAAGACATAACAACTTATTCATGTGTTAGTGTTCCATTTCGGGAAACGCAATCCAGAGGTCTCAATCCCACCGACTTTCACAAAAGCAACGACCAGCTTTGACCTTTGAACCTCACGCCCTCCGAGCTTTTCACTCTGCGATGATAAGAACTACAGATATGGAGTGCTCCGGAGTGGGTAGATGCTAAAGTCTAGTTATATGGACTGAGTATATACCGCTACGGTATGCATTAATGGGCTCGCGGCGGGAACTTTGACTCCGCCAAGTGGTTGTACTTTGAATGCAATTAGACAGCGGCGGACTGAATTCGAAACATGTAACCGGAATAATTGGCATTTCCACGGCCCGACCAAACAACAGCCATCAGACAATAGGCACGAATTCAAACATACACACTCATACTTGTTTTTGGATATGTTAATAAACAAAACGATAAAGAGAAATAGAGATAGAAATAGACAAAAATACAGGCGATTCTATAACCGCCGATAGTTATGAGTGCGAAGTGTGAAACGGAAGTGCGGAAGAATCTCAGCCCAAGGCTGCTGGCCGTTTAATTCCATGATCTTTCAAATAGATCCGGACAAATGAACACGTTCTATGACTTTTTTTCGCCTCTAGCAACTTCTACTCATATGCTCGGCTCTTTGATTATATTTAAATACATTTGTAGATACAGTTGAACTTCCAAAGCCCAAGCCACCGAAAGCATTTGACATTTAGAAAAGTAGTTTCAATATTTGAGGGCTGATTCTAGTACGTATTTTACAAAATTGTTATTGGTTGATGTTTAAAACTAATAAGTTTTCTTAGTTAGTTAAAAAGTTGAAGAATGCCATTTTAGTGAACTGAATGACTCTAAGTACTTAAAACAACGATTCAGGAAAAGGTTTCAACCTAATGCTTACCAAATGTAATACAGTTTAATCATAAAAAAACATTGAGATTAGTAGTGCATACTATTTTATATTTTATTTTTTTATATTTTTATTTTTATATTTATATTTTAAATTGCAAGACTAATCATTTTCTTTAATTATTACAAACATTTCAATAAGTTATACAATTTTTAATGAGTTAAAAGTACTCAAAACTAAAGTTATTCGATGAACAAATAATACTCCTCACATTTTGTTTAAAAATCTAAAATTCTGTTGCCACTGCTTAAGTCAGGGCACTGTTAGGCAAGTTCTACTGTAATTCCAATACGAGACACTATATTGGACACCGCGCGGCTAATTGCTATATTTATATTCACAGCGATCGGCAATCGGCTGTCCGCTTATGGTTTACGTTTGTCATGAGCAAATAATTCAATTGAATTGCAAGTGCACCTCCGGGGGGCTGTTCACCTTGGCTCCCTGCTCCGGCGGCGTTATCGTAATCTACGGCCGTGAGCCAGGTCAAACTAGAGCACAGCATCGGCTTGTCGTCGAGTACTGGGTGTTGTTGAGTCACCAGAGTCAGAGCCAGAGCCAGAGTTCGAATCAGAATCAGAATCGAAATCGAAATCGTAATCGTAGAACCTCTCGAAACCGGCCTTATAGCTAGTATTGACCTTCCCCAAGCGCCTCTCGTGCATTGTGATTAGTATTGATTTTGTTTTGGTCTTTGTTTCGCGCTCCTACCGCGGAACTTGTCCCATCATCAGCATCATCATCATCATTTGTCCATTAATTATTTCGGTCTTTTGGATTCCGCTTTGGCCGCTTCTTTCAGACGCAAGCAGCTGGAGAATCTGCTGCGTTGCTATGAGGAGCACGAGCAGGAGATCATCAGCGCCTTGGAGGCGGATCTGCGACGGCCCAAGCAGGAGAGTCTCATCGTGGAGACCGAGTTCATGAAGAACGACATCAAGCACATTCTGTTCCACCTCGACGAGTGGGTGCAGTCGGAAAAGGTGCGCTACGTCTGTATAGTGCCTGCGATTCCCCTCTAACTTGTACGATTTCATTGGCAGCCCTCCAAGCCGTTTGTGAACCTGATGGACGATGTCCAGATCCACAACGATCCGTTTGGCGTGGTCCTGGTGATCGGCGCCTGGAACTACCCGCTGCAGCTGCTGCTCGTGCCCGTGGCTTCCGCCATCGCCGCCGGAAACTGTGTGGTGATCAAGCCCAGCGAGATCGCCGCCAACTGCGCCAAGTTCATTGCCGATGTCATTCCGAAATATTTGGATAATGTGAGTCTTGCTGCTGAATCACCTCATGAGACCAGCGAAACGCGAAGCACCCAAAAATGTCGACTTAATTTTGGGTGTCGCACTAACCTGTTTGTACAGAATTCCGAAAAAATCCGTATTTAGTTGAGAGTTTTGAAAAAAGTTTTTATCTAATTGACTTGGAAGAAGAATTACTTTTTTAACCTTTAACAAAATTTTTTTTTTAATTTGTTAAATTTTTAGCTCAAATGACTAGTTAGCTTAACATAAATGGATTTTTAGAAAGACTTTTAAAAAATTAATTTTTAACCTTTACCACAATTATTTGTTTTTTATAAATTTTACTCATTTTTTTATAAATGAGTAAACTTAATGTAAATGGGTTTTTAAAAAGACTTTAGAAAATTACTTTTTTAACCTTTACCACAACATTTTTTTTGTAAATTGGTTAAATTTCTCAAATGATGAGTAAACTTAACGTCAATGGATATTTAAAAAGAACTTTAAAAAAATTACTTTTTTAACCTTTACCAAAAATTTTTGTTTTTTTAAATTTGTAGCTCAAATCATGAGTAAAATTAACATCAATGGATTTTTAAAAAGACTACAAAAAATTATGTATTTAACCTTTACCACAAATATTTGTTTTTAATACATTTGTTAATTTTTATTGTAAATGAAAAGGATTTTAAACCATTTCTAAACTTGTAAAATGTTTGACAAATTTAATGTTCAACTACTTAATAGGTGTATTTGCCAAAATTTAATTTTTATTTTAGGACACTTATTCTTAAATAAATTTCAGTTAAGGTTCTTGAATAATTACAATTTTTTCCGCCATAGGAATGCTACCCGGTTGTCTGCGGTGGACCGAGCGAAACCGCTGAGCTGCTCAACCAGCGATTCGACTACATCTTCTACACGGGCTCGACGCGCGTGGGAAAGATCATCCACGCTGCGGCCAACAAACACTTGACCCCCACCACCTTGGAGCTGGGTGGCAAGAGGTGAGCCCGCCTTAACCCCATTAATGCAGGCCAACTCTACTAACTGGGCGGGCTTCTTTCTCTGCTTTCAGTCCCTGCTACATCGACAAGTCGGTGGAGCTGCGCACAGCGGTGAAACGCATCCTGTGGGGCAAGCTGATCAACTGCGGACAGACCTGCATCGCCCCGGACTACATTCTCTGCTCCAAGGAGGTGCAGGAGAAGTTCATCGCGGAGGCCAAGGACGTGCTGAAGGAGTGGTACGGCGAGAACATTCAAGGCAGTCCGGATCTGAGTCGCGTTATCAATGCCAACAACTTTCAGTGAGCTCATTTCTTTCGATTGCAATAGGAAGATGGCAGTCCAATGGTGTGCATTTTTCGTTTTTCAGACGCCTTCTGGGTCTGATGAAGTCCGGTCGCGTGGCTCTGGGTGGCAACTACGATGCCAGCGAGCGTTACATTGAGCCCACCATCCTGGTGGACGTTAAGGAAACCGACCCCGTCATGGAGGAGGAGATCTTCGGCCCCATCTTGCCCATTTTCAACGTGGAGAGTGCCTACGATGCCATCAAGTTCATCAATTCCAGGTATGCCAGTCCGTGGGCCAACCGTCGCCAATCACCGCTGTCCCTTGTTGTTGCCCGTTTACCATTCGATCACCTCACGAAAACAAACTACAACATCCAGTGTCCGATTTGCCATGTTTTTCTCATAGAGAGAGTCCCCTTGTCCTGTACATTTTCACATCGGAAGCAGAGGTTCAGAATCTTTTCATAAACGGCACCCAGTCGGGCGGACTGTGCGTGAACGACACGATAATGCACTATGCCGGTAAGAGAGTCAACCCCAGTCAACCCCTAAATCAGCCCAATCGAGATGCTAATGGATGTGGATAATGATAATGAATGCGGCTAGCTCGTTGCTTGCTTCTCCTCTACGGTTTTGGTTTCCCCCGATCTGCAGTGCCCTAACTGAACCTGTTTTTGATAGCCGCTAAGTGCTCTGCCCACCTGTAAATTATATAGCCCTGTCTGGTGATGGTGATTCTAATTACTCCTGTACAGTCCCCTTGAAGTAGATGATCTAAGATTACCCGTTCGAGTAGCTACACCTCCAACACTACCCATTGCCCATGCATATATGTGTGTCATTGATATTTGCAGATCTGTTCAAGTACATTGGTAGTGCGGAGATTTCTCTTTCGAAAGTTCAAAATTATTTCTCACAGATCTGCAAATGCCTGTCTGTTTGTCTCTTGCGTGTAACTCTCGTTCTTTCCAAGCTCTTAACGATGCTAGAGGAACCTCAACTGCATCGTATTTAATCTGCTTATTCCGTTCTCCCCATCCCCGTAATTAGAGAAAAACCACTTGTAATTTACGTGTTCTCCAACTCGAGTAAGCTAGTCAAAGAGTTCAGGACCAACACCACCAGCGGCGGATTCTGCAGCAACGAAACTATAATGCACGTTGGAGGTATTTGGCTCGATAATGTATATAGTTAAGCTATCTCTGTAGTTTTAGTCAGACACCTCAATGCACCGAACCTTAATGCTGTTGAACCCTATTTACACGAATTTTAAGTTGCCCGCTTAGTGCACTTCAGCAATCAGTATTTGTATTGCAAATTCTCGGAAATTCCGGACACTTTCCCACCACGAAAATCCGGATCAACACAGCTCAAAACGTAAAACAAAAACTCAGAATTAGAGTATTCAAATTTAATGCACATTATTTAGAGTTTTAATTAAAGCTCTGTGTTCCTTGGTTGCGGACTTGTCTTTTTTGCTTGGCAACATTTTTGTTTAACACTTAAACGCTTGGCTAAGAATTGCAAATAGTAAATTAGTATTAAGAGTGCTAAAATCTTTTTGGTGTTAGCTTAAAAAAACAGACTTAAATTTAAATGTTACTATTGTACAATATTTCTCACAAAGCGTAGCTATTTTGTTATTTGCAGAAATGAAATACACTAAACTTGTTTTTTCTTTGCATTTCTACTAACCACTAGTATTTTAGTCTTAGTTCAAAACTTTAATTAATTTTTGCAAATAACAAATAATTTTGGTGGTGGGCAATTTCTTGAAATAATCATTTCTTGTTCCACAGTTGATGTGCTGCCTTTTGGAGGCGTTGGCATGAGCGGAATGGGCCAGTATCATGGAAAGTATGGCTTCGAGACCTTCACACACAAAAAGTCTTGCCTGGGCAAGAATTTGGCGGCCCTTGGCGAGAAGTTGGCATCGTAAGTTCATGCGCTTTCCCATTGATTGGGGTATGTTATTGATGAGTTAATGACTCCCCTGCAGAGCACGTTATCCGCCGTACTCGGATAGAAAGGGATCGATTCTGTCCTTCCTGCTGCGCAAGCGTCGTCCGCTGCCCAACCTGCACCTCAGCCATGTGGTGGCCGTTGGTCTGGGCGTGGGATTGACGGTGCTGGCCAACTTCTATCTACAGGTAAGGAAGGTATAGCAACCTGCCACCAGTCGCTCGATTGCGCCCATTAAAATGTTCGATTATCTTTCATGGCTTGCACGACACTGGGAAACACACTCCATATTCGATATACGACACCATTACACTCCTCGCCCCACTCCTAATACATATTCCACGCCGTTTGTCCACATTTACAGGGCAAGTTGCTGTCGCGTTAGACTAGATGTTGGAACCCGGAGTTTAGAGCAGCCTGCGCCAGTGGATCTTACCATTTACTTTTGGAATTGTTTGCAATAAATGTATAAGCCGTGTGCTACGTTTGTTTATTTTGCACTTTACTAACTTCATTACATATCCACACTTCCTAACATAACTACAACTGGGTTATTATACTTGAAAACCAAAACGCATTTCAGGAAACGATTACAAAATATTTCTATCATGTTATGAATTCGTTTCACAACCTTTCCCAATTTTATATTTTCAGAAAAGCTCAACTGACTAAGAACCGAAATACTTTTTTATTTTTTATACGCATATCGCTGGGTGATGTAAAGCTTTGGATACTTCGTTTTAATAATATAGTTATTGTTATTTAGTTGCTATTAAATGAATTGTGAATGCTATAATGTAGTGTACGAAAAATAAACAATATAAAAATACCATTTGCCCTTTTTTAAATTTGAATTGCGGGAATAGTGTGGCCAGCCCAGTTCGAAATCACGTGTTTACCAACACTGTATGCCATTTTTAGGCATTTGTCATATGAACCAGCGGGTACACACTGGCTAGACGATGTGGGACTTTTTTACGAGGTCACACTGGCGTGTACAATTTTTTGTCAATCATTTGCTTGAGAAAATATATTAAAAAACACGGATAAAATGGCCGCGCGCGGCGATTTGATTGCACAATTCATAGAGATCACCGGAACGGACGAGAATGTGGCCAGGTTCTACCTGTCCAGCTGCGACTGGGACATAGAGGTGAGCTTTCGCGAAACCGGCGACAACAATGATGCAGCAAATGCACCCGGTACTAATGCACCCGAGTCTGATTTTAGCACGCTCTGGGCAACTACTGGAGCACCCAGGCCGTGTTGCCCGCGCCGGTGCAGTCGGTGGGCCACGCGGACAATCCAAAACCAAAGCCAACTTCGAGTAGTGGAGCAAGTGCAGCAGCTCCCGCCGCCGGAGCCACCAAATCTGCGGACGCTGCCGCCGCTTCCTCATCCGCCTCGGTGGACATCGCACCGGCTGCGTCCAAGGCCAAGCCAAAGTCAGTGTTTCGAACAGGTAGAACCGCCTTGGTAAACCCCCATTTCCCTTCCCCAGATTCGCCACCCTCAGCGACATGTCCAAGGAACTCTCGAGCGACGATGACCAGCAGGCCTTCTACGCCGGCGGCTCAGATCGCTCCGGTCAACAGGTCCTGGGCCCGCCGAAGCGCAAGAACTTCCGCGAACAGCTCACCGACATGATGCGTTCTGCGCAGGAGCATAACATCGCGGAGGTGGGCCCCTCCACCAGCAGCGGAAGTGGCAGTGGAGGAGCCAGCGGCGCCGTCTGGGGCCAGGGCATGAGGCTGGGCATGACCGACAACGATCACACGGCTGTGGGCACCAACAAACCGCCATCGAGCAGTGAGAACAAGCCGGTGGTGGTGCTGAAGCTCTGGAGTCAGGGATTCTCCATCGATGGCGGCGAGCTGCGTCACTATGACGATCCGCAGAACAAGGAATTCCTAGAGACTGTCATGCGCGGGTAAGTGGCATTCATCCCCGACTGCAGCCATGGGTAGCATATAAGCAACATTCGTTGCTTGGACATTCCCTAAAATGAGTAAATTGTTTTAGTTTAACCGACCTGTCCTCTATTACAATTTTAACGTATCTTTATGAAAAAGTAAAAGTAACTTTTTTTATTATTGCTACCCTTTTGTAGCTATTATTTTAAATGCCGCTTTTTGTAACGAAAATTAACCTTTCCAGAGAAATTCCGCAAGAGCTGCTGGAAATGGGCCGTATGGTGAATGTGGATGTAGAGGACCACCGACACGAGGACTTTAAACGCCAGGCAGCTCCGCAGACATTCAAGGGTTCCGGCCAGAAGCTGGGCAGTCCAGTGGCGAATGTGGTCACCGAAGCACCAACTGTTTCAGCGGCCCTGTCCCCCGGCGAGGCGGCCAACCAGGAGGCCAGTGCCCGTGATGCCATCAACTTGAACTCCGAAGCACCGTCTACCACGCTGCAGATTCGGCTGGCGGATGGCTCGCGTTTAGCTGCGCAGTTTAATCTGACACACACCGTCTCCGACATACGTCGATTCATACAAACGTAAGTCCCTAATCATGGAGATCTCGAGCTGATCAATTCAAATGTTATTCGATTTGCAGGGCACGCCCTCAGTACTCAGCCAGTAACTTCATCCTGGTTTCCTCGTTTCCCACTCGCGAGTTGAGCGACGACAATTCCACCATCGAGAAGGCTGGCCTCAAGAATGCGGCTCTCATGCAGCGCCTCAAGTAACTATAAGTTAAATAAGCGTTAAGGCTCCCAACAAGGGGAGCAACAACAACCTATGAAATAAAGCTGGATTTGGTGAAGTCGGGAAACCTACACGGCCCAATCCGATGTCTATAACTGTCTACTATATATACAATATACCAAAATTGTGTGCTTACTTGTATTCACTTTATGGCAGTCAAGTAATCTCTCAAAACTACAAGTTAATCTCAAACTAAAGGCTATAACAACTAATGTGCTTAGATGAGAAGGTCTACCTCGTTGCGCAGTGCGTTGATGTGCTCCATGAAGTCCTCGCGCACCGCGTTGCGCCAGTCGTGCAAGCCATCGCTGCCCACGTGGTCGCAGTCCACGTAGCGGTGCACGAATCCGGTGGACAATGATAGTTCCACCTCGGTCGTACTGGCTAAAAGCTGCGCAGGCGGGAGTTCTAGGCGGTCCAGTATAGTTTTGTACGGCGATCTTCGCTCCGGATCATACTGAACATTGTCGGGTAAGAGCTTCTTACGCTCGTCGAAGCACACGGACATAGTGGCCAGTTCAAAGCGAGTGGTTTCAGAGGAGAAGTGTCGTAGCTGCTGCTGCACCGAGCCCTTCACCTGATCCACAGAGAATCGGGAGTTGGGAAAGAAGAGCTCGTTGGGACGGAGTAGAAGGCTGAAGCTGGCGTGGTTTACATTTCGCAGCAGACAGTCCGTATGGATCAACTGACGAATTCGTGTCATTGTGCCATTTGTTTGCCGGAAAGGAAAGTTGAAGGGCAAGCCGTAAAGATTAATGTTAGTCCGGCCCAGCAGGTGAATCACATCTTCGGGAAGCTCATCGTAATTGTAGACCAGAAAATGCTCGATTCCTATGGCCTGGTGGAAAAGGAAGAACTGCAGCAGGGCGTTCTCAGTTCGAGCGAACTTGGACGTCATATTAAAGCCCACTAGATCCACACAGATGGTGGCCGGCAGTCGAGAGGGAACTGCTGCCACTTTGGAACCGCTTTTCTTGTCTGTTGGTTTCAAGTTTCGCAATCGCAGCTTGACCGGACTCTTGGTGGTTGTGACATCCGTGAAGGAGACACTACCAGGCTGACCGAAATCTCGGCTCACCTGGCAGAAGAAGTGATAGCTGGTGAAGTTGGAGGACTTGTCGTCCACCAGGCTCTCGATAGAGTCCCGCTGGAATCGAAACTTTCCCTGCACACTGCGCCCGCCCAGAAGATCGAGGCTGCATCGGAAATCCACCACGGCTCCTTTTTTCCCGACGACCAGGACGTGGGCCTCTCCGCCGGCCACCAGTTCGTTGCGCATCCAGTAGGCGGAGTAGGCATGGAAGGAGTCGCCGATCATCTGCCAGACGGGAAGCGGGCGCCACAGGACCGCCTGCGGTCCCTCCTCCTTGGTTCCATTCTCCAGACGCCGGAGAACGGCGGCATCGTTGCGTCCGAAGAAGTTGACGTACTTGAGCACGTATTTCAGTCGGTTGTTCTCGGTCTTGTACATCAGGAGGATGCCCACGCTGAGGCAGGATATGAGGAGCAGCACTAGCTGCTGGTACTTCCGCATTTCTGTTTATCCTATTTCGTTTGCAAGCGAATAACAATTAAACAAAACACTCCCTAATTGGGTCCCGCCAGCAACAGCTGATTTTTAGGGTTGCCAAATACTTAAAACATATTAAGCATGTTTGGCAACTATCGCACCTTTCTGATTAAAATATAAACGAAAAAAAATCTTATTTTATTTGTTTCTTGCTAGCTTTATACTTTTCCCATCCCCGGGAGCGTTGACACTACACCTCGTTCAATTGGCAAGCCTTATAAAGCTGTGTAATAAGTAATAGCCTATTTCCATGGATAGAGTTCTGTAGAAAGTTTTTTTTTTATATTTAAAGATACATGAACATGTAATACATACATGTAAAAACTGCAGTGGTCCCGCTTAAGTCACGTTTTGGGGAGCGGGTTGATCAAAAATCCGAAAAATTTTATTCTTTAGATTGGTAGTTACGTCGACTTCGTTTTCCCGAAGCCATTTTTTTTAAAGGCAAATAACGGTGTATAGTTTGATTGAAATAGTTACCTTACCAGGAACATGGTCGCTAAAAGCGGTTCAAGCTGGACATTATAACCATATAGTCGGGCGTTTTAATTGAATTCTTCAAAAAGGGCTGGTCAATTAAATGAAAATAGTTTTAAATTTTTTTGGCAAGCTCGGCTTTTTTAAAATAGCCCGCCCAACAGGGCTGTCCACTTTTGAATCCGAGCGGGCGTTGCCAGATGTCAGCAATCAAGAATCAGTGTAGGGTGTATTTTTGTTGTTTGTCGAGCGGAAGCGGAGAAAAGAGAGACAACACAACAAATTTCGGAACCGGAACCCCGAAATCCCCGTCCTGAGGCGCAATTTCCTGCAGCAAGGACATGGCCAGCAGCAAGGAGTTGTGCTCCATCCGGGAGTGGGCGCCGCTGACGGACGTCATCGACCACATTCCGGCTCGGCTGCAGCGCGGTTTCTTTCCGGCGAATCTTAACCTGACCTGTGTGGATGCCACCGAGGAGTTCCTGGCCGTGGGCAGCGACGCGGGCATCGTGTTCTGGTACAATCGCCACTCGGGCGAGATGCAGAAGCTCAAGGCGGAGGTAAGCTCAAGGCGGTGACTCATTCTCACTCCCGTTGACCGGACGTGCGTGTGGTTCCCCCATTAAGCCAGCCCTCCCCTTCCAGGTGGCCACTCGCATTACGTGCGTGCGGATTGTCAACTCCGTGGAGTACATGGTGGCGGCTGGGTGCGCCAACGGGCAGGTGAGCGTCTTCCAGATACAGAAGGAGCTGCCGCGTGACCTCGACTTGGTGGCCCCCTGCACCCGGAGTCGGCCCATCGAGCGCTACACCATCCGGGATCTGCACAAGTGCGTGGTCAGCTGCTGCGAGTGGTCCAAGAACGGGATGAAGCTCTACTCCGGCGATCGCCAGGGAGTCGTAGTGCTCACGGAGTTCGACTACCAGGCGGTAAGCATTAATCTTTGCTGTTCAGCCCGAGCTTAAGCTTATTCTAACCCTCCACACACACACACACACACAAGCACCTCAGCAAGTCCGTGGAGATCCTGAGCGAGGCCTACGAGATCGTGCAACTCAGCGTGCAGCAGAGCCACCTGCTGGTGGCCACTCTTTACCGCTGCATCGTGTGCCAGCGCGACGCCCACTCTGCGCAGTGGAACATCACCCAGGTGGGCAAGAAGGATCGCAAGCAGCTCATCGACTGCGGCGCTGTCTTCCTCAGGAAGCAGGCTGCAAACAGGCCACAGCTCGTCTGCGGTCGCCCTGGCTTGCGCTTTTGGATGGCCGACGCTGAGGGCAACGTGTCCAAGACGGTGCTCTTCAAAGACGCCGTTCTGCGCAGCCCCACCTGGGAGATACCCATTCTGAACCCCAAGCCGCGCAGTGAGCCGCCCAGCAGTAACCATTCGGCCTCTGCTGAGCGATCTCGGCTGCAGGACGGCGAGGTGGGACACGTGGCCAGCAGCAACTTCAGACAGCTCTACCTATACGATGGTCATGATTCGCTGCTGGTAACGCACGACGATGCCACCTTGTACATACTCAACTTGGAGCGACTCAAAGTGGAGGCCGTGGCGCGTGGATTCCGGAAGATCCTCGACTTCTGTGTCTGTGGCAAGGAGATCTTCGTGCTGGAAGGCGAACGAACCTTGCTGCGTCTGGCTGCCCTGCCCGAGCCACCGAATAAGACGGTGAAGGTGATCTTCAATCCGCTGATGCCGCCCCCTGTGCCGGTTCTGGGTTCGTCCCACTACTCGCGGCTGGAGTCGCCGGTAGAGCTACAGCCGGAGCCCGCGCTGCAGAGCGCCGAGGAGTGTTTCGAGATGTCGCCGGTGGAGCAGCTAAACCTGAACGCGCCAATTGAACTGGCCGTGGAGTCGCCGTTGGCTCACCAGAACCGCCGATTGGAAATATTCCGTCGCATCGGTCAAATGGACTTCGAGCAGTCCATCGTCCACACCAGCCGAAAGACATCGGTGGGCAAGCCGCCAGTGCCAGTGCCGAATGAAAGTGGCACGGGGATTGTTGAGATTGGTCACGAGTCCCATGAACTCCGTTTACCACTTACCAATGCCGCCACACTAATGGAGGCCAGCTACTGTCAAATGGAGAAGTAAGTTACCAAACAGCAATAGTAGTAATAACATTTAGCTTTGCTTTACATTCCTTAACTTGTGTCTGCATGTCTACCATATCGTTAATGCATTTTCACTTATCTTAGCAATGGCTTGGCCTCGCCGATGGACATGAAAGCAGCGTACCTCCAGCTCCTGCCCGATGCTCTTAGTCCCACCACTCTGCAGAAGACCGTCGCGGAAAAGGCCAAGACTCTGGCTGCCGAGCTGGATCTGCCAGAGGTGCATCTGGCCCCGCCGTCCCAGGAGGAGCTGCTTGCTGCCCAGGCACTGGCACCCCAACTAAGCGAGTCGCTGATCAGGTGCTATCCCACGCACCTGGAAGAGGCCAGTGTCCAAACGACCCCACGGGAAAAGTCACTCAACCCAGCAGACGATTATCATGCAGGTCAACCAGTGGATGGGATTAGGTCATTAGACCAAAAACCCTCGAGGCCCAAAATGGCACCGCTTAAGTTCGTCAAGAGCCTGCCGAAGCCGAAGCCGACTCTCGAAGAGGATAGAGACGACGAGGAGGAGTACACCAGCTTCCTGCCCGACTTTCGCCGAGCAGGGGACCCACTGCGCAAGGAAACACCGGCTACCAGTGACTCGAACACCTCCAGCGAGTGGGAGTTCCTGGACAATTAGTTCAGTATTAGAAATAAGTGCATACTCTCATTTGCTCTCGTTTTGATTTCTCGCACTTTTTTCGTTTGTCTTCGTTTTGTTTGACGAATTGTTGTGCTTATCAGATTGTGATCACCGTGATTTACTTACTTACTATTTTAAGTTAAACTAACGCAATTGTAAATAATTTTTAGACGTAGGCAAAGGGTGTTTCCTAAAGCAACACGAATCTGTATTTGAAGTTCAAAAGACACAAACCATTCCTTGAAGTCCAAAAATTCTAGCGTAGATAGCACCTTAGTGTCAGTACCAATTTATTAAATATCATTGTACTCAGTTGAAAAAGATATTCGAATGCTTTAAGTATTTGCTAACTAAGTTCAAGGTCGCTTTTTATTCACAAAATACAATTATTTTAAACAAGTGCAAAGATATTGTTTGAAGAGTATCCCCCCAGCAGGAAATGGATATAGGGTGATACCGAGTATTTTGTTTTTGTATTTTCTTGAATTACGTAACTAAGTCTGTTAAGTCTGTAAGCTGCCGATAAGGATGCATGTGATGAAAACGAGACGCCCACTGCAGCATGTGCCACTGGCGATTACCGTGGGCGTCGAAGGGCTCCAGCGGAAAACTTTTAGCAAAGCAACTGCTTGATCTCCAGCAATTATGCAACCCCGTCCAACTTGACGTGTAAACGGACCAGCCCACTACATTGATTGATCAACAAATGGAAATTCGAGCTCGCTTCGCACTCAATTGACTACAATAATGGAAAGTTCTTAGAAGTGTCGCCTGCATCTGGCTTCCAGAAGATTCGAGGAAGCCGTATGGCCTGCCCTCCAAACAAACCAAGTGTAAATCATTTGGTCTTCTCTCTGAGCGTGCGGAAGAAAACTGGTAGATTGTACCGAGGAATGGACAAATCTGCTTCTAAATTCCGATCAAATTGTTATAGTCCGAAAGTGGAAATAGTAGTTGATGACTTCAGTACTGAGTACTAAGTAGTTTGCTTGTGATTTGGCTTTTAAAATTGAAATATATATTTTTATTTTAAAAAGAAGTTAAATAGGCCTACATAGACTCCCCAATCAATGCGACCAATACTTCGGGGGTAAATGTATATAGGCTTTGACAGTTGGGGCCTCTGGCCATTTAGCCCGACTTTCAGTACAGTATTCACGTAAAATTAAAAAGGTTTTATTCGAGTTTTTATCTTGAATCTACTGCGAAATAAATTATATTTTTGAATTTATTTCCTTCGCTCATTCATTAAAATAAAATTTTTTTTTTTGTTCAATTTAGGATAACTTTTGATCCAGGTTTTAAGACCGCTGGATCCAGCTTTTTGTTTGAGTCTTGTAAAAATGGATTTCAGTTCAATACAAACCTAACGTGTTGCCACGGTAATCCACATTTTTCAAGGGCTTGATTCATTTGTAACGGGAAATAATGGTTTTAAGTACTTATAAAGTCGTTGTATCCATTCGCGTACTATGGTAATGTGGTCTGTACCGAGATCCTTAAATAGGATGGGTCACGTTCTGCCCCGCTAATTGATAAAAACTGTATGATTCCGAATTTAAAGGCTAAAACTGCCTGACTTAAATGTAAAACCTGTGATTTTCCAATTGCAGTCACATACCACCAAGTTTTATAATGAACGGTATTAATTGACTTATTTCATTATATTAAAATTCTGGTGGTTTTCGAAAGTAAAACTATTTTATTAACCTAAATTTTAAAACATTTATTTATTCTCAATTTTTTATGTATCTAAGGATTAAACACTTAGTGCTAATAGCAATCGAAGCACGAATTGTTTATATAATTATTACCCAAATGAATAGTGAAACAAGAGCCATCTCTTAATTTAAGGGGAATAAGAGCAAGCGAAAACTTTCCGTAGCTGAACCATTCCCTTGAATTTACACTCAATTGGTCACCCCATGAACTATGGAAATAGGTGAATTGCGATCTACGGCGAGGAAAAGAGAGGGAAAGCAGGACTCAGCGGAGCTGATTGAGAAATCCCACGCGTGCCGGAAAATTTCCGATATCGTCTGGTTCCCTTAAGTGCGCCGCAGAGCGCAAGGGAGAGCGCCTGAGCGAAAGTCAAGAGAGAGTGCCGGGAGCATATAAAAGCGGACCGCTTCCCACTCAGCCGAGTCATTCGCCGCGAATTTTTGCCTCGACCACAACGCAGTCTTCAGAACCGCGCTACCGAACCCGAGAATTTCCAGAAGCAAATCGCATTAAAACGCGCTAATTGACAAGCCGACAGTGTTAGCAAAAAACGAAAAGAGAATGAAGCCCACCAACAACTCGACGCTGGAAGTCGTTTCCCCGAAAGTGCAGGTTGATGATGAGTTCATTACAACCGACTACGATTACCAGACATCGCATGTCAAGCGTACCGCCGATGGACAGCTACAGGTAAGTTCGATTACCAGGGGACTACTCCCCCGAACCGCGGCCATCAACCAGATGTTCGTTGTCAGCATCCATTTGAACGATATTGAATTGGGTGCGAAAAGACCATTTTCCGGCTGCCGCGCTGACCTTCACATTGAACTTTTCCAATGCTTCCCGCTCAAATGCGCACTCGTCAGCACTCAGAGAATAATATGCCTTCCACTGGGTGCCTAATAATATCCAATTTCAAAAGTTTGTTGTTACTTGGAAAGATTTAAAGAATCAAAATATAATGGGTTTAAATATATATGTAAGTTTATGATAGTTTTTCTAAGGGACTTTTACAAAAATTCCAAAGCAGAAATCTAGAAAACACCTAGTTAATCTTAGCCCTAAATTATAGTTCTATAGATTTGAGTTATAAAGTATCATTAAATTTAATGTTTTATTTATTCAAAATTAAATATAAATTCATTAAAAATATTATGAACTTTATTTTCACCAAAAAATAGTGATATATATGTGCTATATTTTCTTTAATATTTCAAAAAGAAAAGGTTAAAATACAACAAATAATTTTTTTTCTCGATGAGCTTTAAGTTTTTTATTTTTGCTTAGTCAACGTATACACAGTTAACTCTAAAATTATTTTTCGTTACTATTTTATGGCAAACAAAACACGCGCATTTGTTTTTCCAAGTGTAGGGTTAGAGAAATTTTCCATTATCTAAAAAGCAAGGAACTGTGCCAAATTCCCGGAGTCCCAAGGGCCCACTCCCCGATTCGCGGTAGATAAATATATATATAGCGATAAGCGGGGGCGGTGCCTCACTCACATACCTACACATGGCGTTACAGCTGAAGTTTATTGATTATTCGGAGAAACTAATGACGATAAGTACAACTGATATATCGTCTTTATTTTGGACAGCGGGTGGCGTGATTCTGCGCGCAGGCGCCGTTTCGAGCTATTAAATGGACTCTAAACAAATAGGGATGACAAGTGAACCCAAATAGAAACCCGATAGCCCATTTCCAAGCGATTGTGGTTGCGGTACGTGCTCTGTTTACATCCATGTGGGTGCCACTGCCTCTACCACCCCCACCCAGCAGACACTTGCTGCGCCCCAAGGTCACTGTCAGGCGACGTCCACTAAGAGAGCACTCCAAAGAGAAATCGGCTCTCTTTGCCGGTCTATAAGAGAGTCCCATGTTATTTCGCCGGCCGGCTTTTGCCCAAATTCTTGGCGGACTTTGAACTAGCACGTTGTCAAATTATAAATGCAATCATCATCATCATTATCATTACTTATTCATCAGTTTTTATTTGTGGCACAAATCAAAGAGCACGTTGACTCGGCAAAAATCTGGCAAGAACTGCTAAACTAAACATCAGGCACAAATGCGATATAAGAATTTTGGCTACCTCTTAATGTCAATATACATATATAAAATATATTTCGATATAATTAAATAAATTACGCAAGTAAAGAATTAATTTTTTTTACTTTTTCTGCCTGAGTTTGATGAGTACTGTAAATGTTCTCCCTAAAAAATTCATATGCTCGATTGGTGTTAACTAGGATTAGGGGTGTACTTATATTTACTTAGCACTTCTCAGCAAAACATCTGGCAAAATTATTGTATTTATCACCATAGATTTTAATCAATCTAAGCAAAGCCATCTGTTGCCAAGAGACCCCCCATCACCGATATCCCCAAATGCCAAAAAACACGAATGGGGTATTAATCAGGTTCGCGTCGCAGAAATCAGGCGATCATAATTTATGCGGCTACCTGACTGGGGTGCTGTATCGATAAGGTGGCCGGACCTATTATAAGACCAAACGGGTTGTGCCATGCCGATCCTAATCGAAGCTAATCTCTACGCGATCTTGCAGGTGCACCCCCAAACGACATCACTTAAGATTCGCACTGGTCGCCAGGTGCCCAAGCTGGGCGTGATGCTGGTGGGATGGGGCGGCAACAACGGCTCCACGCTGACCGCCGCCCTGGAGGCCAATCGCCGCCAGCTGAAGTGGCGCAAGCGGACGGGCATCCAGGAGGCCAACTGGTTTGGCTCCATCACCCAGGCCTCCACCGTGTTCATCGGCTCCGATGAGACCGGCGGCGACGTCTATGTGCCCATGAAGGAGCTGCTGCCCATGGTGGAGCCCGACAACATTGTCGTGGATGGCTGGGACATCAGCGGGCTGCACTTGGGCGACGCCATGCGCCGCGCCGAGGTCCTGGACGTGGCTCTGCAGGATCAGCTGTACGAGCAGCTGGCCCAGCTGCGGCCTCGGCCCTCCATTTACGACCCGGACTTCATCGCGGCCAACCAGTCGGATCGGGCCGACAATGTGATCCGCGGATCGCGACTGGAGCAGTACGAGCAGATCCGAAAGGACATCCGCGACTTTCGCGAACGCAGTGGCGTGGAGTCCGTCATCGTGCTGTGGACCGCCAACACGGAGCGCTTCTCCGATGTCAAGGCGGGACTGAACACCACCAGCCAGGAGCTCCTCGCCTCCCTGAAGGCAAACAACTCGGAGGTGTCGCCGTCCACTATCTTCGCAATGGCCAGCATCGACGAGGGGGTGAGTACCGCGTGTTTAATGGGGTTCAACTGTCAATACTCATACTCACCTAAGGGAATTTGAAAGTTTAATTGAAACTGTTGAGAACCAGAAAGGAAGCAAGGAACCTTTACAGCTATTACTAAATTTTAATATTCTATAAGACGACTATACACATTTTGATTTTTGAGGAAAAGTATGTAACAGGAAGAAAGTATATACATATATTCTGGATCAGGTTCAATAGGCGTGTCGATCTAGCCATTTCAGACTGCCGGTCTGTTCGTCCGTCTGTCCGTATAAACGTTAAGATCTTGGATACTATAAAAGCTACAGCTCTAGTTAAACGCCGACAAGCCTCAAAAGTCATTTAATTTTGGGACATGATAGAGATTAGTTATTTGGATATATTGTATATGTGTGTATCGGTCATATATACCGATAGGGTAGACAAAAAAATATTTTAAATCGTGCTATTACTTCAGAAGTTATTGAGTTATTAAATCCTCTGGCGCTACTCTGCCGGCAAAACTCTATTCTATGCTCACCAGATAGGGACGTTGTGAAAGACAAAGTGATAGATTTGTTAGCGGGGGGTGGGGGTGCTGCACGCTCTTTGTCTCTAGTGTTGGCAATGAAATTCGACAGATGGCGCCACCCGAACTCCCTTTGTTTTGTGGAGCAATTTATATTTTGAAATTTGTTAGCTTATTAAAGGATATCAGTCGGGGTAACTCGATTGATACAATGGACTTTAAATGATATAGTCGTCCGATTCGGTCTGTTCCGACTTATGTCCTATCTGCAATGGAAAAAGGACTTTTGGGAAGGCTTTATCCATATAGCTTTAGAAGTGAGATACTAGTTTGCGTAAAAACAGACAGACGGAAGAACTAAACGGCGGACAGGACATAAGTTTCACATAAAACACATTTTTTATAAAATCAGCGGTTTCCTACAGTTTCTAATCGGTTTTATTAATACGTATTTTATTTGTTCTTTATTCTCCATCCATCGCGCAGTGCACGTACATCAACGGATCGCCGCAGAACACCTTTGTGCCCGGACTCATCCAGTTGGCCGAGGAAAAGAAGGTCTTCATTGCCGGCGATGATTTCAAGTCCGGCCAGACGAAGATCAAGAGTGTGCTGGTGGACTTCCTGGTGGGAGCTGGAATCAAGCCGGTGTCCATCGCCAGCTACAATCACCTGGGCAACAACGACGGAAAGAATCTGTCCGCTCCCCAGCAGTTCCGCTCCAAGGAGGTAAGCGTCCGAAGAATTCCCCCGAGGGCTGTCTGTAGTTAAACACCCTTCCCTCTTCGCCGGCAGATTTCGAAGAGCAACGTAGTGGACGACATGGTGGCCTCCAACAGGCTGTTGTACGGACCCGAGGAGCACCCCGACCACGTGGTGGTCATCAAGTACGTGCCCTACGTGGGCGACAGCAAGCGGGCCATGGACGAGTACACATCAGAGATCATGATGGGCGGCCACAACACCCTGGTGATTCACAACACGTGCGAGGACTCGCTGCTGGCCACGCCCCTGATCCTTGACCTGGTGATTCTCGGGGAGCTGAGCACACGCATCCAGCTACGCAGCGCGGAGCAGTCCGCCCCGTGGGTCCCCTTCAAGCCGGTCCTCTCCCTGCTGAGCTACCTGTGCAAGGCGCCTCTGGTGCCACAGGGTTCCCAGGTGGTCAACTCGCTCTTCCGCCAGCGCGCCGCCATCGAGAACATCCTGCGCGGATGCATCGGTCTGCCACCCATCTCACACATGACCCTGGAGCAGCGGGTAAGCAGGATCTGTCAATCCCCAGTGCTGGAGAATCCCTAATCCTCTCCATATTCACAGTTCGACTTCGCCACCATTACGAATGAGCCGCCCGTAAAGAGGGCCAAGACCCTGGGCCAGCCCTGCGCCGTGGAATCGGCAACCAATGGCAAGAAGATCCAAGCCAATGGACACAGCAACGGATCCGCCAAGCTGGCTGCCAACGGGAATGGCCACTGATGCGGGGCACTTACAGGAAATTGATTTCCCATCGGAAATATATAATTTGAATATATATGGTTTTAATTGGATAAATTACAAACTAGGCTTAAGCTATTATTACTAACTGAATCGTTAAAATACAAAAAGGCTTAAAGGACACTTGTCTGTACCACAAAGTATTTACTTCTTATTCCTTAAGGTATTTTGTGCAGAAACAAACATATATGTAAGTGGCAATATCTTACGCCTTCAAAGGTCAATACAATAGGTTTGTTTGAAAACTATTTCTCTGTGATCTAAAACAACCAACTTATAATACAAAATTATTTTTCCGTCATTAGAAGTGTGGGTATCTAGAGCTTCAAGACTGGCAGGGCATAACTTAAATTGAAATCAAATTTGATCTGTGTGGTTTCTTTGGTTTATTTGAGTACCCATACGACATGTGTGTCAGGCATTTGATAAATTTTGTTTATTGCTTTAAAAAATATAAAACACGAGCGGCAATTTTTTTTCACGAATAATTTACGGATAAATAACGGCAAATTCTCAGCTAAAAACATTTAGGAAAAGTTCAAGTTTAGTATGATGTTCTGCTAACTTGATATCAAGTTAGCAGAACATCTCATAATTTTAAAAAAAAATTGAGCGGCAAAATTTTTTTCTTTCACAAATAATTTACGGATAAATAACGGCAAATTGTCGATAAAAAAAAAGTTAAAAAAAAAAAAAGTTTAAGCAAGATTTTAGAACATACTTTGCTGGATAAGAAGCCCTGAAAAAGATAACGTAGAAAATAGAGAGACCAGGAGTAAAAGCGAAGATCACTGAAAATTATAGCATGCTTTACGGCGACATCATTTTAAGCGAGTGAAATATACGCCTCTCTTAAACTCTGGCTGCTACAGAATTCTGAGACAAATTTAATTTGTGTCATTCATTTATCTGCGTATCTGCTGAAAAAAAACGAAATTACAAATGACGATTTACCTGTTATTTCTTTTTTTGATCTTTTCCATGAAAGCCAAAATAATAAGCTTAAAATGAAATTTTTTAAATGTACAAATTACTATTTCTTGGCGCTTCTGCGAATATTTAGCAATCAATCACTTAATTTATAAATTCTCAAATTTATTTCTTCAATTTTTCCTATTATCGACCGATTTTTAAAGAATACAAATACGATGTTTCTGAAAATAAAAAAGTTTAAAAAACAGCGAAGTTTAGATTTTACAATGTTTCCTACAGCAGCTGTGTCTTAGTAGTGCGATTGGATCCGTTTCGACTTATATACTATCTGCAATAAAAAGAAATTCTAACTGAGAGACTAGATTCGTAAAATCGGACGGACAAACGGACACGTCTATATCAATACATATCACAAACGGACACGTCTATATCAATACATATCAAATACATAGTGCAGAAACGTCTTCTTCCATGCCACAAAATTAATAAAAAATTTTGGGGCCCTTTTTAATATAGATTAAGCTAATTTCTGCCAACATTTCAAAGAACTTCACTGAATGGATTTTTTTGGCATATTTCTAAAGATTCAATTTCATGCAAAATTGAATAAAAGGTTAAAAAAATCTAGTGAAAAGAGATGAATACTTAGCTGATCGAATTTCTTGTGAAGTTATTGAAATTCATTAAAATGTCAAGTTAAAAATTTAATTTAGCTGGATTTCTTACCTTTTTATAAAGTATCGACCAAAACTTTAAAAATTTATGTTTTTTTTTCGTAATGGGATACTTTGCTTTAGAAATCCTTTCGGGAACCCTCTGGAAATGGAGATTCCCTTAAAAATAAGTTATTTGACCAATTAACTACCAAAATCACCCGCCGGTTTTGCGCAGGCGTTCTTCAGTTTTCGAGAATCGCGGTTTAAAGCATGAACTTAATTTGAAGGAGAAGCAGTTTTGAATGTTTTATGCAGCCCACTGAAGCTCAAAAGAATGCTGCATCGTTATATACTCGATAAAATACATACGCAAAACATATAATAATGCATTATATTATTATTATAATATTTGCAACGGAAAATGTTAGCCGCCTTCGAGTATGCTACAATTATCTGCTTTTCCAACTGAGAAATTTGGTCACGCGCCATCTCCATATGTATTCCATATAAGTTTGATAAGACCCTGGGATGAGGGGTATCCATAAACTTGTTATTTGTCCATCTGCTGCAATCGAAATTTAGTGGATCCTAATTTTAGATATTAAGATTATTGGCCTGAAAAGTGTTACAAACAGAACCTTAAGGAACTAACACTTTTCAATATTAGATAAATACAATTCACTTGGCACACTATTGGTCAACGTTTTCTTTCCTTCAATGCGCCGTTTGTCTTTTATTACTATTTAAAACCATTTTTTTTTGTAATTTTAATCGTAATAAAATTTGTAAGTATTTATTGTTATAAAAAATTATAACCAATACGTGAAGTTCCCACTTTTATCTGAGAATTTAACTGAAAAAACGTCGTTAATTTAATTTCAGGCAAATCAATTTTAAACATTATTTTCAATGGGCTTGCATTTACCTAAGATAATATTATTAGTGTTAGTTAAATATAATACCAGTTACGTAGTTCTGAAAGTTAGAGAAATGAGTTTTAGTGACCCCAAATGGACTATCCTTCAAATTCGGTGAGTTTTATCCTCTATTGCGTAGTTGGGCTTACCAGTAAAGCGTATTACCCCTCTTGATTGATATTGATATCTTTGGCACATCGGAGAGTAATTAGTTTCTGCTCAACCCGTTTGGACCTTATCGGAGGGACCCAGCACTCAAGTCAATCAATACGGGTCCCTCTGGCTCAGTCGATACTCCAACTGTGAAGGCGATTGATGCACATATAATTAACTATATTCTCCGATATAGTCCCCTGCGATAGACAATAACAGGTTGCCACAGGGCTTGGCTCGGCCCCTCAACGTCAAGTTGTTGGCACAGACTGACATTTCTGTGGCCCCTAGACCACCCACAAGCGTTTGCAACAAAAATATGTTTATTATCTATTTGAATTTTTTATGTACCAGGGAATTTTTATCTCAATGCAATAGTCAGTATTTACTATAAGGTATATAAATTAACTGGGTTACTTGGTGGTTTTTTAACCCGAAGCGATGCCTTACAAATTCACCTTCGGTTCATGTGGCTGGTTATTGTGGCTTGAGCATAGTTCCACTGGGTCCCCAATGTTAACCACTTAATAGACGTCTTGGAAAGACCAAGAACCACATATTTCTGTGATCCGTTTCCCATTAACATAAAAGAGCCTAGATAGTTTGAACTGTTAAATACTTTTAAGCGTTTGCATTTGGCCTAAAATCTTTAATGTTCCATATGTCCGTTGCGTTTTAAGTAAACCTTTACTGTTAAATGTTTTGAGATAAGCCAAAAAAATACAAAAAAAAAAAACTGTTTTTAAAAAAAAATTGATTTAATTTTTAGCTTAGTTAAGTTTATGTATACCTTTTTAATTACCAGTAAAATAAAAAGCTAGACATCTCTAAGGAGTTCAAACAAATAACACACAGACTTTGAACGTGATTCTTAAAAATAATCCTGCAACTTTACTGGAACTTGCGTTCGTATCTCTTTTTTAATTCAAAACATGAAGCTTAGAAAAGCCGAAGTAAATATATCTTTCCAGTTATAGAAAAAATGTATATATAAATTAACTTACCTATTATACCAGTAGCTATTTATAACGAGACTATGAAATTTTTTTCAGATTTATATATAAATTGATTGATATGATATGATTGATATATGGAAGCTACGATATGATAAAGTCGTCCTATGTTGTGTAAAAAATAACAACACCTCAAATTGTTGTAATGATATTTTTTATTAGTTTTTCGTACGTTTCTATGGCAGCTATTGTCTTAATGTTAAACAAAATGTTAAATTAAATCCACACTTAACGAGTTCATGTGGTTATATTTGTAGTTTTATTTTATAAAGTCCTTCGATTTTCCTAAAATCGGAACATATAAACCATACGTCAAAGCAAATTGTCGAGTAATAGGTTACAATACAAGGAAGTTATGTCGGTTCTCCAATTCATTTTCAATCTGTACTATCATATCTGTATCATAAAGTCTTCTAAATCGGCCAGTTTCGACTTATGTGAATACTAATTTCAATAGAATCTGTGGCTGAAATATTTCGATTTAAAGGCAACACCATTATATCTTACGATATGTGTGACATTACAAATAAATTTAAGTTATCATTTTACACAAATTCATTCATACAAATATCTGTTAATTCCTGGTTATCTCTTCATAAGAAATCTCTTCTGACTACGTTTCTTACAAATCTGTCAATCAGGATCGGCGGTGATTCATTTCAAATTGCCCAAATCAAAACTCTAACCCGTGGTGAATCATTTGGGAATATCTTTTAACATTGCTATTCGAGTCCTGATAACGACTCCCGAAATACTTGCCCACCCGCTGGTTTGTTGTTATCGAAATCTACGTCAGGATTGTGTAGCAAAATTGGAACACGCCGCGATAGCGGACTAGATGGTGACTTGCAAATCGGCCGATAAGGGTTTGCTGGTACCTGTCGACCCCAGAAAGCCGGTAAGCAAGTACGGGCAGTGGTAGTCCTCTCTCCGGAGAGCGCTCCACCTGGAACTCGAACTAATTTAGGTTTAGTTGAGGGTTATCTTATCGTTCACACTGCGTGGTCTGCTTGTTTTGTGGCAGTGTCAGAAGTGGCGATGTCTAGTGGCTAGAAGCTAGATGGCAGAGCTGGAAACTAGCACCTAGAGGCTAGAGCTAGATAGCGCTGAGCCGCGCAGTCGACGTCTCCGTCGACGGTGCGGATGTATTGGGTGGGTGGGCCATGGTTCAGTCGTGAGTTGCGTTGCATTGCGTGCGGTCTGAGGCTCCGCTGGCGATTTGGAAACCCGCCCTAGACCCTGGGATTTTGTTCTAAGCAGTGCGTCTTCGGTAAATAAATAATCCCGTAGTGTAAGACTCTAAAATTATGCAAATTGCCAAGGGAGGAGTGCAAGCTATTCGGCGCGGAAAAGTGTGAAATGTGTCAAGGAGTCCAAATGTGTGAGCCCAGATATGGCCGTTAATTAAGATGGTAAACTATCTTTTCGCGGGCATTTTCAATATTTTTTCATCGTCAGTGATAAGATACGTACCTCCCGACCCGCTTTCGGACCAGTCGGAACCCAGAGGCCAGTGGGGCAGAGAGCTAACCCGGCTAGATAAAGCCCAGTGCTTCCCGACAAGCACTATCACTCCCCAAGCGAAAGCCATTAGCCGCGTGTAAACACGAGTGGTGGTAGGCTTCGTTTGATGTATCCGTCAATGGACGCGGCCATGGGTGTTAGTTAGAAAGGTCTTCGAGCAGATATGAGCGATGAGGTCGGGCAGACAATGCCCAGCCTATCCGCATATGCATGCGTCTGATAGACCTGATAGACTATTAATCAATGTGACACAGCCCCAGCCCCAACCCAAGCCCGAGGCTGAGTCAGAGCACCTGCTCCACCTTCCATCGGAGCACCCCGATTTGGGACTTAGCATTTGCGACTTTGACAAACGACCCGTCTCCTCCCACACGTCCACCCAAATCCCCGCGCTTACAGGCTCTCCTATCAGCATTGATAAGCGAAAACTACATGGACGGAGCAACTTCGTCGCTAAACTGGCGACGCTTAACTTGGCGCGTAGGCAGCAGGCAAAGTCCCCGGCTAGCGAAGAATGGAAATGTTTGTGCGGATCCCACATGGGCACTCATCTGAGGAAAGAAACATCTGGCGCACAATGGGAATGCCAAGTTCACTTGATGTAGACCACCCCATCCATCCCCTGACCGCAAATAGGCGGAATACCTTCCGTGCAATTTGAACATCGCTATGCAGGTTGCAATTGCGACCTGCAATTGATTTGAAATAATCGCTGTAATTATATCGATTGTCGAAACAATTAAACAAATGTTCTGCAAGTATGGCCAAACTAAACTCTTTCCCAGACCAATCTGGATATTAAAATATTTAAAATGTGTTAAAGTTCTCTGATTCAAAAGTCCATTTCATCCATAAATGGCCTTAAAGAGAAAGGTAAAATCAGGGGCTTTTCCATGAATTTGTGAGGGGGTTCGAAACAAACTTTTTGTAGCATACTTTTTTTGTTCTACATAAATGACCTTAAAAAAAAATTTTTGTATAGACCCATATCTGTTTATAAAAAACTGTGTGAAAAATATTTCATTATTTAAGAACGGCTGGGGCGATTTTGATTTTCAGTTGTTCAGTTGTTTCAGTTGTGCCAGAAGGTTCTAACATAAATAAATTTTGATAAATTTTACACAACACCGTTTAAAAGATTATGCTACCCGACCCAATGGATCCTATAGCTTATAATTGCAATTTGCTCTTTGTTTTGATCAAATGTTTTATCAAAAACCTAGTCACGAAATTAGGATAAAAGGTCATACAGTTTTCAAACAAAAGTGTTTAAATAAAATTATTTTCGCACAATAAAATAATTGTTATTGAAGAAAATTTGCCATTTTCCTAAAATAGATAAATAAATAGAAAAGGGGCTAATAAAAACATGTATTTGATTTTCAAGATTTTTTTCTTGTTAGCTGCTTATTTTTATAATTATTATTTATTTGAAATGAAACTTGACTGGGGTACACAAATTATTCATTAATAAAATGCTGTTTACAAAAGCTTACATCACTTAATGTTAAATTCTTTGACAGAAATGCTGAATGCATCATAGAATTAATTAGCTCTGACTGATACCGAAGATAGGAGGTTAAACAATATGACATCGTGTTGCTGTTGAGCACGCAAAGTAATTAAGTTAGTATCTAAACCTGTGACTATAATATGCTCTGCAGTTGCCAAATCGAAGCCCTTTGACATGGAAATGCACAAGGAAGCGGAAGCGAACGACAAGTTCATCGTGAAATACCGCCAGCAGTACTACGACTTGTCCAAGTTCATGCACAAGCATCCGGGGGGTCTGAATACCCTGAAGGGCCTCAAGAACGCGGACATGACAGCTCGCTTTTTGAAGAGCCCGCCGCATTCGGATGCAGCCATGTACCTGATGAAGGAGTACAAGATCGACCCAGAGGACTCCCCAAAAACCAAGTCAAGCCACAGCGATGCCGAGCTCCAGGATAGCAATGGGGCAGTGAGACAACGGCCTGGGGAAACCGAGGACAAGAACAACAACAACCAGGTGGATGAGAGCATGGAGGTGAGTTTGATGAGCGGCTTTTAATCTGTAACTGTAGTGGCTGGCCGTTGGGATCACTTGTTGAGCTGGGCAGAATGTTTTCGGAACTGCCTGCGATCCAAGGCTCAGCTAAAAAATATATAATTAACGTAAGGCATGTTTTCAAAGGAACACTCGTTTTGGAAATCCTAGTTCCCAGTAGCTTAGTCAGTCAGTTGATGGAGTGCTTCAAGTTTCTTGGGGCTACACGAGGTCTCACAGTTGGCGCGACTTGTTGGCCAGCACAAAGACCTTCGCCTTGGAGTAGATGCGGATGTCCTCCTCCACGGTGGTCAGCTCCTTGTCGATCTCAGCCTTGCGGTTGCGCACACGCAAAGTCTGTGCAGTCATGGGCATGTGATTTAGCTCATCGACGAGCTGTTCGTAGCCTGTCAAAACCCATAATTTAAGCAAGGATATAGTTAACTATTATAGGTGTTACTCACGCTTCTGGGCGTTGGTAAGGTGGGTCAGTCGATCTTGATCGCTGAGCAACACATGGCCATGTGGACAGTCGGGATCCTTCGCATCTGCAATTTGCTTGGCCACGGCCTTTTCGCGCTTCTGTTTCTCCAAGTATCGCGGCAAGCGCACCTCATCCCGAGCTGTGGACACAATCAACCAATTATTCTTTGAATAATAACAGCTTACTTATAATTTTATGAATTAACATAAGAGTGAAGTTCAGCAAAGTTAAAAGTCAAATTTTTTGTAAGGAGGTTTTGAGCTGTGTCAACCATCGACTCTTTTTGGTGTTTAAACTTTTACCTGGTTAGTTTGAACATGGTTTACTTTTGAAATCAGTTTGTCCATTTCATTAGTATTTAAGAAAAGTAATGCTAGTAAAATCGACTTTCACTATTAAATAATTTTTTTTTTTAAATAACAAATGCCTAATAATGAATTTTGAACATTTAAATGCTAATAAAAGTGCCTTTAAAAAAAAATGATTAGTAAACGATTGTGAAAGCTTGTTTCGGCAGACCGAAGTACAAATACGCTTGCTGTCAATGGATGCATCTACGATGTTCAAAGCAGGGAACGTAATCATTATAGGTGATGTAATAAAAACAATTTAATAATTATTTTTTGAGCGAAAAAAAATCTTTAAAATTAATGCATTTTTTTTTGATAAAAGTCGGATAACTGTTTTTCTGCAACATTCTTATAATCGATTGTTTTGATAGTTCGTTATGTGAATCAAGACGAATCAAAAACACCCAGTTTCAAAATAAATATATTTTATAATTATATGAAAAAAAACGCGTTTTTCAACAAATGTCTTTAAGTATGCCTCAAATGCATTAAAGGGCATGCTATAAGGGTTAGTGCAAGATCTTAAAGCTTTCATACAAATTTTGACTACCGTAGTGTACGTATAAAAAATACGATTTGGAAAGTTTTAAGAATCTATCTTTTAAACTGCCCGAAATATAGGCACAGAACCGTATGGTCAGTATGACAGATATATGGCAGCTATAGATAAAGATGATTTCTTAAAAAAATACGAATGCAAAAGTTTCAAGTACTTAGATTTTCAGGTCAGCTCGCAAACGGTATAGAAACAGTTGAAAAAAAATTATATATAAAATCAATTAATTACTTTTGAAAAGCATTTACTATTAGAAAAACTAATGAACCATTTCTTTACTCCACGGAACACAAGAAGTTTAAAGCTATGAATGCTAAAAAACATTCGGAAAATACATAAAAACCGAACCATACATGTAATTATAGTAATGTTCGTTATCATATTAATATAATTTTTTTATGTGTATGGAATCGTAAATTGTTTCAAAATTATTTAATGGATATATGAACCCTTATATTGAAGACTGATTTTACTGGCACTTCTTGTATTAATGAAATAAGTCGTAGGTTTTGGACCATTTGTTTTGTTTGTTTTTATAAAAACCAAATACATTTTGTTTAGGACGGCGAGTGTGTAGAGCTAGGGCTATTAATATTAACTTGAAAACTGTTGCCGTAAGGGAAATACTCACATCCCAGTTTGTGCTCACGACGCTTCGACTTGGAGGTGATGGTGGTGACATTAGAGGCCGTTGTGAAGCGACTACGGGCGCTGAGTGGTGCCTCGTCGTCCGAGGCGCCGTAGTTGATGGGCTCGGCCTCGAGCTCGGACATGTGGAAGCGGCTCTGCTTCGAGGAGTTGGAGCGGGCAGAGAGCGGCAGCTGCTCCAAGTCCTCCTCGTTTTCATACTGCATGGGTTTGCGGTTGTCCTCGTACTTTGTGAGTGGCGCCTCGATTACAGATCCACCATCGAAACTGCATCTGAGAAAGAGACAAACGCTACAGACACCTTCAACTCAGTCCGAACGGGCTTACTTTTTCAGTGCATTGGTGAGGTACACCTCGTCAGTAATGTCCTCGGTCTGAATGGCGATGCTGGTGGAGCTGCGATTGGTGCCGCAGGATTGGCAGCGATCGGATGGTGGGTCTGATGACGGCTCTAGGAGGCTCTCCGCCTCCACATTCTCCGACGGGTCATACAAGGCGGGATTGCGCTCCTCCAGTCCGTCGAAGCGTTCCCCCTCGGCCGGAATTGCCAGTGCCAGTTGGTGCTGGGAACGGGAGTTGCTCCGAGTGCCCTGCAGGGTGTTCTGATGCCCGATCTTGGCCCTGGCCGGTGGCCTGTCCGCCTTCGGCTCCCTCAACTCGGAGGAAGAGCGTCGCAGCGGTGGCATCCATTTGGGACGCACTGGCTCCTTGGCGGCCAACTTCTGACTGGTGGTCTTCTCCAGCGATCGCAGGCTCACCTTGTTTTCCTTGAGGAAGTTTCGGGACTGTGTGACGCCTGTGGGAACGCAGACCAAAACAAATTACTAACTGGTTGCCATGGCCGATGGCTGTTTGGAAAAAAATATCTTACGCGGCACCGAAAAGATGCCCTTTAGCGTGGGAATGGGGCGAATTGATGTATTCGACATGGTCCACCTGCTCCCAGACAATCAGCAAGGCGGCTGGAGTTTATTGTGTCTACTATCGACTGCGGCGAGCGGAAACTGCGTAGTTATGTGTGAAGTACGGGCTGAACCTGTGTTCAAATGACAATTTTAAACCAGCTGCTTGTAATTGTGACTGCTTATCGATAGCCGATATATTTTGTATTTCGTAACGGGGCCTGCGGTTGCGGATGGTCACACTTAAAAAGATTAAGGGTATTCAGGATCGAGGGGATCTTTGTAAAAAAAAATCATTTAATAGGAAAAACAAATTTTTTAATAGATATAATAAATATGCGTTTCTTTTCGGATGTTAAATATTTGAATATTTTTTAATTTTAAATTTACATTTTAAGTTAGCACAATATTAGTTTTATATATTTTAGCAAGGTTGTTTATTTGCTCAGGTAAAGAGAATATTAACATAATGTACAATGACAGTATAAATGACATCCGCGCATTAACCTTAATTAAAACCAAAATCTTTTATAAAAATTTCAGCACTTGGTGGACTGGTCCAAGGCAATGCTCCCACAGATCGCCAACATAACGAAGTGCTACGACGAGTGGGTGCACAAGCCGGTGGACAGACCACTGCGACTATTCGGTCCTTGGTACTTGGAGATGTGCACAAAAACGCCGTGGTGGTTGGTGCCCACATTCTGGATTCCGGTGATCATCAAGTGTGCCTGGGGGGACTTGATCAGCAGCTGGCAGGATCGCAGTCAGGTTAGCGAATGGCGAAACCTCATAAAATTGTAACTAAACCTTCATTTTTCAACTTTTAGCTTGCTGTGTTTGCAATTTACTTTTTGCTCGGTGTGCTACTGTGGTCATTCCTGGAGTACACACTCCACCGCTGGGTGTTCCACGTAAAGCTGAGCAGCAAGAGCGGCAGTTGGCTATGCACGTTCCACTTCATGATCCACGGACTGCACCACAAGGTGCCCTTCGATCCGATGCGGCTGGTGTTCCCGCCTCTGCCCGGAGCACTGCTCGCCACGATCATCTACACGCCGCTCAGCCTCGTCCTGTGGCATCCGCGCGTGGTCCTGTCCGGAGCCTTGGCCGGTTACCTGTGCTACGACATGATGCACTACTACCTGCACTACGGGAATCCCTCCACCCGGGCCTTCGTTCACATGAAGCGGTACCACTTCCATCACCACTTCTCGCACCAAACCCTCGGGTACGGCATCAGCAGTCCCCTCTGGGATTTCGTCTTCAAGACAAGGATTCACCTCCGCAAGCTGAGGTACCAACTGCGCTGGTCCTAGCCGCGAATAAAACGCTATCGCTATCACACAGTGCTACTATAGAACAAATTGAACTCAGTTTTCAACGCAACGGAGTTGCTGCCGGCACAAAAAAAAAGGGCGATCGAAAGGACTACATTCGTTGTCGGAGAGTTTTGTGCGGGCTGAATACTGAGCATTATGAATAAGAATAATTTGTAAGTCTTGTACCTTTTCTATTTAATAGGAATAAACTTCCATGATACCAAAGAACCGACAGACTATTCATTTAACATTTTAGATTTTTGCCAATATTGGGAAAAAAAAGACAGATTTTTGTCAAAAAAAATTATTTTCTCTGGACCGTGGACTGCAGAATGTGATAGCTTGATGAAGCTATTTTTTAGTCTTTTAAGATTATTTAGTTAAGCAATACTTTGTAATGATTTTATTCAAATTCAGCGGGTAAATTCCATTCGATAAATATCTCCGATATGTTATATCGAAGAGGGAAATTTCCTTTTGATGGCACTCGGTCACACTAGCGAACGCCCAGCGAAAGTTTTGTTTATTTTTTTGTGGCCCTCATTTCTCCTGGAGGAACGATGCTAAATGCCAAAATCGGCAAGGTCGGCAAAGTCCTGGTGTGCGGGATGAAGGGCGTGGGCAAGACTGCGCTCATCGAGCAGCTGGTCTACGGCCACGTCAATCCGGAAACGGTGAGTGGGCGGCGGCGACGCGACTTCAATGAAAACTGGTAGCTCATCATCCGACTTGATTGCAGGAACTGCATCCCACCATCGAGGACATATACGTGGCCAGTGTGGACACGGGCCGAGGTGGTGCGCGCGAGACCCTGCGCATCTACGACACGGCTGGACTGCAGGGTGAGCAGCAGCAGCTGCCACGCCACTACCTCCAGTTCCCCGATGCCTTCGTCCTGGTCTACGATCCCATGGACCCGCGCAGCCTGGACATGCTGGCCGACATCAAGACCGACATCGAGAAGCACAAGGAGAAGAAGGAGATTCCCGTCGTGGTGCTGGCCAACGTGCGGGCGCGGGCGGCTCCCAATCCGGTAGAGAAGGTCATGGACCGCGCCAACATCTGGTGCCAGCGGGAGCGCATCAAGCACTACACGGTGAACGCCATGGAGCGGCCCTCCCTCTACGAGCCCTTCACCTCGCTGTGCGCCCGCCTGCATCCGGCGCAGACGAAGAGCACGTTCCCCCAGCTTCGCCAGGTCATGCAGAATCGGCAGAAGAGCGAGGCCTAGATGACCTGATAACCCTTTATCATTTAAGTTTTAATCGTGGGCTTACCCAGAAATCTCCGACCATTTAAGGGCCTAAAACGTTGCGAAAAGTCACGCTATGTGCCTACGTCTGTATAGACTTAACTCAAAGTCTAAGAGGTCTCCGGGCCTTTGAGATTTCTGGGACAGCTTCAACTGTTCTCGTATTAATCCATTTAGTGTTTACTTGCCGTGTATTAACCGCTTAGCGTTTGTGTGGTCTAGAGACCGAGCTGCCACTTGTACTTATGTCTATCTGTTTGTGAGTGTCCAATTATTGTATCTAGTATTTATTACACCCAAATGTCTAATCTCAGTGGGAGAGCATTAAGCGTAATCTGTATTCAGTGCTCAATCGCAGCTCAAATGTCGGCGTAGTGATTAAATTAGTGATAAACCATACCGAATTTCATCCCTGCGGAAATCCCCTTGATTTAGTCGTCTGCCAGCCCCTTCCGCGTGAACAATGGCTTGCCGTGTTGCCTTTCTAGCGGCGCTACTGGCGCTAATCTGCGCCAGCCATGTGGCTGCGGCACTGAGCATAACAGTGCCGGGCACCAAATGGTGTGGACCGGGAAACATAGCCACCAACTACGACGACCTGGGCACCGAGCGAGAAACGGACATGTGCTGTCGGGCGCACGACAACTGTGAGCAGAAGATTTCGCCGCTGGAGGAGGTCCACGGCCTGAGGAACACCGGAATATTTCCAATGTAAGAGAAGGGCGTTTGGAGAGTGTTTGGCTCAATGTGTGTGCAATCCCCGCAGATTCTCCTGCGCCTGCGAGTCCGCCTTCCGGAGCTGCCTCTCCGCCCTGCGCAACGGGCACTCCCTGGCCCTCGGCAAGATCTACTTCAGCACCAAGGTGATGTGCTTCGACTATGGCCACCCCATCGTCTCCTGCCGCGAGAAGCAGGCGGATCTGTTCGAGACGCGATGTCTGAGCTACCGAGTGGACGAGGGTCAGCCGCAGCGCTGGCAGTTCTACGACTTGGCTTTCTACACACACGTCAGCGGCAGCGAGGAGGACTCCCGGGATTGAACTTCGACATCCGCCGGCGATAAGCCCTCGTCTGTTTACAATGCTGATTTTGAAACGATTAAATTAAATTGAATTGATTAAAATTTTGAAGGTAGTCTAATCACTTTGTAAAATAAACCAATTAACATTGACTAAAATGAAAAATATAGTTTTAAAGTGATTTTTAAAGAACGAATTGGACTTCGACATCCGCCGGCGATAAGTATTCGTCTGTTTACAAAGCTGATTTTATTGAGTTGATTGGAATTTTGAAAGTGGACTAAAATAAACCAACTAGCATTGATTAGAATGAAAATATAGTTTTAAAATCTTTTTTAAGAAGAATGCAAGCTTAGCTAGTGTTTTAACCAAGTTTAATGCAAGAAAAACAGTGTTTATGTCATTTGGAAATGGAGGATTAAAAATCAAAGGATTAAATTAGTTGAAGCCTATATTTTATTCAAATCACCTTTTAAATATAAGACTATTTAAGAAGTGGGTTAATTTAAATAAAAACAGTTAAAATCTATTCATAAAAACAATGGTTTGTTGTAGTATGACATTTAAACATTAAATATTAGGGCAATGGCAGCAATTACTTTTTAAATAACTCGATACCTGGACCATCCGAAATAAAAAAAAATTGAAATTCTTTTCCGTAGGCAATTCTTTTACTCGAAATTTAAATTGTTTACTTTTTAGAAACACCTAGAGAGAAATAATTCGATTTTTAGCGAAAATCTGTAACATCTGTAGTTAGTGTTTACAATTTTAAAACGATCGGTGCAATAGTTTTGAAGTTTTGATGGGCACCGACATTGAAAATATGTTGTCGGAAAAACGCTTTCAAGTTTTTAACATTTCATTATTAGTACATTACGATTGTACAAGTGAATAGGTAAAATAAATTATAACTTAAGATTTAGACACATAGTGCATTTATTTAAGATAAAAAACCTTTGAAACACTACTCCCCCCCTTACAGGAAGACTTAAACATTAACTAACTTGGACATAAAACCAAATACATACACACATATTTATTTAATTTTATAATGTTTTTAAAACAAACAGACAGGAAACACAAATATTACATTTTACTTTTATACTTTTTCCGAAATTATGTGCGTATAGCTTTAATTGCATATATCTGCCATAAATCACCGAGACACTATACCTTACAATTTAAGAAAATAACATATTTACCCCCTACATAGCTTTTCAAGAAAAGTTGGGTAAATTAAAAAAAAAAATAGAATTCGTTTTTTAAAATAAAATATAAGAAAATTTAAAATAAGTATGCAACGAGTACTTGTAAACATCGAGCCATGTTAATCAGTCAACTCAAATTGATGCCTTGCCTACAAATCTAGATTTTGGGGTCAGCCACTCGAGGCGGGGATCGTGAAGAACGGCATGTCGTAGAACTGCCAGACCTTGGCCTTCGACTTGTCCACCTGATAGCGGATGCAGCGCTTGCGGAAGGTGCCCTCCTGGTACTGCTTGCACTGGGCGGTGGGGTGGCCGTTGGCGAAGCACCTGCTCCTGCCGCCGTAGTAGATCCTTCCCAGCGTGTTGGAGGTCAAGCTGTTCACCGCCTGCAGGCAGTTGATGAACTCCTGTTCGCAGCTGCACTTGAGGCTGAATTGGATGGGGAATGGGAGATGGGGGGGCGGTCAGTGTGGACAAAATCGATAAGGGATTTCAGGGGAGCCTGCACTTACATGGGAAACCAGTCCATGTTGGTGGGCAGTCCGTGGAGGGCACTATGCGACTCTATGATCTCGTCGCAATGGTCGTGTGCCCGACAGCACTTGTCCGTCTCGCGCTCCCAGCCCAGATCCTCGTAGTTGGCCGCCGTGTTGCCCGGTCCGCACCACTTGGTCCCGGGCACCGTGATGCCCGTGTGCGGCACTGGGGGCAGCGCCTGGTTGTAGATGTCCTCGTCCTCGAAGATGGCCTCGTCCCCAAATGAACTTGCCAAGGCCACAAGGCCACAAACGAACGTGCCGCGCAAGAGCCACATGTTTAAGCTTCGCCTGTCGCCACACAACTGAGCTTGTGACCGCTCCCTCCAGCCGCTTATACTCGGGGCTGATAAGGGCGGCCAGCGAAAACAACAACAAATTACTTTACTTACAACTAAGTTAGGCTACTTCTATGGAAACTGAATACTAATACTTGCCATAGCTAAGCTGAAACAAAGTTCAATTTTCTCAACACTTTAGCTACTGTTTATTATATAGAGCAGTCTGTGCACTAACTAAGTATATCCTTAAAAGCTTCGGCGGCTGTCTTCGCCGTCTTGCGCTTCGCCTCCTTTGGCTGCTCTTCGTCCAGGTGCTTGGTCAAACTCTCCTGCCACTGGCTGGGCGAGAGTTTGTATGTGTCCAGGCGGTACTTTGTGTAGATAATGCGCCCGTGGGGCGATCCCTTCAGCATATTGGCCTTGGCAAACAGCTCTTTGGCCATGCGAAGCTTTTGCGCTTCCTGCGCAGCCTTGAAGCACTGCTCAAAGACGCGGGAACCGTGCCGCGTGATGGCCAAGTCGACGTAGAAGCCATCCAGCTGACGAATCAGACGTTCTCGCGACTTCTCGCCAATGAACTTGCTCTGCATGAAGGCGTCCACGATGTGTGAACCGTTGGGCGTGTTGAAGACCTGAGCCAGCTGGGTGGCGGGCAGATCGAGGATGCAGTTCACCAGGAAGATGGGTTTGTTGAACTGCAACACGTGCTGGGTGATCAGCGAGCCGTGGAGGTGAACAAATCCGGACTCGTCGCCGCCCACCACCTCGAAGGGCTTCAGCTTGACGAGGCAGTTGAAGAAAAGCTTCGACTTTTCCTTGTCGCCGCTGACATGCAGGGCACTCTGCAGGGCGGCAATCATCTGGGCCTGCTTGGCGCCCAGACGCAGGCAGGCGGCACTCAGGGCGGACACCACTCCGGTGTGGCCCATTTTGAGCAGCGCCTCCACGTGCGGTTGGAGTTCGGTGAAGACGGCCTCGAAGTCCGGGACCTCCTTGATGTGCTGGAGCAGGCGCTGGACGGCGAAGTTCGTTCCTTGCTGCTGAGACAGGTAGGCGATGCGGTTGCAGAAGAGCATTGCATACAGCTGGGTCAGCAGTTTGGCCCCTGCCACGCTCAAAATCGTTTCGAGCAGAATGACCGAGCTCTGATGGTGGAAGACTTTGGGTAAGATCGGCTCTGCTGGCTTCTGCTCAGTGCCCTCCTCTGGCTCCTTCTCCTTCTCCTCCCCATCGTCGTCGTCCTTAATTTCGATTTTGGTGTCTGTGTCCATCTTCTCCTCGTCGTCGTCGTTCGGCTTCAGCAGGCCGATGGTTAGGATTTTCTTGCCGAAATGCTTGAGCATACTTTTGTCCGCCACACTCAGGGCCAAGCAGATGACGCCCAGCAGGCTGGACGAGTGCTCCTGGTAGGGGAAGTCCGAGAACTGGGGCCACATCTCCAGGCGCTGGGGGAACTCCTTCATCACCTCTTGCCACTCGTCCGGCACCGCGTACATTTTGCGGTGCTTGGCCATCTCAGTGCCGCCCTTCTCGAAGGCGATCTTGGGCACGTGCATGCCCACCAGGGACAGGATGGCGGTGCGCATGATGTGGCTGGCACAGGTGTCCCAAACGAAGTCCTCCAGGTTGTTCAGCATGAACTTCGAGATGCGCAGCACGAACTGCCGGCACTTCTCGCGGTGCTCCTCGCTAAAGTCGGCCTCCAGGTTGTACTCCTCCTCCACTTGGGCGGCATCCGGTTTGGCCCGCTTGTTGGCGCTGGAGGCATCGCTGGTTTCCTGGACGGCCGCCTTGCCGACGCCGCGCAGGAACGCAATCTCGAGCATTTTCTGCAGGACGTGTGAGGCAAAGCGGTCGGAGCACAGAGGCCGCAGGCTGTCTCCAAACTTGCTGAAATAGCGCTCCAGCTGGACGTCGTCCACAAATCCCACTAGCGACTCCAGCGCCTTGGACACAATTTGATTGGAGGCCAGGTGGATCTCCTGGTTCTGCGTCTGCTCGAACACATTGTTGGCCATGTTGACTGCGGGTGGGGATGTAAGTAAAGCTGATTATGATTTGGGGGCAATAACTACCACTCACCCCGCTCCTCCACGTCCTCGAATCCCACCTTCATGGCGTCCAGAATGTTGATGAAATAACTGAACTGCTCATCGTCGATGTGGGTTCCCCTGCCGAATATTCCTTGCTTGGCGAATCCCTTGGCGTTCCGCATGAAGCGATTGCCCTTCTTCTTGGGTCTTTTCCGCTTCGAGGCGCCATCTGATTCCATTGTGTTCAAAACGAAATTAAAATTAAAATCTACTTTCAACGTGCGCCAGAACACGCTGTAACGAAAAATACCATTGAGTTGAAGAAAATATACTGTTTAGCCTACAGAAAGGTCACACTCCATTTAATTTTATCGATATATATGGTAGATAAATCGATATATTTCAGGTAATTGCGGTAGAATTTAAATTCGCTTTTCGAATGGATACTTCATCTCACCCACGCAATGGAACTTAAATACTTTTTGATCCAATTTTTGTTTTCAAAAAAAGGTTTTAAAGTTTTAAAAAAGTGGTTCTTTTTCAGTAAATTTCATTATGTAACTCTGAACCCTGAAAATTTCAAGGGCAAGAAAAAAATTGAAACAATCAAGTTTAAAGGCTCTCTATTTTGTGTTTGTTATATACAAGTATTGTTGTTTGCCAAGGGATGTTTAAAAAATCCTAATGTGTCTAATATATATCTACTTAATTCTAAGTCTTAGCATTAATTCAGAAAAGTTATGCTTATTGTTATTGTTGATATTATACCCTTGCAGAGGTTAATATGTTTTCAGTCAGTGAAGGAGACATTTCCGGCCCTACAAAGTATATATATTCTTGATCAGCATTACTAGGAAATTCGATGCGTATGTCCGTCCGTCCGTTTCTACGCAAAACAAGTCTCTCAGCTTTAATAGCTATCAGTATAAGACTTTTTCAAACGTTGTATTTCTATTGCAGGTAGTATATAAGTCGGAAGGATCATATAGCTCCCATAGGTACAATCGGGTAAATAAATGAAAATAAAATATAATATCATAAAGCTCCAATTAGAACCGTCATAAAAATAAACAAGATTAAAAATAAATTAGACTTTCGCTGTTTTTAAAAATGTTTAAGCCCCATTTCTTATTTAAATAATAAATTACAAGAATAAATAGTTTGAAGTTTTCAACTTTATAGGCTTTTATTTACAGACCATTTAAAATCGGTAATTGAAGTGTCCCCTAAGGGAGTCATAGAATATATAATATTGTTAACTTTTATAAAATTCGCATTTATGTCATAAACAAATATTAGAAGGCCTTAATTGATTAACTAGAATTTTATAATACTAAAACATTTAAATGCATATTATATACAAACGGGAGTTTATAAAAATTAAACATTATGGACTGTCAATTTTACTAAAGGTTTACCAAAAACTGTCAAAAGGGCATTGACAGCACAAGGATCAAATAATAATAAAAAGAACAGGAACAGAGGCATTGTATCCTTTCAAGCCTTTGTGTGGCGTTTCACAGATTTCCCTTAAGCTGAAGGACGAACTGAATTGTATTTGAACATCGTTTAAGACGAGTCCCCATTGAACTCTGTTTTTCTTAGAAGAAGGTACACACATTATTCCCACATGTCAAGCCGCACAGTCTTAACTGAAAGGTGGAAATGGCAAGCCCCTCATTAAATTCATTTTGAGCATAAGGAGCAACACTTTAGAGGGCATAATTAAATTATCGGAAAAAGCCGCCGCCGGATAAAAGAAGTCAAAACATTGTGTAACCAGAGATGTGGCATCAATCTCGCCCAGACACGTGTGTGCGCCCATCTCCGCCTGGCAACGCCGAACTCCCCAGGACACTGGGGGTGGCTCCGTCTGCAAAGTGTAACTACAGTATCAATAAACAAATCATCGAGCAGCCGCCCCCGGGCTGCCAGCCAACCAGTCAGACAGCATCCACCCTCCGAAGTACACCGAGATACACGGGGTTGCCAAGCACCGCCCCCGCCCGTTGTCGTTGCCAAGTGCTGCCCGACGAACTCATTACTCGGGACGCCAAACGGCACGACCTGTATCCGTGTCCATAGTCCGAATCCTGGGAAGGAATCGGGCATCAGCGAGTGCGAAGAGCGCGCCGCACGCGCCGACGCCGTCCATTAGACATGACCATTAGCACTGGCAGGCTTACCTGTCGCCGCGGATTAGCACTGCCGACCCACTCGCATTGTTGCGGTCAGGCGATGCTAATGGGCTGGGCGGGCGTTATCATTGTCGGCGATTTCACAGGTACTGATCGACACGAGGGCGTGGGAAAAATGCAACTCAAGAGCATGTTGACATAAGTTCTTAAACATTCAAAGATAGAAAATAATTGATAATGGCAACGTTATGCTAGTAAAAAGAACGTATTATATCCATATTAAACATTTGCCCATTGACTTTCATTAAAGTTTAAAGTCATTTTAAATATGAAAATATTAAAAAACTTTTAATATTTTATTTAACTACATTCGGATTGGGTTTAAGTATCAAAAAATTTAATTAAAATTAAAATGCATAAATAAAATGCATTTAATCTCAAAAAAAACGCATTTAAATCAAATATGACTTATTTTAAACCTATTTTTCCCGCATTAATTAAAATTTTAATATTAAACCATGTAATTTAATACCTATTGTATTAAATATATTGACTTCATATTAAATTTTAACGGTAAATATACACATTTTTTTCCCCTTTTTTGTTAGAATACCCAGTCAATACATGCTGAGTATTAGAACGATCTGTGAGTAATGTTAAGTGTGTTGAACGATATTTAAAAAAAACAAAACATAGATCACTGAGTTTTTAGCATCACGATAGTACACTCACAAGTCACAAGGCTACTATCAAAGATTGTACAATACAATGTAGAATAATCTTCGCAACTGTACTATTTAACATACCATGAAATAACACCTTTGAACTCGATTTGAAATGATTGATTGTTGTCATAAAAAGAATTTGAAGCAAAAACTGATGCTGAATTAAGAATGCATTTAAAGAGTTTGTATTTTCATGTTTCGATTATAATAGATTTTTTTTGTATTCCGTACTCTTGACCAATTAGCGTTGCTTTTTTGACATATAATTTATAAGTGTCAGTCTGAATCCGCAACACCATACGTCTTACTTACCAAAATCGTAAATTTTCGGTACTTACGATTACGATTTGCACTGTTGTCGCCACTCGTGTAATATAATTGTATGTTCGTGGGTGAATGCATTTGAAAATAATTTAATAGAGTTTATTTTTAACAAAAATAGAATTACTAGTCGCTACAATTAAAAGTGTATAATTTATGCATGTACGTAGGTATATATATATAATTTTTGCACGTTTCGATTTGATTTGCATTTCGGTTGGCCGCCCAACCGCTCTAAAACTAAAGCCTAGCTATTTACACAGATCGATGCCGTAATCATAGTTAAAGTGTATTCTTCCGGAGTTTTCTTCCAAAAGCTTGTGCTGCAGCTTGGTGGCCTTGTCTCATTATTTCTATTTCTCTCTATTTCTCGTTGCGGAAAATGCCAAGTTATCCAGAAGGTGTGGTAGTCTATAATTGCATATCGGTAGTTAGCTAAAATACTGTCAGGACTGAAACTATTAGGATTAAAAAGTAACCCATTTCTCCATGTCATGTCTTGCTCCTTGACATTCTGCTAACCCAACCAACTAACGTGGTAGATTTTAAACTGAAGTCCTAACATGACCTCTTATGGCTTCACTTCCCATAAAGATAGCGAAGGCTATAATTGTTGAGTTGAGTCATGACAGCCTTTCAGCAACTGTGCGATATGTAAAGTTTGTGTTGCTATGCTGATGGATTCCGGCGGTATTGCTAAGTAACTATCCTCAGAAGTAGAAGCTCTCGGACTGCGGATGCTGCTGGTGCTGCTGCTGCTGATGGTGGCGATGTCGCTGCTGCCAGGCGGTGTTGCTGCTGCCGCCGGCGCCCATGTTGCTGCTGCCGCCGACGCCGCTACTGCCACCGGCGGCGGCGGCCGCCTCCAACTAGAATCATAAGTGCTGGTACTCGCCCATGTCGTACATGGCGGTCATGGGCATGGCCCCCATCACGCTGTGCAGGTGCGAGTAGGCCACGGCGGCGGTGAGCGGGGGCATTTGCATTTGGGCGCCACTGGCTCCACCCACCCCCCCACCAGACCCGCTGCTGCTTTTGCTGGCGGCACTGGCGATATTGCTGGCGGGATGTTGCTGGTGCGGGTGGTGTTGCAGGCTCTGCTCGGCGGCAACATGCTGCAGTTGCTGCTGGTGCAGGCCGCTGTTGTTGTTGTTGTTGTTGTTGCCGCTGCTGTTGCCGGGCGAGTGCTGTTGCTGCTGCTGCTGCTGTTGCTGCTGCGCACTCTGACTGGGCAGCATGCTGCCCTCCATCTCCGAGTCGCTGGAGGAGTCCAAGTGCTGCTTGTCCGTGGAGCCGCTGCAATTAGAAGACGGAAATCGTATGATTAGAGGGAGGGGCAGCAAGAGCAAATGGCTTAATTTTTGGTGTGTTCCAATACATACAGACTTAGCATTTGCTAAACAACTGTCATGTCCAAAATCTTATGATTTTATAGATCACTAATAATATCGATCCATAATGATTTCACAAAGAAGAAAAAAAGTATCTGATGTGGTCAAATAATTATTTTACATTTCAACCATACCATCATTGTATTTGATACGGATACATGAAATATGTATTTTCCAACATTTAAAATTATATACTTTAGTTTTTTATTATATAAAAAGACTATGTTTTGATTTTCTGATGAATATTTTAATCGTCTCAAGGCAGCTAAATGATATCGTTGTCCGATCTTGACAAAAAATTAAAACTGAAATTCTGAAATAATATACCATGCATGGTTTATACATTTATGTCTCGGAGTAGGTTCGTATAAATAAATAAAAAACAGCCAAGTAATCCCGATTTAGCCCGCTCGGATATATAAACTATCTGCAATAGAAAGAACACTTTTGGGAAAGTTGCATCCGGATAGCCCTAAAACTCAGGATCATTAGAAACTGATGGACAGACTTACATAGATATTGATAATAAATACCTTCATTGCGTTGCAAGCTTTATAAAAATCAAATTGATATATACGGGTATTATAAGACTTAGTGCCATTATATTAAGCTAAGTGATTTTAAATCATTCCCATCTTTTTAATAAAAAATTGTTAGCTCTACAGGGATAATAGTTCGACAGGATACTATATTAATATGGTACAAGCTGGCTTTCAAAGATTAGTTCAACTTAAAAATGCTATAATTTAATATTTACAAATGCCAGCATAGGCATCTGCTCGTTACAACTGTGACCCGAGCCATATGCTTTTTGGATGTCAGCATCGCTTATGTTAAAATGTGTCAATTGCAACTAATTTACTGCTGTCAACACACCCACACACTCGCGCATGGAGCGCATAATTTATTTATAAACAAATGACAAATGACAGGGGCACAGCAATTGCAATTGAAACGAATTCCGGAAGGAAATCGTCTGCCTCTCGCGTTTCTATAAATGGTATCATGTTCGCTGCCGAGGTGTCGCCTCAGGGACTCCAACGACCAGGAGTGGGAGTGAGATGGCCAGCCAGTGGGAGAGGGACAACCTGCATTCCCCAGAGCATTCGGATGCCTGGCATCTGATTTCTGGCATCGCCTTCCATGGGTTCAAGTGGGTGCGAGAGTTGTTTTTGGGGATGCTTGCTGCACAGCCCTTCCCAGCTAAGTAGCTTGACTTTTATTGTTTGTGGCTGATTTCGTAAATGGCATTCGAATTTCGAACCCCAACCCCGACCGCACTTCGGGGTTAATGTAAGACGCCCCCGGGGGATGGAATCACCCGTTAATGGCTAATACCCGGCCATAACAAGCCCGAAACTCGAGCACACGCCTCTCCTCCCCGCCGGCAATCATCGGCAAAGTGTTAATCTTGTCGCCAATTGCATGGCCAAGCACAATCAGTAATCGGTTATCAGCAGCCGCATCGCAGAACCAGTTTGCGAAAAAATTGATGACAGCAACGGGCAGCATCAACAAACAACATTGGGCCAGTCGGAAAATAAGTCTTCTCAAAGTCTGAATACCCTCTTGGAGAAACAATCGCCATAATTATAATAAACATTGGAGGGGTAAAGAAAATTGGATTTCATATTTCAGAAACACTTTGACAAATATATAACATCTATTTATGAACATATATTTCATACAAATATTCTGAACCCACCATTTTTCCATATTCTTTTCTTTAAAATAAAAAAAAAAAGTGCATCCTATCTGGTAATGCTCGATTCACATGATTTGCCCGACTACAAGCAACTACAAAAGCACTTTTTTAAGATAATAGGAACAAAACCAGCACAAGTATTTTACTAATACAATCATTATTTTTCAGAATATTTAAAACTGTATACAGGAAAAACTTTAAATTTAGAGAGAGAGTTTCTAAATTGCATTTTAACATTTCTTGCCCCTTTAACAATCAAAGACTTCATGAAAGGTATTAAAAAGTTAATAAATATACGTGGCTTAAAACTGTGTTAGTGAACCTCAAATTGGAAATTGTTCTTCTTGGTCTTAAGTGCTACATGTGTTTGGTTAAAGGGATTGAATCAAAGCCAACAAATTCATTTAGTCAGCGGAAGAAACCGGACCAAGGGTATGGACATCTGGGCATCTGGGTATCTGGGCACCGAAACAGGCATTGGGGCTCGTCCGTGGCAATGCAAAACATTTAAGCGCACACTCGACAAATTTGCGATCGGGCGCAGTGGGACAGAGGACAGAGGACAGGAACGATCTGGTGCCCAGCGGATACACCTCCCAGTTATTTGCTGACTCCACTTCTTCAGCTGCCGCGGATTGGGATCCTCGATTGCTCTGGGGGCCCACATACGGCGCAGCTGTGCGATATCGGCAATCATGTAATTGTAGATTGTATCCCGCGAGTGGCAGCCACCAGCGGCGATGTCATGCCATTATTTCTTGCAGCGTTTGCATGAACTTGAACTTGGACCACTGATCGCGGGCAAGGGGCGCCGCTGCGACATGAGACATCTGATGGACACTACTCCCCCGAACTCCGAAATTTCCCGAAAACGAGTTTTGGGCATTCGTTCGACATTAAAGTAACGCTGTTCTGGCCAAAAATCGATGGCCTAAGCACAGCAAACATGAGAAAAGGCCCATCCCATTCCATCCCATTCCATCCCATTCCAGCCCAGCGAAAAGCGAAAAGCGAAAAACGCAGAGTGGGGAGCAAACAAAGGACAGCAGCAGCAGAAGCATATAAACAATGATATCGAATTACCAGAGTTTCGTGGCTCTGGACCCCGAACCGCTCTTCCCCGGCTCTGCAACACTTATTAACACATACAGACGGACAGCGCCCACTTTTGTGGGCATGTCGACCCCCGCCCCTGCCCCGTATTTCCAGTGATTGCATTATAAACACAAATGTCTCGGTTCGGTTTTCCTACTACACTCGAACGGGAGCAGAGCTTCTCAAGCGTCTCAAGCGTCTCAAGGACAATTCCCCTGCGCCAGAAGTGAATGTCACATAAAGTTTATAACAAAATTCAGCAACAACAGCCAAAGAAGAAGAAGAAACAGCAGGTTTTGGGTCTCCGGCTCTCTGTGTGTGGTCGCCAGAATAAAGGTTCCTCGGGCTTTCCATTCCCTGCCCCTTTTTTTTTTATTTTGGGGTCTGTGCCCAGTGAGGGGGAATTAATTTTTTACTTGTTTGGTCAATTGATTTTTTGTGGCCCCAGCCATTTCGGCCGGAGTCCGTCTTAAGCAGATTCATTAGCTTGGTAATAATGCATGATCGGATTAGGTTTAACTGGACGAGGTGAGGGATAAATCGGAGTGGGCAGAGGGGGGCAGGCACCAGAAACAAGTTTGCCACGTGAGTGAGTTGTTCTCGGAGTGAAATTGAAAAGTCAACAAAAAGATTCAAAACTGACTCCGATCTTTACGCCGGCATGTAAACCTAAGATTGCTGCGATTTTGAATACAAATAGAATTTCATAACCCCTTCTGTACGCTGATTTCCATGACATAACTCCACGATTTTCACACGAACTACCAACCATATGGTTATTGCGGTGGATGTGGATGATGTGGCTGCACTGGGGCTTCCAAGGAATTCCATTGCTAATAAAAATTATAAGCCAATAAATCCTAAAAAAACAAACAAACGAGTAGGGTCCAGACCCAGGTCCCAGGTCCCAGGTCCAGGCCCTGAAGAAGGAAGGTGGCTCAGGGGATCGCAGAGATCGGGCCATCGGAAGATCAGGAGATCGGGGCGATCGGCCGAGAGCCAACGAACAGGTTGAGTTATCGCATTGCGCGATCGGTACACAAATCTCGGGACGTGTGCTCAGCAGGACACCCAACTAAACGGGCAACAGCGATCCATAAGTGGAATCTGAAAAGGTGTTGATCATAAATTATCATTTAATTTACGCATGTGTGTGGCTGTTGTTAATGTTCGTGGCGACCCTCTGACACTCAAAAGCGCTGACGAAGGGAATCATCCGGGGAAGACCAAGTCCGCCTCACCTGGGGTTTAGGGTTTGGGGATTGGATTGGGAGTTGGAGTTTTCATTTTCATTTCAGTTTTAGTTTTCGTTTCGTCTAGCCATCGTCTGGTCGGGACCAAACGGGCATTGTGCCATTGTCTACAACTATGTAAGATCCCAAAGATTAACCCAAAGTCCGAGCTCAGCGCTGTCATCGTTATAAGATATTTTATTATCCAAGTCGAAGGTGGAAAGTACATGGCATGTGTGGCGTGTGGTGCATTTTATGCTGGCCCAGGATTGTTTTGACAGTTTCTTATAATTTTGTGGCCTTTTAATTGCCTTGCTCGATACGAATCAGATGGCACCTGAGGAGAAAAGTCGAGTCCCAACCCCCCGCTGACTAGCCAAACTTTTATGTAATCCCCAAGTCTTCTCAGCACTTGAAGGCTTAGAGTGTTTGGTGGGAGTACCTAATGGAAGCCCTAGAAAACGATTGCTGAGGTCAAGTTGGAGGACTAGATGAGCCACAGAAACCAAACCCCAACACTTTGATTGGGCCTTTTTTGTTTTTATCCGAAAACAGCAAAATTTTACAATGCTTTAGAAGTTAAAGATTTTAGTTGGTTTATCAGTTTTACCACAGAAAGAGTTGTATGCTTCAAAAACACCCATCTCGATTTTTTATCTTTAAGTCCAAGGCTATGTTCGTTTTTAATACATTAACATAATAAAAGAATTTGTCAGTTTGGGACTAAGAAAGTTATTTTGGCTCTGTCCGTTTGAATTTAACAGTATTTAAGTCCTAAAACTGTAAATCAATTTCGTATAGATCCAACAAGTTCGAGCATGTTAAGAAATATTTAAAAATATTTTTAGTTTTTTGTCACAAATAATTTTTTTGAATAACTTTTTGTAGTAAGAAAAGCTAAAATTGTACGATGCATTAAACTCAGAATAGTTATAAATAAACGTGGAAAAAGCACATTTTTCGTGTGATGTAAAATCGCTGTCCAATGTTTGTGAGCTTTTCACACAGAGTGTCTGCCTCCAAATGAGATCTAATTATTGTCAAGAGGGCGAACACTTGACATCCACCCACCCACCGCCCGGAAAAGCGAACTGAGGAGATGGGCTGTCGCGGATGTCAATGCGGATGGAGAGCGCCTCCGACGGATTCCGTACCACCAACCGGTCCATCATCACCAACAACATTATTATCAACGCCATCGGTGCACGGATCGGGAAAGAGAAAGAGAATGGGAACGGGAACGGGACTGGAACTGGGGAACTGAAAACAAACACACAAAGGCAGCGGCGAGGAGACGAGGGCCTCAGACGGGCAAAAGCGCAAAATACATAATAATAAAAACAGAATGTACAATAAAACGAATAAAAATGAATAACGTGCTGGCGGGGTCTGGGGCGAAGGAGAGGGCGCGGGGCGAGGGGCTGTCAGGGCGAACGAATAAAGAACACACGCACATTTTGTGGTAACCCGATACCCTGGCCAGCTACCCTCCAGCCAACCGTGGCATTCGACGAACGCAAAATGATGACGATGTCTGAGGGAGATTCGTATTCGGATTTGGTGGGGATGGGCGCAGCGGGGAGGGACAGGGCGGGGAAAGGGAAAGGGAGTGGGATGGACTTGGGACTGGAACTGGAACTGGAAGTGGAACTCGGACTGGGTCGCCTCGGTAGTGCGAGTACGAGTATGTATATAGAGAAAGAGGGACAGAAACACGTCTGCAACTGGGACTGTGTGAGTGAGTACACCGGTAAAGAGAGAGGGTGAGGCAGAAGGAGAAGGAGATGGATAAGGAGAGGAAAGAAGCCTTGAGGTACTGACATTCCCGTAGAAATGGCTCACACTGCCAGGCAGATCAATCAAAACCAGTTGAAAGATTCAAACGTCCCGCAAATTCCCATTTAATTAGAAGGATTTTTAAAGCCACCGAAAGAGCATCTTTGTCTCGGGTCAAATTTATGAATATTCCGGCGGTTCAAGGGTTGCCAGGCTAACTCGATTTAGAAATCACTTCCATATGCCTCATTCGCGGTCACCATTAAACATTAAACACTAAGTCGACAGACCTCAGCATTTAAGAAACAAAAATATTTATTCTTTGACCATTTGTAAAAACTACAAAAATTACAAATTTAAGTGTTTATGTTGAAGAGGGGAGATCGAAACAAAACGTTTTTAGTCTTCAACCAACAAAAAGACAGAAATGTGTTAGACATTTTGTTTTACCAAAATAAAATATGAACTTAAAAAAATCTACCAATTTCAAAAATATAGAATTAAGTTAGCTCTCAACATAAGAAAATTAATCGGATATTTGTGTAATTGAAAATCCCAATTGTTATTGTTAGAGTTTTTCCAAACAAAATATCGAATTACGGCTAGATTGTTTGGGTTAGTTGTTGTAAACTTTTCACCAAGCTTCGCTCCAGACAAAACAATGGAAACCCGACCATGAAATTGGGCGTACCTTTAAGTTTCGACGCATTTCGGAATGAAACTCTTAGTAGCCAGTGGCTTCATGCTAAATTCAAATTTTTTGTTTTTAAGACCAACAAAATTTTCCGTTAAAGTTTAAAAACATGCACAAGACCTGGAATAAGGCGTTTCACAAGCGCAAAATGGTGAGTCCACTGAGAAATACCGAATCAGAGACCTTCACCATCCCCAATCCATCAGTGGAAGACCGTATCGAACCCTGGAAAGATGGTGTACTACATGCAGCCACTGGTGGAGCACTTGTTCGAAATCTGGATGCAGCCACTGCCCTTCCCCACGCTCCTCAAGTTCGTCTACAGCTTTGTCCTGCTCTTCTTCATCATGCTGCCGATCCTGTACCCGCTGCTCGTCCTGCTGCTCTACTACGGCATTTTCCAGTACGCCGGCGAGCGGCACTTCGGGGTGGTCCCGCCGGACAACTGGGACCTCCTGGGGGCCGCCTCGCACCTGTGGCGCTTCGAGGTGACCAACAAGAAGTATCTGCTGTTCGTGACCATGTACATCGATCGGTACCGCGTCATTATCACCGCCATATCTTCGACAGTCGACTATATGCGCATGGCTCTGTGCTTTGTGTTCAGCTGAGCCAGGCTTACAAAATAACCGATCTAGGGTCGACTGGAAATCGATTGAGTAATATTGGATGTTGAAATGTACTGCAAGATCCTCTTAAAAAGATACTTCGTACAATATTCTTGCCGGACCACTTTGGGCTAATAAAAATTTAGAGACTCCGTTCAATTTCTAAAGTATTGTTGTTTAAATAATTTATTCCGCATGTTTAAAAACAAATTATTTCTTACACAACAGAAGTTAAAAGTGTAAAAGAGAGTTGTTTTGTTTATATAAGGATTAAGTTTATGGATGTTATAAATGAAATTAAGAAAACTTTTCTCAAAATCAAGGAATTTTGTTTTCTGAGTGTGCTTAGTGAAGCTTAGTTAAAATAAAATGATTCATCAGTGTACGGAATTAAATATTCTGGTTGATTAATTAAAAACTGCAGTTTTTTTTGCTATAACAAAACATTCAAATTAAAAAAAAAGGTTTTGGGCTGGAAATCTCTGTTTAAAATACTTTACTTTACTTTTTGTTGAGTAACCAATTTATTTGAAAAATGTTGTGAAGCGATAAAAAATGCGTTAAATATATATATATTTTTTTTGGCAATTGTTTTATTTTACACGCCACACTATGATGGTCCTTGTTTTCGTGTATGCGTAGGAGTTAATAAACAAAATTTAAACAAATATTACAAATACTTTTAAAAATCAATCAGCAAGTTTTTAAATTGGTTAGAGATTAACCGTTTTGATGGTCTCATTTAAAACCATTTAAGGAGTATGCCTATATACCAGATCGCCCAGGAATAGTTCGGACCCATTTTGTTCCATCTACCTAGCTAGAAGTCTGCTCTCCATTCTCTTCTGGCCCTTCAAAGGTAGTGCCTATTCAAACAATAACCACTTTGGCAGTTGTTGGGCTGTTCAAAGTGCCGCTTTAGATTCAGATTTGGCGCCGTTGTGGTTTGCTGGCTGCCACAAAGCTGCATGGAAATGGAACATAGATACACACCCTCATGCAAAAAAGATAGGAGAAAAAACAATATGAAAAAGTTAAAGTAGCAGCACTGGGCTGCTCATCGAGGCAACAGCCATAAACATATATCAAGTTACCGGCCGGGCGGATCGGAGCGGAGCGAAGAGGAGAGGCGAGGAGGGAGCTACGCAGTGTAAACTATCGCCGAGAACGAACGTGTATCTGTGAGATACATTTGTCGGCCGACCGTGTATGAGTATGTGTGTGCCTTGCGGTTGCCACGGCATCCAATTTATAATATTTTTTGCAGTATTTCTGTTTTACCATTTTTTATTTCCATTTTTATTACGACAATTTCTCGCTTTTCGCCTGCCGTTCGTGAGGCGAAACTCGGAGTGGAGGAGTCGTAAGTGATATACCATTTAGCATAATGGAACCACTATCCTGGGGAAAGTTCGGGCTTTTTGGCAATTTCCCGGCTAATGATAGTTGGCCGAATGGGTGGCAATCGGATGGCTGGAAGAGGAGTAGCGCGGAGGAAATGCCGCCACTTCACAATCCTATTTTCACTTTCTCGACTGTTTGCACTTCACATGACTTTCAGCGGCTGCCGAAGAACCCAAGTTGGTCCGAGGGACAAACAAAAGGATGCTAGTCATCCAAAGGATGTTTAATATTTGAGAAAATATTTCCTATCAGCAGTCGAAGATCTCTCGCGATCTACCTCTCGAAGAGGAAACATCCGAAAGGAGTGCCCGACTATTTGCTTAAGCGGAAATGCAGATGTTCAGGGAAATCGAGGGAAGGGAGGGAAAGGACGGCGGATTTTAATTAGGGACGAGGCCTGCCTGACATATGCCGGAGATATGCATACGTAGTACGTACACCGAAAAGCAAACATCAACAAATCAAATAAAAATAAAATAAATATATGGCATATGATGGGATGTACAAGTATATATCATTTTGGAATTTGGAACAACACGTTAATGACTTTGTCAGCGACTCTTTCTCGTTCTGACTCGTTCAGCCCGCCACCCCCCGTTTACCACAGCGTGTGCCAGTTGCGTGTGTCCTTGGCACTAATTAGCCGCACCGCCCCGCCCACCCACTCAATGACCTTGAAAGTAAATGCCGTCAGCTTTTGTAATTGAAAATTTAAATGCAAATTAATATATTATTTTTTGCGGTGCCTTGCACGCGTTGACACTTGTCACACACATCGCAAATAAAGCATTAATATGTGGACGTATTTATACGTACGCCACTGATTCAACGCACCTAGATATAGATCCAGTTTAGAAAATAGAATATACCCAATAATATGATAAATCAGAAATGAATATGTATGGGTGTCATTAGAAATTAAGGTTCATTGCAACTCACTCTTTGTGTTCGGCAGCTCGATCTCTTTGTCGTCGATTCTTGAACCAATTGGAAACCTGTAAAAGCGTAAAAATAGTTTAGAGACATTTGCATTCACTCGCATCTCTGTCCCATAATTAATGAGATGCAATTAACATGTGCGGGATGGCATCTGTGAGGAATCTCAATTGAAATTTGTCAAGAGATGCGTTTGACATTTATGTTTCATTGCTGCTGCTTGAGTTTCTGTTTCTGTTTCTGTTTTTGGCATCGCCCATTGACTCACCTGCGTGGTGGTCAGTCCTGTGGCCTCGGCCAGATCGCGTTTCTCGCGGGGCGATGGATATGGATTGTGCGAGTACCAGTCTCTCAATACCGAGCGGGATTTCTCCTGTGGAATAAGAAATTATCTCATAAATATATAAGCGAAGAAAGCTACTACGATGTAGAACAGTTTAGTGAGCTAAACTCCCCTTAGAGTCATAATATGTGACCAGTATTTGTACTCCTTACTCTTTGTGTGGTAGAACAGAGTTTGACATTATGAAGTATATTTAGTCTCAATCAGAATCTATAGCAGAGCACTAACAACTATAAATTGGGAAATTGGATTGATTTATTCTAAGTAAATATATATTTATTTATTCAGTCAACATGTATCGACACACCAAACATTTTTTCTAATTAAACCATTATTTCAAGAGTTATTAAGTTCCTTTTGGTTAATGATAATAATTCTTACCGCTAGTTGGCGACGCATCTATATTGTGGGGACAATTTGTTTAAAAATTGCTTATCTGAGTAATGGGTATCTACAACTTAATTTAGTTGAACGGATGAAAAAAGTTACATTTCTGCGGGCAATAATCTCATCGAATCTTTGTTTAAATTAAAATTTAATTTAATTTCTCACTTCATAAAATTTTGGTATTTATTATGTATTTGCCGAAAAAGAGAATGAATTTCGCGGGTAACAATTTGCAATTATCAACGAATAAAGGGAAATTTAAAATTTATTCTTATGTGCAAGGTATAGGAAAGCGTTACTAACAATTTCGAAAAGTGATAAAAATTACTTTTTAACAGAGCATTAAGCTTACCCGCTTAATGAGATACCTTCGGCAGGACACTCAACCAGGCTTTATTTATTATTCAATATTTCGAAAATTTATTAAAACAGCGTTCAATGTGCTGACCTAACTGAAGGCCTGACAGAGAGTAAACAAAACGCTTCCTGCCAAGGATATTTCTCCGATAAGCCGAAAGGCGTTACCCTAGCGCAAGCGGGCACTTGCAGCTTATGCAATCAGACAGGCAAGCGCACAGTTGTACGATTTCGCCGCTTGCCACAATTAAAATGAAAAGCGGCCAGGACGAGTTGGGCACTCACCTTAAAACAGTAGCTCGTCTCCTCGCCGTCCCAAATGGTGCGGGGCAATGGGAATTTACGGCGAACACGATATTTGCCAACAGCACCCAAGGGTCTTCCGCGCAGTTTTTCGGCTTCCACATAATGCGCTACAGCCGGAGAGAAAGAATTCGGTTTTGGTTCTGCCTGGCGAACAGTTTTGGGGTTTAGCAGGAGTGCGGGTCTCACCTTTCAACCACAGGGCCTGGAGCTTGGCGTGATTTTGGGGCGAGAAGTGGTGATGCTCGAGCAGGCGGTACAGCTCCTTGTACTGGCCACGATGGAATGCAACGACCGCCTTGGCCTTCAGCACGGACTCGTTCAGCTGCAGCTTATCACATTGTGGCAGCGACCAGAGGAAGCGGCCCAGTCTTTCGATATTGCCCGCCTGCTGCAGAACCTGTGTGGAGAATTTGAAAGATTTCGAGATTGGCTTGAGGTTGCTGGGTCTTCACGGGATTGAATGGCACTATAGCTAGGCACATCTGGTTTTATCAGATTCATGCATTAAGTAGCAGTTATATGTATATAAGATATTTTCCAAAAGTTTGTGCATTTAAAATAGTTTGATCTAATTTTAACATGTTTGTTGATTAAGTCCTGATATGTTATTCCGTGCAGGGAGAGAAAGTTTACCATAAAGCCGACCCTATTAAGAATATATATTTCTGATCGGAATCAATAGCCGAGTCGATCTAGCCATGTCTGTCTGTTCGCATGAACGCTAAGATCTCGGAAACTACTATATGTAGTTTGAGCATGAGTTTTGGTATTTGACATGCAGAATCTAGTAATTCTTAAGCAGCGCCACTTTATTTTTAACGCCTACAGAGCGCAAAAGCCTGTCATATCACCCTGTGGCATTTTAGACCATAGTTTTTTTTATGGTTTTTAGATTTCTTTTTTTTAAATTTTTTTTTTTAATTTATTTATTGTTTTGGGGGTGCTGGCCGCTCTTGGCCTCTTGTGTTGGCTATACAGTTCGACAGATGGCGCCACCTAAGCTTTAATTTTTTTTTGGGAGTTTAAATTTAGTTTGAAATGTGTTAGCTGAGTAATAGTCGGCGATCTCGACTAATGATTTCTTTCTTGTTTTTGCTTGAACTCGAGTTCATGTTTAGCGTTGGCTAAAATATTTCTATAACACAATGTATTTAACTTTCATCACACCTGAACTTTCTAGGGGAGTGGACACGACTATGAAAGGACGAACTAATTTCGTTTGCACGTCACCTCAAACTCATTAGCTATCTTTGGGTATAGTAGCTCATCGACAAAGCCTTTTCGTATGCTATTGATCAGAAAATTTTCAATTTTGGAATTGCCGTACACTTGTGGTTCATTTGTTGTTAAGGTTGTTCGATTACTCTACTTTTAATTCTGGTTCAAATTTTTGGCCAGAGTGACAAAAAAAATATAATTGGAGGATATGTTGAATTTTATAAAATTTGATTATTCTTCCATAACATTGCGGTATATATAAACATTTAAAACAAAGTGTGTTCGGCTTATATGATTTGTGAAAAACATTTTAAATTAAGAAAAATATTAATTGCGTAATATGGCCGATTTGTTGAAATTAAAAAATTTTTTTTTGGAAATTTAAGCATTAATTTGGAATCATATTATTCGATTTATTTATTTTATGACATTATCTCCAAAAGGATGTTGCTAAATATATTTATCAGTCAATAACTTGACTTAAATAGCATTGTATCTTTGCTTTTAAGTAAAATTCACAGAAAATGTGTCTTAGATGTTATTAATAGTATTTTGGGTGCTTCGTTGGAGATGAAAATATTTATGGATTATGTTGACCTAAATCCGGGTAACAGACTTTTACTTCTCATATGGCACCTTTCAATTCATCGTACCCCTTAAACGAACCCATACATTTTGGCAGCTTACCTCGCAGACACAGGCCACCTGCTCCTGGGTAAAGCCAAAGCTGGGCAGGTTCTCCCTGCCGCCGGAGCCTCCGCCGCTGACCACCCCGCCGCCCCCGTTGCTGCCGCTGTTCAGGTGGAGGCCACCGCCTGCTCCTCCGTTGTGCGCCATGATGTCCAGGGTGCTGCTGCTGTTGTTGTTGTTGTTGTTGTTGCTGGTGGCGCTGTTGTTGTTGTTGTGCAGAGCCACCGACCCACTGAGACCCGTGGGACTGTAAGGAGGCGTGTGCCGGGCGGTAAGGACGGCAGCCGCATTGGCCGCCGCCAAGTCGTAGAAATCTGTGGCGGGATGCTGTAACATTTTCTGCGGGAATCGGGGGCTTGGATAGGTGTGTGGGTAAATGTTAAGGACTTCGCTCTGGGTAACAAAAACGATCGGCGATATGAACTAGTATTGGATAACCTAATCTAATATTTGCTTAATTCTTTGGTTGTTTGAGCGCTGTAATTGAAAAATAAAAACGAAAGAAGATGATTAGTTTATGGTAAATGGTAATCGTGAAATAGGAACTTGATAACTTCTAAATAAGAGTCATTATTATTACTTTTGTATATAATACAATAACATTTAAACCCGCTCCCAAATTTTTGACGTCCTTAAATTTTTTTGGTATATTTATTAGCACTTCAAACTTTATGTTTAAATTTAATAATAAATTTTTTTAATTAGGTGGGTATTAAAATAATGATTATTTTAAAGTAAAAGCTATATTACCTACCCCCTTAAAAATAAACAGTATAACATTAAAAACCAACCAATGTTTTAAGGGGGCAGGATTAAAAAAATTCATAATTTGTTGATTGATAATTTTGTATATAAAAGTAAAACATCTCAGGCATCTCTGAGATACCGATTATCTCGTAATTACGCTCAAGACAGGTGTGCTGTATGTATAAACTTTAGACGCGTTTTTCTCAAGACTACGTTTTTCAAATCGGTACGTAAGGTAACTCAAAAAGTAATGGTCCAATCTAAATGAAATTTTGCACACATCCTTTATACAGTAAATAATTGTGGATGAACGAAACAATATTTTTTAAATATTTGGTTTTTAAATGTAAAAATGGTTTCTTAGACTTAAAAACCGCACCAAAAATTCAAAATTGCATAGTTTTATTTCGTTCAAATAAACCAATATATGTATTAAATAAATCAATTTAATTTTTTTTTTTTTAAATATCACTGTGAGTCCAGAAATATTTGAAGAGACTCCGACCGGCCGCCGCTACGAGACAAATAATACAAATTACAAAAAAACAAAATCCTGGTTACTCTTGAAATAATCCAAAATTTACTGTTTAAAAAACTCGAATATTTATATTCACTAAAAAATAGCAAAACATTTTTTTTTTCAGCCTCTTAAATAAACTAACGAAAGGTACCCAACTAAAATGCAGATTGCAACACCCAATTTGTTAGTAAATAAACCCCAAACATGGCGTTAATTTGCTTACGAACTAATTAACCCACGGACTTTTCATCTTTTTATTGCTCGTTCAGATTAATATTGAAACAACACTAATTGAGACACATAAAACTGTGGAAATTACCATTGAATGGCAAATGACTTTCGCCCCTCACACTTGCACATATGATAAACAAAACAAGCGTGTCTGCTTTGATTTCCCATATTCATAAGCAATTTGGAAATCAGAAATCTAAATCGAAATCCAAATCCAAATCCAAATCCAAATCGAAATCGCAATCAAAACAAAACCTCGAGTCGACCCCATGTTGTCAAACATGATTAACTAAAAACTAAAGCCCCGGAGCAATTATTAATGCGAGATGTTCGATTATCGGAAATATGGTTTGGCTTTGGCCGTAGAGCAGAGCTCTCTAACCTGTCCGCACCCGACCCATGGATCTCTTACAAAAATAAACTCTTTACACAATATACGTGTATATGGGGCGCATGGTGTTTCGGTCGGTATTCCTCTGATTTCAGATTTCTGTATTCGGTTCTAAGAATATTTCTAAAATTACCAAACGGCGGCGACGACGACGATGACGCCGTTTTGCGTCGCGTGGAAGTGAGCGAGAGCGGCTGCCCCTCGAATGTATCCCCCAGATAGAATATCGCGGCTGCATTTTATAGATGTTTTGATATTTTGATATTTTGATATTTGCAATCGATCTCCGCCTTTGGCCAGACAGTTCAGTCCAGATAAACCCAAACTGATATAGATACAGGGCCCCCGGGCCCCCCGATTGGCGCAAAACTCACACAGAGACTCGTACTCGTACTCGTATGTCGGGTAGAGATATTCTTGGATCTGTTTTCAGTTTCAGTTCTCGTGTGTGCCGGCCAGATTATATATACAAAACAAGAAAATAGAGATTTCGTTTTGGCTGCTGCTGCTGATGCTGCTGCTGCTGATGCTGCTGCTGCTGTAACGAAAATACCAACGCCAAGTTGGCTGCTCTTGAGTCATCGGCCTAGGCCAGAACCGATCCCCCGCAGCCGCCTCCTCGTAGATTCCATTTCTTTTCATTTCTACATTTCGCTGGGGTTCTTTTTCATCGCTGGCTGTATTTTCGTTGGCCTGTTTCATGTTTGACGCAAGTAAACAAGCAAAACGCGAACGTGAAACGAAATACGCGATACATTTTCAATATGTTTTGCCTAATCCAGCGCGTACAAGTGGATAATATGCGACGGCCACAATGCAGCGGCCCCAATGAAGGAAATAATGTGAAACCGAAGATGTATTTGAGGCGTTTTACGACTAATCTGCTTGAACTTGAAGACCTTTACTCATAATAACCTCCTAAGAGCTTTGAATAGTAGCTGGCACATAGCTGGCATACCGACGTTTATGGCCTTGTACCGTTGCCACTATTCAAAGACCCAAAATCCCAAAGCGAAGAACACCAGCAGCCACGAAAGATATTCTATCTGATATCGGACTGCATCTTTTGGCTGCCTTTTAATTTCTCATTGAGGGAGATCTCTTATCGCCTGTGTCGCTGACTGCCTGACTTTTGTGGCATTCGAATAAAATTAATTTAATTTATTTTACAAATTTTGTAATTTATTTCCAGAGCCGCGTTATCTATCGGATTTCTGTTTCTGTTTCGTGTTTTTCCCCTCCATCCGTTGTTGCCCCTCGCTGTTGCTTTGACTTTTATAAGACTTTAATTTGAGTGTTATTGTGCTACAGGCGGGGGAACCTCGAGAAATCGGAAAGCGGACACCTAAGCTTCCATCTCAGAGATTCTATTGGGTTGTTAATCAAATTGAATTGTTCCAGCTGCCGTGGCTGCAAGCGTTTGCCTAATTAGTTTGTAATCAAAGTCAACTTGCAATGAAATTCGAAGTTTGTTGATGGATTTGATGGCGGCACTTATCACTCAACGCGATTCGCTTTTAGGGGCATTCCCTGATTCTGACCCGGTTTCCTGAGCTGCGCTCTGCGGGAGCTCTGCAAGTGAACTGTCGCCAGCGGACAACTCGAGTTTTAGCAGGGGCCATCGAAATCTGAAAGCCGCGCTGCTGTTTTCAGCGGCCAGTTCCGAAATCATCTGTGTTTATACAATGTAATCGATTGGGAAGCCTTGTGCCAAGCAACCTGTTGTGGGCCAGCCCCGTTCCGGGTAATTCGAACAGCGGTCTGGCCGTTTGGCTGTTTGGCTGTTTGGCGGGATTAGTAAGCAGCAGCAGCAGCAGCAGCAGCCAAACGGCCAAAACAATCGCTATCTGGCAGATACTCGGGGCCCGCTTATGAGCGACCAAGTTTATTTTTAACATTTTGCGTTTAATTGCCGCGTGAAGGGAGCAACGCACAAAGAAATCGAATAGAACGCGGCGTAATGAATGAAATTTGTCAAGTTAATGGCTGGCACACATGTGTCTCTGTATCTGCAGGCTGTGTAGCTGCATTTTCGCATTTCTTCGCTTTGCTGCACTACATTTTGCAAAAAGTTTGAATGAAACTCTTGGGATTTTGGTCCGAAATTACGGCGGATTCTGTACGCCGGTGCGTAAAATGATCAAAGCTTGTGTAGCCAAGCTTGCGTATCTGCATCTGCTTGCCCGAATCTTGGCGAATGGAATGCGTAAATTTGTCAATTTGGCCACTTCCGAGATGGAATCTAGCTGATCGAGATAGTCGAATAGTCGAATAGTCGACTAGTCGACTTTTCCCACAAATAGGTACACAAAATTGTACGCAACATCTGCTCCCATCTCCGCACTCAATTAATCATACGACTTCTGACGACAAACACGCGCTGGCCAATTCATTTAAATGTTTCCAATCCCCGAAACGAATCTCGTATTTAACCGGACAAATGTCGGTCCACACCCACACACACACTCATCCCCGGACCCGTTGCTTTTGTGGAAAAAAGTTCTCAGCGAAACTCTCACGATAAGTTCATAATTTTCTTAAATTTCTGGCAAAAGATCGGAATGATAAAGCCAAACGGTTGTATAAATAAACACGGTGTCCGATAGATTTGCGTATCGAACTCACGCTGCGGGTGTGAAACATTTTAGAGATGAATGAATGACAACTGGAAACGGTTATTCTTTCGATTCATCCATCTCATACTTTCCTCTAATTAATAAATATCGGGTGGGTGGGCCGACTTATGTATATCCGACTTCGGAAGGGCAGTCGACAACCGCTCCAAATGCCTGGCAATCGAGAGGTGAATAAAACAACAGCATTTTGCATTTGCTGTGTAAACAAGTATTCTTTTTTCAAATACATGTAAACATGCATTTCTTGTGCTTTTTTCACGTTTCGCCCACTGCGAATCATTTCTCAAGTGGTTCGAGCTGCTTTCTGATGGCTGCTGGCTATTTGGAATTCGCCAATGCCACAACCGCCAAAAAGCGAATTGCACTTTGCCTGCCTCCGTACCCAATTGAGATTGCCAAAAGTTGTGAATATATATTGACTTCTATGGTAGATTGATCCATTAGAAAACGAAAAAAGGTACGAATCGACATTTATAGACAAATATTTTAGGGGCTCTTTAGGAGCACTACAAAAAATTTGAATTACTAAGTTGCGCATTTAAAATAAACCAAGCTGGTAAGTGTATAGCTTAAAAATAAAACAATGTATCCTTTATTTTTATTTTTCCGCAGATAACTTTCTTCTTTTTACTTTTAAGCTTTTTTGTATCCTTGTTATACCTTTTCAAAGGGTAAGGAAGAAATTTTGACCCTCTTAGGTAAACATATATATTAATATCAGCATCTCTAACTCGGCTTAAAGCTTTCGCAATTGTCCTTTTCTTTGTGTACTCAGATCAAATTTGAAATCGAAAATTTATATCCTTTAGCTGCCTTAGCTTTGTTTTAAAAAGTTATTATTTAGCTCGCTGTTTTTATTAATATCATTTAATACTGTCAGAACGTTTCAGTGTTCTTGACCGATTGGAATCAGGACTCACTGCAAGGATATTAAATATTTTGTATCCTTCCTTTTTCGTTTTAAGTAGAAAATCTCAATGAAATCGTTGGTCTCGGAATTTCTTTTTCTAAGTTATGCGAAATTTTAAAGATGAAGATTGAACAAGAACTATAAAAACCACAATCCATTCAAACTTATTTTGAAACAAATGTTTATCAATTAAGTATAACAATATTCTAATTTCTGTACAATTTTTACTATTCGCCGGTAATGATTAAAATCGAAATTAAGATCTTACAATGGAAGTATACTTAAATGTCTTAACTTTTGGAAGAGTCTTTGATAAGGATAAATTCCCTATTTTCAATTTCTATATAGAATGGACTGCCCCATTTGTGTTTATCTCTGGCATAAATTAAGCTATTCCTTCGCTTTAGAGCAAACTTTATTGCCGGCGGCAAGCTGAAAGCCCGTCGAAAACCAATACCGTGGCTCACCTGTATTTTGATTATTTATTGATGATACGTATCCGTGTTTGTTTTTAGTTTTTGTTTGTTATTTTTTGTTTGGATTTGTGCTTTTGTTGCTACGATTATCAGATTCTGATTGCGCTACATGCACAAATGTTAGAAGTGGCAAGACAAACGGTGATTTTTGCCGTGTGGTTTTTTCTCGATTTGCATTTTTGCCAAACTTTTCAAATCGAAGCCATGTGCCGCACACTCACGCACACACACTCGGGGGCACAGGCACAGGCACTCGCACTAACACAAATTTGCTGGGCATATATTCCTCATACGCACTGTGTTAACACGTGTTGCAAATTATTTTTTCGAGAAAACTTTTTCGCTGTCGTGCCGTGACTCGAACAAATTGCACTTACAAATCAGGGGGCAAGCCCTGCGACGACAGCACTGAAATAGTGCCAACGATAAATGGCCGCCAGCGGATTGATTAGCTAAATTCTCCTTGCTTGTTTCTCGTTTTGTGTGCGTTGATTTGATGCGATGTCGTTCATTCATCGGGAAATAAATATAACTTTGTGCGCGTACGTGAACGTCGAAAGGCCGCCGGATCCGGCCTGGATTGAGCGAGCGACGTGGGGAGATCAGGCAGCGAACCGCACGCGACGGAATCTCGAAAACAACTGAGAACTCTCCGGTTCTCAAACCTCCTCGGACCGAAAACACCCGAGACGGCAGGCAGAAAATGGTTGGTGCTGTCGTCGGTGTGAGTGCGCCAGAGCGAGACGGCTTGTGACGGTCGTGCGCTTGTGTGAGTGAGTGTGCACCAAGGGGGTGGACAGGCCCAGCGCAATGTGGGCCAAAACAGCACTTTTTGAGGCAATAAAGAAGGCCAACATAGGCAGTTAAGGGGTCGATATTATTTTAATCTATATGTGTCTGGGAATGCGCTGCGAAATAATATTTATTAACATGTTCCTGGTAACCGTAAGCTACCTATTTCTATCAAGCTATAATCCGTAAATAACCTTTAAGCCCGTTTTCCCGAAAGTATTGTTTGTTTTAGCTGCCGAGTAAGACTTTTAATTGAAGAACTAGTCCGATTTCAATAATTTGTTTTCCAATTGTTCACAAAACATACCGATATGTTTGGTCGAGTACGAGTTCCGATATTTCTATTGTTCCGTTTTTATAGCCCCTAATAGGAAATGTTCACATGGTATGAAGAATAACTAACTAGACCTTATGTCTGATTGAGGTAAAGTTATTGTAATGGTCAGATCTATATTGTGCATGTCAATGATATTTTTTAAATGTTCAGGTGCACTTTTATAATTTATTGTCCCTAAAAGTGACCGTTTGTCCCACAGTGCAATCGCTGACTAACAGTTTGGTAGTCATTGGAACTTGGGCAGCGTGTGGGAGAGCGAGAGAGCACACAAACAGGTTGGCTGAAAGAACGCCCCTTCAGGTTTACCTGTTCCCACACACACACTCACACAGAGGCACTCGCACAGAGAGACACTCACGCGCACTGGAGCAACAACAACGTGCTGATTGGTCAGTGGGAACCGCTTGGCAGCGAACCGGCATGCGCAATGGACGCCATATTGAAACGCGGAAATCGGAGGTGACTGCAATTGCATTCGAACTCCTCCCCAGGAGCTCCTTCTCCCCGGAAAAAAGGATGCTTAGTGCGGTACCTGCGAGTCCTGCAATCCCATTAAAATTATCCACCGCATTTGTACCTCGTATCTCCTGCATAATTGCAATGACTGCTCTTCCCGTTTAAAAAATTTCAACGGAGTTGCATTACTTTCTTATCTTTAGTTTCATCTGAGCTCGTTGCTCTTTGCACTAAACAGATTCCTATTTTTAAAACTGCCTGAGAAATTGCATTCTTTTAATGATTAAAGTATTGGGTGCCTCATCAAAAAAATGATTGACTCTTAAATGACTTGATATCGGAAACTAAAAATATATAGGAAATAATGAGTTTTATATTTTTGATTTAGATATAACTTTTTAGGCTTTTCGAATTTACATAATAACTTTCTTGGGACCTTTCAGGTGTTGTACTTGTAAGTACATACATAAATTATGGCAACCGTTATTTTTTTTTTAATCAGGTGAATAAAGTAATATGGTAAAAATAGTTCCATATATCGGTAGCTCGATCTCGGCAGGTGCCATTGATATCGCATCGAGGACCACCCAAAATGCAAATTCGGAAATGGAGATCAGTAATATGATCGATACACAAAACAAACTACAAAGTTGACGGACTGATGGGGCGCCAGGCTGATGCATCTAATCAAGATCGGCAAGTGCCTACACAGATCCTAACTGAAGATCACCCCCGCTGGCGATTTCAGTGTCGCTTACAGAGTCAGATAAATTTTTGGCGCCAGGCCTCGACACTAACCAAATAACCAAAATAAGTGTTAAAAAATTAGGAAATCGTAAAATTTACATAATAACAGATCATATTTCAATCGAATTAGAAAGACAGACAGCAACAACAACAGTTGGGAATGTCAGAAGAATCAGAAAACACAAAACACATAAAGATGGACATAAAACAAAGTTGGATGGAGGCAGCGAACAGCGGGCACAGATACGAGATCCCACAAAATGTTAATGAAAAAGTGCGATAAAAATCTTGTCGAACATGAATGAGAAAAACGAGGCAACAGCAACAGCAACAGCAACAGCAACAAACCCAACAATGCAGCGATCAACACCAAATTCTGTGGTCCGAGATGAGCTTCCCCATCCCCCACCAAACATGGGGGGAGAAAGTGCCATCGTCGTCATCTGTTTGATGGGGGGCCCCGGATACCCCTTCCCGGAACGGTGGTGTTAAGAATGAAGACAATAACGAGGCTGGCACACGCGCCCCTAAGCTCTCCGCCGGACACCTGCTGCGAGATCCATGAGGTTCCGCGGGCAAACAATGGTCCTCCGACCCTCCGACCCTCATCCCCATCCACATTCACCGGACTGGAGGCGCCCGAGGAGTCGCAGCTTATTAGAAATGGTAAACAAACAGGCAAACGGCCAAATCGTGTTGAACTTTATGGTCCTCCATTCCGAATCGTGCGCACATTGTTAATCATCTGGAACTGGCCATAAAGCAGCCTTCATTGGCCATTATTAATTCGGCTGAAATTATTATTAATTTTGCGCCATAAATCTCAGCACTGCGTGAAGCGAACCCCTTTTGTGGTACGTGTGGGTAATTAGCTTTGAGTTCCTCGGGATTAGTTGTTCATTTGTTCATAAATTAGTGAAGATGATATTCTATTAATGTTTGTTAACGGTAGGACATTATCTTAGCTTTTTTTCTGTTTTACTACTATATGAATTTTGATTAGTAAAGATGGTTTTACAAGCAAAATATAACATTAATTAATTTTTCATAAAATATCTGTGACTTAACGAGATTGCTCTTAAGATAAAATAAAAATCCCTTGAGATCGTAATACAATTCCGATTAACTAAAAGAATATTGAAAAATACGAAAACGTTTGTTTATCGACGTTGGTTTTTCTTGAATATAACTAAAATTTTAACCATTTCCATCATCATAACATTTCACTTTAAAAACTTTGTAAAACATACTAACTTAAAAATAAACTCAAAATAGGGGCGAGACTAGTTTTGATGACCGCTGCAGGAAAGCCCTTGGAAATCCGATACTATAGAGCATTCTGAGACAATAGTTACCCCAATTATTTATTAATAAATAAAATAATACAAAATGTTGTGTAAAATTGAAATGTTAATATATTTGAGGGACAGTTATAACTTTAAAACTGATTAACGAGATATAAAAACATTACACCCAGAAAAAAGCCTCATAGTAAAATTAAACATTAAAATATTTCAATGTAACGTTGTCTTTAAAAATATAAACTTACTTAATTTAAAAAACATTTTTAATCGGTTTATCCAAAATTGTGGAAATAATTTTTTTTTTAACAAAATTTTTAACTGTAACTTTAAAACTAAATTTGTTCATACTTAAAAAAAAAATTAATGTGTAACACACTTTGATTCAAATCTAAAATCAGTACCAAAAATACTTAATTTAAATAAGAAAAGAAACTATTGGGAATCACCATGATATTTCGTCGTTAAAATGTCTTTTCTGTGCACTATGATAAGACTTTAAAGGGAGTTCCATTTTTAAAAACTAATATGATGGCATCGAGCCGGGAGCTTTCCCATGCAAAGTGCTTTCCTGGACACAAACTAATATATTCCTGCCCCGTACTTACCCACCAGCAACCCACCGGAAATTTAAAAGTTCTCTCACGCGTCATGTAGCAAGTCCAAGCCCTGTACAATCTCCTTCCGATAATTGGCCGCCAATTCAATTACGGACTTACATTCACTCGCTGTCGCCTTCGACATCGCCGGTGGGCGGGGGCTCTGGCTATGTGCAATTGCCTTGTAATTTGCCACAATTATTCATATTAAAAATGAGTTAAGCGTTGCCCCGGGACGGTGCCAGGTGGAAGGGGCTGCGGCTGTGGCTGCGACCGACAAGTAAGTAATTTTCACGCGTAGGTAACATTAAACGATCTCGGGGCCGGGCAACGGACCCGATTTGGGGACCCAACGGGTCGCTGGCCGGGGGATAATAATCGCTGCCACATAAATATTACAAGCATCTGACAACTGAAAATTATCTCCTTCACTCACGAGCCATTTAAATCAATTTTACACTTCGGATTTCACAGGCGGTCGCACTGGACGAAGGATACGATACGGGCTCCCCTCACGTCCCTCGCCAGTTCCTTCATCTTCTGGAGCCCAAACGAAGGCCTGCAACCTGGAAATTGAAATTTATTGAAAAAATGATGACAAACGAACGAAAATAAGCGAATGCGGCAGCTGCAAGGTGGTCCCGGGGGTGTGACGTGAGAAGCCGACGCCAAAGCTGAAATTTAAGGCCAGCACTTTGAATATATATGTTTATGGGCGAGATAGGCGCTGATTAGGGTTACCAAGTGGTTTTAAATTCTGTTCATAAGCCATACAGCCCTTTAGTCTTCAGGAATGCAGATCAACCAAACTTGTTGAATTACACATTAAATGTTTTACCATGAGTGTTCAACACTACATCGAATTTCGTTCAAGCCTGACTAGTGAGACTTTAACCATCTTTGCCTTCCTTACATTTGTTTAAAAATAAAGATTTTCGTTTCAATTCACTTTATAACAAATGGTAATTGGTATTAATTGCAAATACAGCGAATTATTAACTGAACAAAGCATGGAATTTATAAGCATCCTGCTGTTCGTTTAGTGATTTTGGAGTCTGTCTTTCCTTACATAAAAAACAAATAATTGTTTTAATCGATCTAAAATAAATCTTTAGAGATTTTTAGCTACAACAAGAAGTTAAGCCACCAATGATAGTTTTTCCACTTAGAGGCCAGACTTAAAAGTAGCAGTATTTTTGATCCAACTTTGCACTGCAAGCTGTTTCCCCTTCCTGCGTAAAATTTTGATGAGCTCGACAACTCTGGGCATGCTTCACATTTCACTGGGGTGTCATAACGTGGCACTGCCACTTCGCTATCCCCGACGCTCTTCCCGAGCGGGGCACTGTGCAAAAACGTTTAAACCAACAATTACGCGAGCATAAATCAAACAGTCGAGTGGAGTGTCGAGGAG